CTCAGATACACATTTATTTCTTTAAATATACCTATTATTACATTTATAAAGATGAGTGTGTTATACATTAAATTGTAATTAATCCGAAATAAGCAGTCAGTTCTTCAGTTACTAACTCTTTAAAAACAAACTTTTTTTTTGGTAATTATATTACAAATAGTAAGTATGTTTGTTTTTAGTTATATTATGTTAGTTGATTCAAAAAGTATGTTTTTATTTTGTATTTAATATTTTTGGGATTGATATTTTCCTTCAAGGTAGGTAAGGTAGGTAGTTTATTAATTAATTTAGACTTTTTCAACCAGTAAGAGTCCACTGCCGTGCCGACTGCCGAACATATGATTTTACAATGGCATCCCGTATTTTCGATGTTGTTCTGGTTCACCAACCTTAGTATTTTACATCAAGCCTAAAAAAGGTTATATCGTCATTTTTGGCTTTGAAAGTATAGCTTGGTTCTTACGAGCTTACGACACTTAAGAGACGAAACGGGATATAAGTTCTCTTACGCCGGCTCCATATAGTTAACTAAACTAGTGATATTTTAACAACCAAAGCTCTTCAACGCTACTTAATAGTGCATTTGACTAAAATCCGTAATAAAACCCAACCTAAATATATTTGATGTCGTCTTGGCTGATCTGCCTGTATCTTCAGAACACAGGACGGATAAGATCCATTGTGAAAGATACGCTATCACACTACTAAATATATAAATATCACAAGAATCATGTCTCATTACAAGCAAAAAGAAATGAGTTCCTTTATAATTTGAATTAAAATAATTAAAGTCGCCTGATATAAAAAGAGCTGATAATCTTTAAAAGGCTGAAAGATTTTACATAGCTAAGAAGCTATGATTCAAAAAAATCTTTCAGCCGATTCAGTTCTCCTTCCAACCAAAAACAAATTAGATACAGATACACACGTTAAACTTATTCTCTTTTCGTCGGTGGTTTAAAAATATTATTTTTGGACGTACCTACGTATTTTAAAACAAATTGTAAAATAAAAGCCAAACAATTTCTCGGTATGGTGGTATCACGGGGACAAAACACATTTGAACATTTTATTTAATCGAATCAGAGTTCCATGCGAGAAACACACTAATCTAATAAAATCTTATCTTCCCCTCATCTCTTAAACAATTCACTGCTGAAGTCTATCTACTACTATCATTAATATGTATTTAATTATACATAACGTTCATGTTACATTTTATGTAGGTAACATACGAAGGCTTTCACAATACGTACAGGTCAAGTTTTTTTTAATATTTTTATCCGATTGCCACAGAAAGAGGGTTTTTCGAAAGTATGTATGTATGTCTATTTCCTTAGCACGCTCTGTGGCTTAAACGGCCTGATGGATTTTAACATAATGACGTATCGTTAGATTGTCTTAATTGTTGAAGTAACATAAGCTACATTTATAATATTTATTTTATCTGTAATTGCATCTACAAATAGAAAAAAAGGGAAAGGACGGTTTTTTTTTTCACTAAACTTTAACGCAGCCGGGTTTTTAAAATATCGTTTTAACCATTAAGCTTACTAAAAATGTACTGTTCACAAGACACATTGGGTGTGAAAGTTGCAAAAACTATACACTCAACAAGGGGGTTAAGTGGTGGCAGCCTACCGGTTCGTGTAAGCCGGTTCGTAATTGTTGCATCGATTGTAGTTTTAGCGAAAGCGAAAACAAAAAAACCTCTCGTGTAATAGTGTCTTAACGCGCATTCTTGACCATCATCATTCCGGAACTGTGGTGTCAAAATTGGAAATCATCATCACTATTATGGACCATCACACGACCACGGTTGTACCTAAGCCCTAGGAAAACCACAAAGCACGATTTTGATCCATCTGTATCCACACCGACTTCCTACATCTTAGCATGTCGTGGCTCCATTTAAGTAGTGGCCGAAAGATTTTCCCAGTTGCCACGCTTATACAGCTACTGCGTATTGCTAGTGATGACCTATGGATCTGAGACCTTCACTGCTGGCCGTATTAGGAAGCTCAAGGTCGCTGAGCGAGCTATGGAGAAGACTATGCTTGGAGTTTCTCTGCTTTGATAAACTTAGGAATAAGGATATCCGCAGTAGAACCAGAATGACGAAGATAGCCCAACGGATTAGTAAGCTGAAGTGGCAATGAGCCGGCCGGTGTACTTAGCTCGAAGAACCGATGACCGATGGGGAAAAAAGGTTCTCGAATGACAGCTACGTACCGGCTGGCGAAGTGTAGGGTGTTCCCCCACCAGATGGATTGACGACCTGGTAGACATGCAGGAAGTCGATGGATGCAAGTGGCTCAGGACTGTGCTTTGTGGCTTTCCTTGGGAGAGGCCTATGTTTAGCAGTGGACTTGTGAAGGGCTGTGATGATGATGATGATGCCACGTTTTGCAAGCGGGTTGGCAACCGCAGTTCTTTATTATATTGAGTTGCTATCAGAAAGTTCATCTGTTTTAGTTTCCTTCTATTTATTAAAAGATATTTCGCGGACAGGCTTTTTTTTTTTAATAAAAGAAGCTCCATAATGCGTCAGTGAATTTAAAATCTTCTTCTGGAAATAGTACTTACTTTAATGGTCTTTTTTGCTGATGACGCTAAGAGAACGTTGAGTCCATAAAAGTTCACTGTTGATCATGTTTTTTTTGCGCCCGAAGCAATTAAAGGGCTACCCTATACGTAGGGAGGCGGAAAATGCATTACGCATACCACGATAGCCGGTCTATCGTGGTTATGAGGGGCTCACTGTCCTACCACCCTAAGTGATACCCTCTAAAAACCGCCTTTGGAGACAGGCAGCCGGCTGATTAAGCTGTATTGTGCCTTATCATGAGCGACCCTCTTTTGGGAAAAGAGGGCGCAGGCGGCTAAGAGCCGCTGAGGGAGTGCCTACGAAGGCAAATTAAATGTTAGTACAATAATTAATTTAATTAGAGTTGGCCTGCGCCGCCAGGAGACAGTTCAGGTCGTTTGACAGTTTATTAGGCGGGTCCGAGAGAGAGTTTCTCGGCCTGCGGACACGATAGCAGAGGGGGGGTGGGGCTGCATAAGAAGCTGCCTCACGAATTAATTGGTTTGGGTGCGACTCTGAGGCTTTGAAGAAGTTCTCAGAGTGTTTTTTAAGGAATTGTTAAATTGTTGGGAGCTCTAAGTCCCGATGAAGGTCGGCATTACGGACGTACCAAGGTGCGTTCGCAGCTCGACGGCAGAAGAGGTTCTGAACTATTTGGAGTTCATTTATAATGTTAGGGTTTGCGTGGGCAAAGACGGGGCCCGCGTAGGAGGATCCTATGTTCAACAGTGGACTTTTATAGGCTCAACGCCTCCTCCATAGATTACCTCATAGAGGGGATTTTGCCATAGTTACCACACTTGGCATGCGGGTTGGCAAACGCAGTTTCATTTTATTTTGAGTTATTATCAGGAAGATGCCGCTGCCAATCACCTGTTTTACTTTTCTTTTGTTGCCTCTTACGACACCCAAGGGACGATATGGGGGATATAATATATAGCTGCTTATAAATAAAATTAAATGTCTTTTTTCTGTAAAGCAAATTAATGAAACTGGTCAAAGTTTTCTTCATTATGAGCCCGTGAAGTCCGCTGCTAGACGGACGTCTGCATTGTAGGAGGGGGAAGAGCTTTGTTACGCTTGGCAACTTGGCAGTCGCGATCGCAACAACACAGAAATCTTGCAGCTGTCCTTCGCAGTCCCAGGCGCTAGGGTTTTTTACGCCTGACTTAAAGAATTATGTTTATACCACAAGATCTTTTCGATAATTGCCCTTGCCGCACGCGACTAGCATGTGACGTGATCTTTTTTTGTAAGTGTTGAAGTCAAAAAGTTAAAGTTACATCCTATATATGTCCCATTGCTTGCTGGGCACAGGCCTCCTCTTATTTCTGAGAGTTTTATGGCAAAGAAATGCCTGTTGCACGCTTCCCCAATTCGTTTTGGCGAACTTCATTTTTCTCAGACATGCAGATTTCCTCACGATGTTTTCATTCACCACCGAGCACGTGGTAAACGGTAAATCAGCACTTAAAATTGCAATTAACTATTTCATTGGTGCCGGCGGGGATCGAACCCGGGTAGCTTGCGTAATGTGAAATTTACAGCGAGCGCTTAGTCCCTGAGCTACCACTACCTTTGTCACCTACAAAGGTGTACGTTACGCGATATCTTCGTCACTTGTGAACCGAAATCTTAATATATATAAAGTACATGTCACGTTGTTTGTCCGCGGTTGACTCCTAAACTACTTAACCGATTTTAATCAAATTTGCACACCGTGTACAGTTTGGTCCAACTTGAGAGAGATAGGATAGTTTATTTGCCTAGGAGTGACTTACATATTTGCGATTTTAAGGATTTTTAATAGGACATGACAAAAAGGGCAGAAAACGTCTGCCTGGCCAGCTAGTTAATATATATAAATTACGTGTCACGTTGTTTGCCCGCGATGAACTCCTTAACTACTAAACCGATTTTAATCAAACTGCATACCGTGTGGAGTTTAGTCCAACTTGAGAGATGACCATGAGTGACCCACAATTTTTTTGCGAATTTAAGGATTTTTAATAGGACATGACAAAGGGTCGTCGAAAATGGCAGAACAACGTCTGCCTGGCAAGCTAGTAGGTTATAAGTTATCACTTACTTATAAGTTATAACATATAAATTTAGAGAAAAAAATTCCCCGACTAAGGATAGCAAAATATGGAAAGTAACTTGGTATTTAGAACGACATAGGTAATTTATATATCAGTTACCTAAAAATTTACTTTTAATAAAAAGTGGAGTAAGTATAATTAAAATAAAATTAAACGCATCCTGTTTCTGTTTATTATTTAGTGCACGTAACAAAACGATGACAATGATTGATTGAACGGATCTGGTTTATATGAAATGAAAACACGTATTATGAAAGAATAACTTTATTAAATCATAATATTATTATGTATAAAACTTAACAATTATGTATTTATTTATGTCTGCGAGATTTTACAGGAACGGCAGCAGGAACAGCAGCAACATATGTTTTCTGTGACAGCTTGTTCATGTAGTAGATAGTTATAAGAGAAAATATTAAACTGAAAAAAGAGAAATTATATTGTTATTATAAATTTGATTTATCATCGTATACAAGTAAATATAAAGTTTCCAGATTGAGCATATTATATTAAAATTGTCACACTCAGCACATAGAGGCTATATACAATAGTATCAGGGCGCGGACCGCGAACTCAAAAAGGTCGTGGGTTCGAATCCGCCATTCGACTACTGGCGTGAACCACTCGTAACACAAGCAATTTAAGCTTACCACGAGTGGTTAAGGGGAATATTAGTAATGTTTACAGCATTGTTAATATATATATATATATATAAATATATATATATAAAAAAAAGATGTCTGTCTATTCTCTTGTAATCGACATGATCTATTAAAATGTATCATTTTACCAAACTAATGTAATAATTTGTAAGTTCTATAGCATTCATCATCATCATCATCATCACAGCCCTTCACAAGTCCACTGCTGAACATAGGCCTCCCCCAAGTAATGCCACAAAGCACGGTCCTGAGCCACCTGCATCCATCGACTTCCTGCATATCTTACTAGGTCGTCACTCCATCTAGTGGGGGGTCGCCCTACACTACGCCTACCGGTACGAGGCTGCCACTCGAGAACCTTTCTTCCCCATCGGTTATCGGTTCTTCGAGCTATATGGCCGGCCCATTGCCACTTCAGCTTACTAATCCGTTGGGCTATGTCGGTCAATCTGGTTTTACTGCGGATATTCTCATTTCTGAGTCTATCACGCAGAGAAACTCCGAGCATAGCCCTCTCCATAGCTCGCTGAGCGACCTTGAGCGTCCTCATACGGCCAGCAGTGAAGGACCACGTCTCTGATCCGTAAGTCATCACTGGCAACACGCACTGGTTGTACACTTTAGTTTTCAGAGATTGAGGTATACCTGACGAGAAGATATGTCGTAATTTCCCGAACGCTGCCCAGCCGAGTTGAATCCGTCGATTGACCTCTCGGTCGAAGTTGGACTTACCTAGTCGGAATATTTGTCCCAGGTAAACGTACTCGTCAACAACTTCGAGCATAGTGCTCCCAACAACTACCGGCATAGGTGTGACATGGACATTAAACATAATCTTTGTTTTGTCCATGTTCATCTTAAGACCTATCCGTTGGGAGGCACTATTGAGGTCATTGAGCATAGTGCTTAAGTCCTCCAGCGATTCTGCCATAAGGACTATATCGTCGGCAAATCGAAGGTGAGTGATGTACTCGCCATTGATGTTAATACCGTATCCTTTCCAGTCCAGTAGCTTGAAAACGTCTTCCAAAGCAGCGGTGAAGAGTTTCGGGGATATAACGTCACCCTGTCTTACACCTCTCTGCAGTTGGATAGGTTTCGAGCTCTGGTTCTGTACTCGGATAGCCATCGTAGCCCTACTGTACAAACACTTCAGCACTTCGATATACCGACAGTCAACTTGGCACCGCTGAAGGGACTGCAGCACCGCCCAAATTTCGACGGAATCAAAGGCTTTCTCATAGTCCACATACGCCAGGCAAAGTGGCAAATTGTACTCTTCAGTCTTCTGTACAATCTGCCGCAGGGTATGTATGTGGTCTATGGTACTGAAGCCTTTTCGGAAACCGGCTTGTTCGGGAGGCTGGAAGTCGTCGAGTCTGCGTGCGAGACGATTCGTAATGACTCTCGAAAACAGCACGTAGACGCGGCTCAGAAGGGAAATCGGTCTGTAGTTCTTCAAGAGAGCGTTGTCGCCTTTCTTAAAGAACAAGACCACCGCACTTCTGCTCCACGCCTCTGGAGTAGTGCCACCATGGAGGACGGAATTGAAGAGCTTCTGAAGGACTTCAAGTACCGGTGTTCCACCCGCTTTCAGAAGCTCCGCTGTAATTCCATCCTCGCCTGGGGCCCTGCCGTTTTTAAGGTGCTGGAGAGCCATTCTAATCTCGCTTAGACTGACGTCCGGGATATCATCGGAATAGTGTCGGATAAGACTTGCTCTTGGATCGTTACTCACACTTGCGTGTGGCTCCAACGATGATGTGTACAGCTGCCCATAGAACCTCTCAATCTCACTCAAAATCTCAGGTGTCCCGGAAACGATGCTGCCACACTCAGTCTTCAGCCTTGACAGTTGGCTCTTTCTGGCAGACAGATCTCTGGCAAAGACTTTGGAGCCCTGGTTCCGCTCGATCGCTTCTTTAATACGAGCAGTATTAAAGTTGCGTAAGTCTCGCCGCATGCATTTGGAGATCTGTCTGTTCAGTTGCCTGTATGCTGTCAAATCTGTTGACGATTGCAGCCTCATCTCCCGTCTAACAGCCATGAGATTAAGAGTGTGATCGGAGAGTTTTTGTGTTCTTCTGCGGCGGGTCTTGCAGAACTTAGCTCCGACCGCATGGACAGTTTCCACGAGCTTGTCATTCATATCGTCCACTGCATTGCAATCTTGTAGGCACTGAAAGCGGTTGTGTAACTCGAGCTGAAAGTTTTCGGGATTTTGGATTAGAGCACGAGGGGGGACGGAGCGTTGACTTCATTAGACGAGACCTCTCCAACTTAACGTTTAGGTTCAGTGTGCCTCTAACCATTCGGTGATCGCTGCCAGTTTTCACCCTTGCGATCACTGAGACATCACTGAACAGTTGGCGTCTGGTCGTCATAATGAAGTCAATCTCATTTTTTGTCGAACCGTCGGGGCTCGACCAGGTCCACTTCCTGTGGGGCCGCTTCTGGAAGAAAGAGTTCATCATAAAGAGTCCCTCTTTCTCCATAAAGTCGGCCAGCTGCTGGCCCCTTCGGTTCCGTTGCCCTACTCCAAATTTCCCTAACTTCAGCTCACCGCTTTCTCTTGTGCCTAGTTTTGCGTTGAAGTCTCCCATCAACACCGTGTAGTGGGTTTTGGAGGAATGTATGGCTTTGGAAATATCCTCATACATTTCCTCCACCTCCTCATCGGAATGTGCCGACGTTGGTGCGTAAACCTGTATGACCTTCAGCGAATACCGTTTGGTGATTCTGAGTATCAGGTACGCGACCCTCGTCGACACACTCTCAATCTGTACAACGTTGTTGACGAGAGACTTGTGGACGATAAATCCGACACCTCCTTGGGACAGATGGTCGCCCTCCCGGTGATAGAACAAGTTGCCGGATTCGAGAATCACCGTGTCCTCCCCCTCTCTTCGGACCTCGGATAATCCTATAATACTCCAGCGCAACTTGTCTATCTCTTCTTCCAGCTCCAGGATCTTCTCGTCAGTCCTCAGTGTGCGTGCGTTAAATGTTGCCAGGTCGAGTCGTCGTAGGTGGCAACCGAACCTCCACCGGAGATTCTTAGCACCCCCTGCCCCGCCGTTACCATGGTCGCCACCGTAGCCAGGAATAGCGGGGCCGCCGGGGACTGGGGGCCGTCTATTTGTGTAATTGTTCATGGGGGGGTATATTGCCATAGTTGCCACGCTTGGCGAGCGGGTTGGCAACCGCAGTTTTTTTTTTTTTGTCGTACAGTTGCTGTTATCAGGAAGATGCTGCTGCCCATCTCCTGCCTGTCTCCCTCTGTCGCCTCTTACGACACCCACGGGAAGATATGGGGTAGTGGATATTCTTAACCGCCACTACACGGCGACGTAGCATTAATGACGTTAATTTTATAATAAAACGTAAACTCTCTATTGTGTTGTTTATTTTTTAAAATTTTACATACATAATAAAGTATGATTTGTACTTCAGAGTACATTATATATATATATATATATATATATATATATATATATAGCATATAGAATCTTATCAATGGATTTGTAATTTGTCGGATTACAAGGTACTCTTTTATAAAAAATTACGGACTACACGGGGTCTTAGGCAGTTCTCTATAATCCGACAAATTCGATAGTTCGACACCGCCCTGCAAAATGTTTGTCGGATTACCGGGGATCTTGTGCTTGACTGAAAGTTGAGACAGTCAGCTGAGAATGTATATGAGTGCCATTTTTTCCTTCCTAACATAGCACCCGACGACACAATTTAACACAATTTTTCGCACCTAAAATTACAGTGAACGAATTCCCTCAAATAAAGTATTTCGCCTGCCATAGCGAGAGGTTTATTATGAGTAATAAGGCTAAACGAAGAAAGTATGTAATTCAGTTAAAACCCTTAACTAATTTTTTAACACTGAATTATTTTAATTTTTTTTTGCTTGGCATTCTTTGGGCGAGGCCTACGTTAAGCAGTGGACTTGTTGATGAGCTGTAATGATGATGATGAATGACAATTATTATGGAAGTATGAACAGTAGTATTTCTGGGCCAAGCTTAAGTAAACTGAGTTTAATTAAGATTACGAACAATATAATATAATTCTTAAACTAATACGGAGGTTACACATTCAGTATTTCATCAGTTCAGTCAGACAGTCTGATCCAACTTCGACTAACACAAGAATGATATTCGGCGGTTACACGATCAGTCTCGCAACAGTATTTCATCATTCACAATGGACTGACGAAAATTATCTGAAATATTTAATTTTTATCAGTCCGACAGTCCGTGGGTTAGACTATAAATGTGCGGTCATTCTGACCAAACTGACAGACTGAATTGATGAAATACTGTACGTGTAACCGCCGTATAAAGGTCTGAATACTATAATTCAAAAAAAATAAAGAATATGAAACTACTATATGTGTCTTTAAAGGCTTACCATGGAAACTGTTAATAAAGGCTCAAAGCAGCAAAAAAGATTCCAACAAGAGAGCTGAAGGGTTGTAATTAAGATTGTTTGACAGGAATTTGGACAGGGGTAAGAATGCCCTCATGCTGAAGATGATAAATGTTATCATTTTAGGTATATGGGATTTCCTTTTTGGTTTTTTTTTTTTGAAGAATGGTGTATTAACTTTTGATGGGAGTAGTGTTGGGGGTTAGGGAACACTCCCCTCTCCCCACTATTTTCTGCAAAATGATTCTAAATTTTTCCCGAAATGTCTTGGATTACAAGTTGCGATCAGTACTAGAGAACACGGTGTTGTTGAAAATGTCACTCTAACATTCAATGCCTCATGAAATCTTAAGAGATAGCAGACACTCAATTTTCCGTGAAGTACTGAACCGAACTCATTTAAAATGTATTTAATTAATTGCTTAGAATTTGATAAATTGAACACATAAACTTCTCTCTATTACACTGTTTCTTTGAAAAATAAATTATTTGTATACGAGGGGTGATCCAAAAGTAATGATAATCGGTTACTTCAGGTCCGCATAAAAATCCAAAAAAAAAATATTTTTTGCTTGCTTATATACTCACTACGTCAGCCTAAAAAAATCATATAAATAGATCACGATTTCCGGGAGATACATTCATTTGAATACGAACTGTCAAAGAGATAACATCAACATGGAGAAAAACGAAATTAGAGGTGTCATCAAGTACCTCTGTTTGAAAAAAATGTCTTCAAAAGACATACACAGTGACTTAGTGGAAACATTGGGGGACTCTGTTCCTCCATATTCTACAGTTGCACGCTGGTCCAAGGAGTTTAAACTGGGCAGAACATCCACTGAAGATGAACATCGCGAAGGACGCCCATCCACGTCCCTCGCTGGAGACAACGTGAAAAAAGTCGAAGATGTTGTGTTGGCAGATCGAAGAGTGACCATCAGGCATGTAGCTGAGGTTACAGGGATCTCATATGGCAGCGTTCAAAGAATCCTTGCGAAAGAGTTGCATATGAAAAAGGTCTCTGCGCGTTGGGTACCCAGAATGTTAACCGACGAGCAAAAGAAAAATCGAGTTGACATTTCGAGGGTCAATCTCGAAAAGTTCCAAGCAGATCAAAAAAATTTTTTGTTCCGTTTTGTGACTATGTACGAGACCTGGATCCACCATTTTGATCCTGAAACGAAACAACAATCGATGACTTGGAAGCGAGCCTCCTCACCGACGCCAAAGAAATTCAAAATTTCAAGTTCAGCGGGAAAGGTTATGGCATCTGTTTTTTGGGACGCTTAAGGCATAATTATGGTGGAATATTTGGAAAAAGGAGCCACTATTACGGGCTCTTACTACTCAGACCAAATAAGAAGGTTACGAGAGGCCATTAAGGAAAAAAGATGCGGCAAACGGCGAGCTGGAGTGCTGTTTTACCAAGACAACGCACCGGCTCACAAAGCCGCAGTTGCGATGCCTGCCATTCAAGAAACGGGATTCGAACTGCTCGAACACCCTCCCTATTCGCCAGATCTAGCTCCTAGTGACTTCTACCCCTTTTCTCGGCTCAAGGAACGCCTCGAGGCAAGAAATTCGAAGACGATGGCGAAGTAATGGCGGCTGTTGAAGCATTTTGGGAGGGTCAAGACAAAGAATTTTTTTCAAAGGCAATCCTGGGTTTAGAAATAAGATGGACTAAATGTATTGATTTGTTAGGAGACTATGTAGAAAAATAAAATATTATTTTAACTTTAATTACCGTGTTTTATTTTCATTATCATTACTTTTGGATCACCCCTCGTATATGTATATTGCATAATATGTAACATTTTTTTTTTCAAATTAATATACTTACCATGTTGTAAAACAAATCCTATGAACCATGCCGGCTGCAATGAGTGATATTGCCATTGATAAAACAATTTCTGGAAGTTTCAGTTGAAAATTCTTACCAAACAAAGTAGCTTCTAGGTTTCCAACTGCCTGAACATCTTTATAAGGAACGGTTTATTGTAATTTATCAATGAACATTTTATCAACTTACTTAAATAAATATTAAATAAGTGTATACTCATTATATTATATGTACTACTGAAATGCTTTAAAATGATGTAAGGTTACAAAGTCCAATATTTATAACTTTGCTTATTCAATCTCAAACATAATGTTGACTAACAGGAAAAAAAATTGCATACTAACTGAACTAACTATAAAACAGTGCTTATGTTATTTACTTTTTTTTAAATACCATTATTTTTACTGTAAAAAGAAATTACCTAAACTATCGGCGTCTTGAAGCTTGATTCCGGTCGCTCCGTTAGCCATTAGTATCGCTTACGATCAGAATACACATTACGCAACAGGACGATGTAAAATTAAAATGGGAAATAACCGTAATAAAAATAAGAAGCGACTATGTTGGCGTTAAGAAAGCGTTAAGAACAGGCATAAATATGATAAACCTAATGAAATAAGTATCTAACGACCTATCTACTTACAGTATTAGTGATTACAAACATGTCGGTACATAGCATACGACGCGCGGGGAAGTGGGGGCCAAATTAGAATTTGAGCCGTCTTACTATATCCTCTTAATAGACATTCTTTACATATTTGTGAATGACCAGTACAAGTACAGATACATAATTAATTTTTATTGTTTTTTTACAAAAACTAAACCATTCCTCACCCCTCTGTCCAGAAATCTTTTAACCATCCCCCACGACCATTAAATACAATATACTATTGTTCATTCTCGCAGAATTTTTCTAATAGCTTTTATAAATCAGTGGTACATAGATTACTTCCATAATTATATTGTTTGTAGGTAGTACAGAAGAGTACAATCTGTCACTTATTTAATGTATGGAGACAATAAGAAAGCCTTTGGTTCCATAAAAATTAGGGTGATGCTACAGTCCCTTAAGCGGTGCCAAGTCGACATTCAGTATATTGAATTGCTGAAGTGTTTGTCCAGTAGGGCTACAATGGCTATCTGAGTACAGAACCAGAATACGAAACTTATCCAACTGCAGAGAGGTGTAGGACAGGGTGATGTAATATCCCCCAAACTCTTCACCGCTGCATTGGAAGACATTTTCAAGTTACTGGACTTGAAGGGATACGGTATAAACATTAACGGTATAAACATTAACGGCGAATACATCACTCACCTATGAATTTGTCGATGACATAATCCTTGTGACAGAATTGCTAGAGGACCTAAGCGCTATGGTCAATGACCTCAATAGTGTATCCCAAGAGTTTAGTGTATATCTCAAAATGAACATGACAATCAATGTAACATCAAGATAATATGTTTACATAGGAGAAATAGTCTGATTAGATAAGTTCAACTTCAACCAAGAGATCAATCAATTGATTTAACTCGGCAACTTGGGCAGCATTGGGGAGATTATGATACATCTCATCAGGTATACCCCAAAACTTAAAAACCAGATTGTACAATGTGTGTGTTGCCAGTGATGACTTATGGATCTGAGATATGGTCCTTCACTGCTGTCCCTATGAGGAAGCTCAAGGTCGGTCAGCAAGCTAAAGAAAAAGCTGTGCTTGGGATTTCTAACGAGGATATCCACAGTAGAACCAGAATAACCAACATTGTCGAAGCTTGAAGCACCGACAAACAATGGAGAAGAAAGATTTTCAAGTGGCAATCTCATGTTGGTAAAGGAAGTGTAGGGCAGCCCCCTACTAGATGGAGTATCAACCTGATAAGATATGCAGGAAGTCGATGGATGTGGGTCGCTCAGGCTTATGCCGTGTGGCGTTTGTGTGTGAGGTTTATGTTCAACAGTGGACTTGTGAAGGGCTTAGATGATGATGACAGCTAATAGTAGTAGTAGTAGAAGCCTATAGCTACTGTTAATTGTATAATACACTGATGCACACCACTTACAGCAGCGTCATGTCTGTTATTCATCTATGGCTACACTAGGAATAAGTATATGAGACTCTTAAGCTCTGTAAAAGAAGCTAAAACAAAAATTGTCATCTGGCTCGATTCCTTAAATTATGACTCAACAAAATAAACATTCTTACACCTAGCATAAGGGCTCATATTATTAAGAAATACAACATTCTAATCTATCTCTTAATGTTTGTTATTTTGTATGCTAGTTTATAAAGTTTGTTTGTATTTTGTGTTTAAGTTAACCAAGCGAAAACTAAACAAATTGTTAATGCTAAATGAGTGCCCACGATACAGGATTACCCAGTGGTACCAACGCATAATCAATGAGTTGTAATTTTCTTTTTTTATATTCATTACTTGTTCTCCTACTGGTACTAAAAATCTTCATATTTTTTATAAAGGATACTGTCACAATAAACATAAACATAAGTGATCCAAGGTAGCCTCCAAATATGATTGTTATTGGTGATTTTATCAGAATTGGCTTATACATTTGCATTCCAGAAAATATCAAAAGGGTAAGAATGCTGGATAATACGAAGGACGTGGCACTATTTACCGCTGAAACAAAATTAAGCATTTATATTTTGTACTGGTAAATGATGGATTTTATCTCAATATAAGATAATAGAAAAGAAATACCCATTTCTAAATTATAAATTATGAACAATTGTTAAATTGAAACTTTATGAAAAAATGCAATTGCAAACCGGCAAAAAATAACCACAAATCCACATTCCACAAATTAAAATATATTTTTTATTAACTGGCTTTACGGCTCTGGGTTCTAGCCCTTCTGAGCCTATCATTTCTCTCAGAATCTTCATTTATATATTCTTTTTCTTCACAATATGCTGATGCGTCACAGTGCGAAGCCCTTGGGAGATTTTGACGACTCAACTCAGCGGACAGTTGATGACGACAGCCACTCAAGTTCATGAGGCGCCCAAACGATCAAAATAACTTGAAGTTTATTAGGATGTTTTTTAATTTCAATAGCCTCACGTATCATACTTGAAAGTCTGCAGTTTGTGGTCATATCCTAGATGACCTCAACCATTACATCAGATTTGATAGACCACAAATCCTCGTGAAAGAACACCGATTCCTACCAAGGATGGTACGTGAAGCTATTGAAATTAAATAACATCCTAATTTCAATAGAGAAGGAGGTTGGGTACTACCACCTACTTGGGACCCTATAATCAATAAACTCAATCACAATCATCAATAAAATTAAAACTAAACCCAAGCAAACCACTGCAAGACTTCAAGACACAGTCAGTTCATTTTGCATAGATCGGACCATAAACACTAATTAAAAAAGCTGAAGGTACTCCGAATTTAACAATGACATCGGGACGTCAGTCATCTCAGTCCCCCGCATGAAGATTAGAGAACAGGAGAACGATCACCGTAGAAAATAGTGTCTAGAAATATGGACCATAAGTGAGGCGCTGCGATCGCTCGAGGTTTGGTCAATAAAAGTCATTTTGAGTCTATTTTTCCAATCAGATGCTAAACCACTTGCACATCCACGCACAATAAAATATTTCTCCATTTTTTAATGTTTGTTTTTGTCAAAAATTACAAAATTACGGAGCATGAGAATTTTCTCATTATAAATGGAACGAAAATTTGTACATTATTCAACTAACTTCATCTACTTGTATTCATAAACAGCTAACTTCGCAATTACTACTCACCGACATCATCGCCGCTATACATTTTACAATTTTCAAGGACAGGCGGGCTATGCTTTAGTACGTAGTGATCGTTCTCATGTTCTCTAACCTTCATGGTCCCCCGTAACCATGGGTGCTAGAAAGCACCCGAAATGTCGGGAATTAAAAATAATTAATATAAAACGCGATAAAATTCGTAAAATTAATTTTAATTGAACTTCTTCCTTTTTTAATTATTTTCTTTTATTGCATTAATAATACACCATTAAGAACATGTATGTGTTTTAGTCATCTAATTGTAACCTATTAACTTTGAGTATTAAACCAAAGGAAACGGAATCGCAACGTATACCACCCTGTAAAAGGTACGAGAGTTCGACTCACAGTCGTTATATAAAACTATTTGATCCACGTCGTGCGCAATTACGCAAGTGATCGTACCAGTGAATTGAGCTCCGACAAAAATGCCGAATTGCAGTGTATTTTCACGCAAAAGACGATCAAAACCGTCAAACCTACAAAAGGACAACGTGACTTTTCATCTCTAAATACTTTTAACACAATTTTATCAGTAAAACTCGTATTTTCTGAATATTTTCGTAAAATACTAAGTGTTGCCAGCATAGTTCATGAAGTGAAAAATAAGCGATTTTAAAATAAATATAATTTCATACATTAAATAAATATATTAGCGAAAATTTATTTCATATTAACTAAATCAGTTTGTGACGAATAATAATCATTATATTAGGATGTGTAGTAGATTTTGTCAAATGATTTAAATATTCAGCTCAATCCCAATACGATGAAAATATTATAATTTAATATAATCGGTACTATTTTATATTATTATATTTTACTATAATATTTTGATAAAGACTATCAAAATATTATACAAAATAAAGGCCAAATAAGTCAAATCGAAACTTGACACTTCGTAACAAAGTTAGTTATATAAAATACCGTTATATAAAACTAGTCGCTCCGCGTCGTGCGCCATTACTTAAGTGAATTGTGCTCTGACGAAAATGCAGAATTGCGGTTTATTTTCATGCGAAAAAAATTTCTGATCCTGCAGGCCATCCCTGGAACTTCCCGCTAATTTGAAATGTAAAGCGCTCCAAATTTCATCAAGTTATGTTGCGAAATCTCGAAGTTATATTTAAAAAAAAAAGTTTTTGTCAAATTCTTTCTCCTTCGATATCTCACGAATGAATGAACAGATGTTTATTTTCCAAACGGCATTAGACGTCATTTTTTGAGTTCAAGAGTTGATTATTTTTTGAAATTCATCGGTAAAGCCGTTTAAAAGTTATTTCAGGAAACCAGTTTTTCGAAATTTTTATTTTTGAGATTTCTCAAAATCTACTCGTCCGAATCAGTTCATATTATCACCAAATCTATTCCACATTGAAGTCATCATAACGCTGTAAACCGCATCTCAATCGATCAAGGCGTTCCAACAGTTATGAAAGGTTTACATACTTACACACACACACACACACACACACACACACACACACACACACACACACACACACACACACACACACACACACACACACACACACAATAAACACACACACACACACACACACACACACTCACTCACTCTTTCACACACCCACTCGCTCACAAACACACACGCGCGCGCGCACGCTTATTTATACCTTTGGCGTGAATATTATAATTTTTTCATTTTAATTTTATAGTTAATTATTATATAAAGATCATACGAATAGTAATATAAGTGCTATGGAAGAGTGGAGTCTCCTAACACAAGTTTTTATACTTAATAGGAGACCTCATTGCCGGTTATAATTTATGTATGATCATTTACTGAATAGACTATTTCTATTTATTATTATTAAACCAATAATAGAAAAAATACTACTATTTGTAATAGTTTATTAAAAATCTAAACAAAAAATAAAAACCTGTTCGGCAGACAAACCGGAATGTTTTAATTAACTTATCGACAGCTAAAGTTGTGGCACACATCACTACATTGCACTACTTGCGGTTGCAGTGATACCAGTAAATTTTACAAAAATTATACATTATACATTTGCTACAAAGTGGCATGTTTCGATTCGATATATTGACATATTTGACCTTCATTTTGTGTAATATTTTATAAAGACTAGTTATCGATTATATTAAATTGTATAATTAATTTATAAAAGTATTCACAGATGTAAAGTTGTCAGTGAAAATCGAGTTTTCATCAGATCTCGACGTTTTGAGATCCCAGGAAGCTATTCTGACTAATTTCACGTGGACGTCCGCACGGATGTATATATGTATGAGTGTGCGCGCGCGCGCGCGTGTGTGTGTATGTGTTTGTGTGTGTGTGTGTGTGTGTGTGTGTATGTGTATTATAAATAAATGACATTATTTCATATTTCTTAAAATAACCTCAGTAACATCATATCTCTTATGAAATAGCCATTCGGTTAGAACTTAGAACATATTTGCAATTATAGTAGTTAAGGTGATGAATTTTTATGCTTTTATTAATGGAGTTGTATAGAGTCGCTGACTGTTTTACATATTCCCTCCTAGCTTAAACAGTTTTAACAGCGACAGCTGTAGCCATGACGTTTTTCCTTCTTTTGGCAATACAACGGTGGTTTACAATACAACGGTTAAACTTTATATCTTTATGTAGTCTTAGAAATGAATATTAGATGTACGGTTTCCTAACAGTAAGTACATTACTTATGGAATAATGATCTCCTGTATGGCATCTTTTAAAATTTTGGTTTAAAATGCATAATTTTTAATAAATTTCTCTGTGCTCTTTCAACTTCTAGAAAATTGGTTTTTGTAGCTCCACCCCATACAGAAATAGATTATACTAAGATGTATTGAATCAAAGCAATATAATATTTGGTAAACTAACTTTTCGTCTTAGTTTTTTAAATGGCCATGTATGTTTCCTAACTGTATTCATGATTAATTCACTGTATATATGCCATGACAAATGTTGGTCAACTATGACTCCTAAATATTTGGCCTCAGAGACCTTACTAATTAATGAACAGCTGCAGCTAGTACTTAAGGGATTGTAGCATGTGTGAAGTTTAATTTGGAAATTAATATTAGGCTGAGTTCGAATATAATTTGATTAACATATATAACTAGTTTTCAAAGTATTTAAAGTAAGTAGGTTAGCGTTAAGCCACTTAGTGATCCTAGCAAGGCTTTCTTCACCAGAACAGTATCCCAGGAGTAATCAGTAAATATTACTGCAGTATCATCTGCATAGGAGATTTTTATAAATCATATTTCATACCCCATTAAATCAATAAAAGAAGGTAAGCCGATACTGCTATATCAACCTTGAACTTGTGGGAGGTAATGTCCAGCTGTAATTATATCAATAGATTAAATAGTTTTATTATTACCCTCGACACCAATATTATTCTACTTGAAAATATTTTAGAATTTCGACAAGTTTACAATTATGACTTCTTATATTTACGCGAAAACTACACATTAAATGAAACTAATTTTACGGATTTATCGCGTTAAATTTTGACTTATGATTCCCGACGTTTAGGGTACTTTACAGTACCAATTTTAATGTCACAACTTTTAAATAAAAAGCAATAGCATAAAAAGGTTTCAATAGCAGTTACGGAATTTAAAGAAAAAGTCAAAAGTTTGCAATAAATACCAGATTCGCTGACAGAGTCATCTTTGATAAATAAAGAAAACAAACAGTTACTAGAAAAGATAGGAACTGAAGAAAGTGAACCTTTAAATAGACAATTACTTAAAAGTAAGTCCGAAAACTGCCCAGAACTAAATACTTCAAAGACTTAAGATGTTTCGCCCTAACACTTGATTATTAACGATAATCCTACAATATCATCAATGGCCGACCAGGGTTTACTCAAGGAGCGTTGACAGTCAGATCATTTCTTCCTTTCTCTTCTGCATGTCTCCCCAGGTCGTCACTCCATCAATGGGGGGAAGGTCGCCCTATACTTCCCCTACCGGTACGAGGCTGCCACTCGAGAACCTTTTTTCCCCAACGGTTGAGAGTTCTTCAAGCTATATGGCCGGCTCATTACCACTTCAGCTCACTAATTCGTTGGGCTATGTCGGTCACTCTGGTTCTACTGCGGATATCCTCATTTCTAAGTTTATCACGCAGAGAAACTCCTAGCATAGTCCACTCCATAGCTCATTAAGCGACTTCGAAGCTTGCTATATAGCTTGAAAACGTCTTCCAATGCAGCGGTGAAGAGTTTCGGGGAAATAACGTCACCCTGTCTTACACCTCTCTGCAGTTGGATAGGTTTCGTACTCTGCTTCTGTACTCGGATAGCTTTCGTAACCCTACTGTACAAACACTTCAGCACTTCGATATACCGACAGTCAACTTGTCACCGCTGAAGAGACTGTAGCACCGCCCAAATTTCGACGGAATCAAAGGCTTTCTCATAGTCCACATACGCCAGGCAAAGTGGCAGATTGTACTTTTCGGACTTCTGTACAATTTGCTGAAGGGTATGTATGTGGGCTGGAAGTCGTCTAGTCTGCATGCGAGATGATTCATAATGACTCTCGAAAATAGCACGTAGATGCGGCTCAAGGGATATCGGTCTGTAGGTCTTCAAGAGGACCTTATCACCTTTCTTGAAGAACAAGACCACCGCACTTCTGTTCCACGCCTCGGGAGTAGTGCGTCCATTGAGGACGAAATTGAAAGCTTCTGAAGGATTTCAAGTACCGGTTTTCCACCCGCTTTCAGAAGCTCCGCTGTGATTCCATCCTCGCCCGGGGACTTGCCGTTTTTAAGGTGCTGGAGAGCCGTTCTAATCTCGCTCAGACTGACGTCCGGGATATCATCGGAATAGATAGCTATTATATTCTCCTCTAGCTCATCGTTAAGACGTGATTTATGACATGAAATATTAATAAAGAGTTTATAGACATTCGATCATCATAGTATTTAAAAAAAATTCTGGATAGGCTCGTAATTTGGCTCTTTTTACATACTCGTAATACTGGCTATCTCGTAATTTAAGGGTGTTAAGGGAATGCACCAGTAATAGTGGCAATATGTTTTCTTCTTGGCTAGATACAGCAACAGTGGAATCACAGCAATATCGTCGTCCACGTTCTGGCACGCTGGCTGAATATCTGTACTCAATAGCTGGTATCACTCAACTGAGTCAAGTTATTCCAAACGAAAAAAAACGTATGTGTATGATGTATGTACGGAATTCCGAATCGTATGTAATGTATGTGACCGGCCCATATCAGGTATTCAGACATGCCAACGTAACCAAACGTCACTTTTAGTCAAGCCACGCTGGCAGTAGGGATGAGCAAATGAAAAATGATATCGAAATTTATCCTATCGATTGCCACAAACTAATAAGAGTTCGATTGCTGCTTAATGTTTTGTCTATTATATTATAAAATAAATATAACATTTTAAAATATATCGAAATTGATACGAATTCGATACTCTAAAATAAATATCGAATATCGCTATACATGGAACTAGAAAAAAAAACCTTTTTTTCTAGGTCCATGGTATACCGCGATAAAAAATACACTATAAATATCGATAGTTTTGTGATAAAATATCTAAATTTTGATATACCGATATTTTTAGCAAGCCTAGTTGGCAGCATTGACATTCTTTGAAGTGATAACTGACACAGAACTAGCTTGCTACATATTTATTTATCGATGCACAGAACACTATTCGTACAATATATTACTTTCCTCTATGCACAGACACTATTACTCCTATCCACAGATACCTGTATAAACTGAAAGCCTGCTCCTATCGGAGATAACTGATAAGTGATGGGCACATAAGCATTTGAAAACATTATCTGTTTCAGTTAAGACTATGTATGTAAAAACTTTTGCATAAAATGTAAAAATTTACGCTTTATTTACATTTTGTTTTGTTTGAATGTTCTAATAGATTCATTTATGTTTATTTTATTTCGTTAATATTAATAGTTTATTAGGTAGGTACAAACTAGTAACTGGGGTTACATTATGTGTTTATTGAGAAGAATAGTTAAAATAAAAGTGCAAAATGTGTACAATTTAGCAAGGACACTGGTGAGTATAATTAGGTTATAGTAGTGAGTATATATATATATATATATATATATATATATATATATATATATATATATATATATATATATATATATATATATATATATATATATTTGTGATTTGTACTTTACAAACATTTGTACAGATTTGTACATTATCTTCAATTTTTATAACAGAGTACTTTACCCGAAATAAGAATTTATGAAGTAGGACCAAGAGATGGTTTGCAAAATGAATCTAAATTTGTTCCAACAAACATAAAGATCGAGCTAATTCATAAACTTGCTGCAGCTGGAATCAGAAACATCGAATCTGCAAGGTTTGTTTATTTTCTTAATTAAAAAAACAATTTATTTGTTTTGCAAGTGCAATTTAATTCCAAAATTAAATTACTTGTAGTTTTGTTAGTCCAAAATGGGTAAAGCAAATGAGTGATGGCATGGAAGTTATGAACAATATTATAAGGACCCCGGGAGTCAACTATCCTGTTCTTATACCAAATTTGAAGGGCTATGAAACAGCTGTAAGTATAATTTTTTTTTATAGGTTTATGGTGACAAACTAACACACAGTTTACCTGATGGTAAATAGTTGCTGTGCCCCATAGACATCTACATCTATCCTCAAATTGCAGATGATCTGTCACCCATGAAGACTAAGATGGAATGCTTTGTTTCCAGTTTGAAATATCTCCAGTTCTCTACATTCACCATGTGGAACACAGCAGTGTTAAGCTGCTATTTTACGCTGGTATTCTGTGAGAGTGTGGTGGTTCCCTGGTAGAGATGACCTATTCGTGTTACAACTATACTACTAATATAGCTGCAGCATGGCTCTACCTCATATGAATTTGTTTGATGATACTAATCTTACTATATTTTAAATAAGTGGTAATATTAATTTATTTACCTACAATTGTGAAGAATATATACTCAAGCTTGAGTCTTCTCATCATTTATCATTGTGTGTGTTCAACAGTGAGAAACATAATAATCATGACAAATATGATTTTTTTTTTATTTAATATTCTTTATTGCACACCATATAAAAATTTACTGATTATATATACAAAAGAAGTAATTATGATGATAAATTAATTATAATTCACTATGTAATTTTTTTAATTTATACCTACTATTATGATGTCACGATCCTACAAGATAGTAAAGTTTTGTAAAGAACACTTATTTATTATAACAATGCAAATTTTGTAGATTAAATGCAATATTGAAGAAATTGCTATATTTCCTGCTGGCTCTGAAGGGTTTTCTCAGAAAAATTTAAACTGTTCTGTTGAAGAAGGCTTAAAAAGATTCAAAGAAGTAGCAGTTCAAGCTTTAAAGGATGGCTTAAGAGTAAGGGGTTATATATCTTGTGTGGTAGGATGTCCATATGATGGCCCTGTCAACCCTAAATCCATTGCCAAGGTATAAAATATTTTTTATGTAATTTGTACATTATGTTTGAAAGCTATAAAATATTCATAAAATAGTTTTGAAAAATGACAGTAGTTAAGGTCGCTGGTATAAATAAATTCAGTTAGTTAGTTAGTTTGAATTGCTGTTCCAATACTGTCGTGAGCCACTTCTAACACTAGCAGTATTAAGCTTACTTGGAGTCGTAAGTGAGGTTATTCATAATGTTAATATCATTAATAGTATTCCTTTTAGAATAAAATAAATAAAGAATAAGGTTCTCTTAAAAAATTTTAAAAATCTAGAATTATTTTTAAATAAACTATTACAGCATTTTGACAGTAATCTCTTAATAAAATTTAATTTTCATTTGTTAATTGAAGGTTTAAGAAAAGAAAACTAAAAATTCAACATTGATATTTAAATTTTGTTAAAATAAACTTTTAGATAACTGAAGAGCTGCTTGAAATAGGTTGCTATGAAGTTTCTCTTGGTGATACAATAGGAGTTGGCACTGCAGGATCAGTGCAACGACTTCTTCGTGAAGTGCTAATGGTTGCCAAACCAGAAAATCTAGCATTGCATTTCCATGATACATATGGACAGGGTCTGTCAAATTTGCTTGCAGGTTTAGAGGTAATTTAATTATTTATCTTTTTGTTCATGTGATCATAGTGATGGCTTTACGTGCATTCTGAGGCATGGGGGTTAATTTCTTGATAAGAATACCAAACAATGTATTTTGTGATGATCAGGGATTTGAACCCTCCTCAGGATCAGCAATCACATTTATGACTACCAGACCAATGAGGCAGTCGAGGGACATGGTAAATAGTGGAGTATATTTTATAAGTTGCTGTTTGTGTACTTTTATAACAATACCACAAGTTAAGAATCATTGCAATAATAAAATCCTTATACTATATGTCCCAGTAAAATGTATATTTATGAAATATTATAAGCCAGTGCTTGCAGTGTTGATAATGATTAGGAACCGAAGAACCAAAGATTGTAAAATAAACTGCCTTTTGTATATTATATTGAACACATGTGCAGCCCCACCATTGCCGATCGCCCCATGGCTGGCCTCGTCGGGAGAGGACAACTCCTCCCCTTTGTAAGGCTTGCCTCCTGTAAGGTGTGCCTAACTCCGTGGCTTTTAACTTCACCTGCGAAGCAGCCCTTCCTCCCAGAGCGCGGTACGTGGAGACCATGCAACCCCCCCCCCCCCCCGCTAGCCATAGTCCACCAACGCGTTTCCAAAGAGGTCTAGGCAAGCCCACTTTGAGCGGCCACCTCGGCGCGGCCCTACGGCTTGAGCCCAGCCAAGTCCGCTTACGAAAAGTGTGATCGGGCGAGGCGAACGGGAGTTGAGTGGGGAATATAAGCAAAAAAGAGCAGTGCGCGCGCACATTTTCTTTCTCTCTTTCTCATAGCCAGTTACGTTCGGTATTTTATGAATTAATATTTTGTTCAATGCATTAAATATTCTACGTTTAAAGTAAATAAAGTTATAAATTCATTTATATACATAGCATACGGCTCACCTGATGGTAAGTAATTACTGCCGCCCATGAACAACTGCAACACTAGGAGAATTGCAGATGCGTTGCCGGCCTTTTAAAAAGGAGTAAACTCTTTAACTCTAGCGGTAAAATGCGCAAAGAGATGTAACATCTCTTTGAAGTTGCTGCTGCTGCCAGCTGCTTGGGATCCTATAATTAACAAAATTAAACCCAAACCCAAGCATACCACTGCAAGACTTCATGATACTATAAGCTCGTTTTGCGTAAATCGGACCAAAAATTAATATTCAAAAACTGAAGGTAGCCGGACTAAACTATGCCATTAGGACGTCAAACATCTCAGTCCCCCCCCGTGAACATGGGTGCTGTAAAGCATCCGAAACGTCGGGATAATAAAAATAAATTAAAGTAATTAAACGCGATAAAATCCGTAAATAATAGTTTTATTCAATGTGTAGTGTTCACGTAAATTTAAGAAATCATTATCTCTTCGGAGTGCCAGTGAGTCAAGCAGAACATAAAGAGCTCGGTCACCGACGATTCGAACAGCTCTGCGCTGGATGCGAATAAATGGAAGGAGCTGCCACTGGGTAGCTCCTGCTCAGATATGGGAAGTATTCATGTACGGCCGAACCTGCGCCTTGTAAAGTTGCAGGCGGTGAGCCGGCATGAAATACTGTCCCGCTTTGCTGAGCACGCCAAGCTTATTAAAGGCCAATTTGGCCTTCTCTTCCAAGTGACCACCAAACTATCACCAGTGCTGTCGTCTGCATAGCAATGAATGTTACCGGTTTGCAATATAGGTATGATATATATGAATATATTATAATATATATGATATTCAGAAGAAACAGTGTTGGTGATAGCATGCAACCTTGTGGAGGAACACCAGCGTTAATAGGCTTGTAATCGGAGCACGCATCGTCTAGTAGACCTTGATGTTCCGATCAGCAAAAAAACTGGTTACCCAATTGCACAATTTCTTGGGAAGCCCATAGGAAGGAAGCTCGTAAGAAGCGCTTTGTACCAAACCCGATCGAAGGCCTTCACTATGACCAAACTAACGGCCAACGCGTCCCGCTTGGACTCTACTGCCTTCCCCCATTTATGAATTATGTCACCCAGAAGATCACCAGCCGAGCGACCGTGACGGAAAACGTACTGGCGGTCACTAATCCGCTGGTGATCCTCAAGGTACCGCATGAGCTGACTGTTAATAATGGATTCCATTATTTTAGAGAACAAGGAGGTGATGGCGATGTGCCTATAGTTGCACGGATTAGAGCGGTTACCTATTTTAGGGATCGTGTGCACGAAGGCTGTGTGCCATGATTTCGGGACTACGCCTAGGGAGTAGGAGTACCGGAAAACACGCGTTAAAACCGGTGCTGACTGCGGAGCACACGTCTTCAGCACAATAGGAGAGACGCCATCAGGCCTACTCTACTTGTTGACGTCCAGGGACAGGAGTGCTCTGCGCACCGAGCGTTGGGTAAACAGCACATCCTGCATGGAGCACTCACATCGCGGGATGGTCGGCGGTGTGTTCCCCCGTCATCAAGAGTCGAGTTGGACGCAAAGAGAGAGCCCAGTAGATCGGCTTTGTCCTTTGTGGCGTGAACTAGTAAGTCGTCCTCCCTGTGCAGAGACGGAAGAGATGGCTGACAGAAGTTCCCTTGGACAGCCTTGGCGAGATACGGGAATACACGTGTTCCCGATGGAAGACAAACTAGTTTCTCGCCAATTCTGCCGATGTGCTCGGACTTTGCCTTGACAATGACACTTTTGAAGGATCTGGAGGCAGAATCATACTTCGTTTTTCAGAGCGCTGGTATTTGCATCCCGAGACGTCGATGCGCGAGCCCAGGCCTGGTAGCACTCTTACTTATGACGTAATGCAGTTTTGTGGGAGCGACCAAACCATGCCTGGGTTCTGCCGCCGATGAAAAACAAACCCGCCTCCAAAGGTAGGATGCAAAAAAAGATCGCATCCAGTCCCAATCGGCTGACCTATTAATGCCAAACACGGCGGCAACCTGCAGTACCCAACCGCGATGGGAGCGTCAGTGGCACCGTTCTCCGGATCAGACAATGGTCCGAGTAGCCAAGAGGGGCATCGACGGAGACCTGATATCCGTCCGGATGAGAGGTCAGCAGAAGGTCCAACAGGGAAACTACATGATCTTCCACTTCTGGGGTCCGCGTAGGTGAGGTAACCAGTTGTATTAGACCATATGCCAAAGCAAAAAGCAAAGTTATAAACAGATCTACCCGCATGATCGGTTAAACGAGAACCAAGCCATTCAGCGTGGTGGGCGTTAAAATCACCAAGCATCACGATCTCTGCGGATGGGACCTGTTGTAGCACAGAGTCTGCAGCCATCTGGACGTGGTCGATGAGTCGATCTGTGTCGGCATTACCGCTATGGGACCTATAGAGGCACCCGTAGACGCGAGGATGGTCGTCGCTGTCTACACGCAGCCATAAGATGAACAGGTGCCTTCAAGGCTGCCGAGGCGTCGAAAACAGATGTCACAATGGAGTTTTTTAATTTGTATGCCGGGTAGGAGAGATACGAGGTATCAGCCGGAGAGGATACCTGTGTCTCAGTTAGAAAGAGCAAGGCCGGCTTCGCCGTTTCCAGATGATAGTAGACGGCGTTAAGGTTTGAATGAAGTCTCCTGATGTTGCAGAAATTCGCGGATAGCGTGGCAGGGGGGGTGCCTTTGACTTATTTATCCGTTTGCTCTGAGCAGGTTTACTTTCGAGCGGAATTTCGCCGTTCCCCCCAGAATACGCGGGACAGCCTGATCACCCACGCTCAGGAGTAGAGTAGCTTGCTCATGGATGATTCACCGGGGATGCTGGTACCCTCCTGGAGTAGTGTTATATTTAACTCCGCTACAATGTTAAGGGGGGAGGGGGGGGAATTGGGCCTCCGGCCACCTGCACTCACCAGACGAAACGCAGAAGCAGAGCCTTGTCTTCTGTGAGATCGTGGTACCACCCCGGTTGGAGCCGGCCCATACGTGCAACAGCAAAGGCTGCCGCGTGGCTTTACCACTGTTAAAGCCAGTTACCAGTTCTCACGTAAGCTGTACCTACGTATGAAGTTCGTCGGTTTTTTCGAATAAGTTTTTCGACTACTGGAACATGAGTGACCGGAACTGTTAGCCGACCTTCTTATTCAAAGCTTCCCCATCATCTTTTATTTCAATTTTACCACTCACCAAAAATTCATATTATTCTTGAGGCTTTAAACTTTTATATATTCATAGTAAATCATAATGCGAAAATCACGTTGAATGAGTTTCATTGCTGTGAAACGATTCCCGCCTTATTTTTCAAGTTTCATTTTCAAATTTATCAGTAAATATCCAATCTTGTAACTTGCCATTTTCAAACGTACATGAGTAAAAAGTATCTAACTTCATTTAGACCATAGATATAAGAAATAAGGAGATATGCTCAGTAGTTGAAAATGTATCGGAACCCGGTGTCTCCAGTTGGCCCCTACCACGCGCCAACTACTACATATGCACATCAGTAAAAGCAATAGATACACAATCGCGCACACACTCGCATTTTATAAATCAGAACATACTACACAACCAGTTATAAACCTTATCTCATCATACGCAGCGTGCATTTACCATGCACCGTACAAAACTTATTCACACAAAAACATCTGTCGCTATCATTCACTCACAAAAGCCGGCAGCGGCTGCTTCACGAAACTATCGTGTGAGTGAGAGTATCAGTAAAACACTTATCCATTGCGCTATTAGACCAGCTGATTCACAGGTCGATTTGTACTAAGCAAGCAATGGTTTATGTTTTAATGAAAACATTTGATTTGGTTTTTCATCGTGTTTCTAGTACCACGAAGTAATGTTTTAATAAATTGAATAAGAAAAACATTAATATTTTAGTACTTACGTGTGAAATGAGATGCCATCTTTCATGTAATTCACAATACAGCTGTTATTTTTGCAAACAATCACTGAACAACGCGGCATTTTGTCAAAAATCACGAGCAGTGAAGACGTCACAAGTTGACATTCGACTAATTACCGAAACTGGCATCAGGCCGCTTTGCGGCCAGATGCGTTCGCAAGTGCCACGCCTCCTTGCCATATCTCCTGTTGTTTATATGATCTGAGATTTAGACCACATACTTACAATTTTGCTAAAAATGTAGGCTCAAGTGGAGTATCTGTAGGAAGAAGGATTTTCATTAAACAATGTACCAGACAACAAATAAAGATTTTTTTATGGAAGAGGGGGCAAGCGAGCATGCGGCTCACCTGATAGTAAGTAGCTACCCCGCCCATGAACTACTCCTAAGTATTGTATTTATTCGAAGATTTTCGATTAGAATTTGTAACAAGTTACTTCCGTACAATTATTGAACAAAATACTACAATACTACAGTTAAAATATTTTATTTTTCAGTTTGGTATCAAGACCGTGGATTCGTCTATATCTGGTCTCGGTGGATGTCCATATGCACGTGGCGCAACTGGAAACCTAGCTACAGAAGATCTAGTGTACTTTTTATATGGCCTAGGAGTCAATACAAATATTGATCTAGTCAAATTAATCGAAGCAGGTCGCTTCATATCAAATTTTCTTGGAAAAACGACGGAGTCAAGAGTAAATAGAGCCATAAGTGATAGATTTAAAAATCACTCTGATATTGTAAAAATAGCGGCTTGTACAGTCAATAAGTGATGATAAAAGTGTTTATTGGAGGAATAATAATTGTGTACATAATTGTGTAATAAATCATTCCGTTTTTAAAGGGGTTTGTCTTATTTTAATAATGTATTTATCATTTACGGAGGTTCTTCCGCAAGAGAACAACAGAATATGAGATAAATAATATTATTTAAAGACAAGTTTTTTGTTGTTAAGTTTCCATTTACTATTGAAGTAAAATTTGGTTACATTAATTTTATTTTATGCAAAAAAACTACTAGTATAAAAATATCATATCTGAAAGTAAGATATACGAGGGTGGATTGAAAAGTACTCGGCCTAACACAGATCCATTCAATTCTAAAAATCAAATCTACCCACATTATTTAGTTCAGTTCAGACTAGTTCATTGTGTGAAGTTCGAAACGTGTGCGATAATTAGTTGTGATTTTATAAATTTATTAACAAAGTAATCGGACATAATTTCCGCGAATGGAGCAAATCGAGCAGCGTGCCGTCATTAAGTACCTCCATAAGAAGGGGCTATCATCAAAAGCCATCCATGATGACATGGTCAATACATTAAGCGATTGTGCTCTGTCATATTCATCCGTCAAAAAATGGATAGCAGAATTTAAGCGTGGTAGAGAGAGTGTGAAAGATGAACCCCGCTCTGGAAAGCCTTCGACGTCAACTACTGACGAAAACATTAAAAAAGTACTTGATTTAATAATGGGAGACCGCAGATTAAAAATTAAAGAGATAGCCGAGATTATAGGCATCTCTTATGAACGAACTCAAAACATCATTGTCAACGAGTTGGGTTTCCACAAGGTGTCTGCGAGGTGGGTTCCGCGACTGCTTTCAGTTGAACAAAAAAGGACGCGATTGACTATTTCACGCGACTGTTTGGAGTTATTTGAAGCCGATGCAGATGATTTTTTGAATCTTTTTGTTACTATGGACGAAACATGGGTTCATTACTGTACACCGGAAACAAAACAACAATCAAAACAGTGGAGAAGACCTGGTTCACCACCCCCTAAAAAGGCTAAGTCGATTTTGTCGGCAAATAAGGTGATGGCTTCAGTATTCTGGGACTCGAAAGGTGTGATTATGATTAATTATCTTGAAAAGGGTCAGACTATAAACTCTGATTACTACTGCACCTTACTTCGTCGTTTACGAGAGGAAATAAAAGAAAAACGTCGAGGAATGCTCAGAAGAAAAGTCCTGTTTCATCAAGATAACGCCCCTGTTCACACGTCAGTACAGTCAATGGCTGAAATTCACAACTGTGGCTTTGAACTGTTACCGCATCCGCCGTATTCACCTGATCTGGCACCATCAGACTTCTTTCTGTTCCCTAACCTAAAAAAGCACTTGGGAGGTCAAAGATTTTCGACAAACGACGAGGTCAAAGAAGCTGTAGACGCATATTTTGACTCGAGGATACATATTTTGACTTGAGGAAGAATCATTTTTTTCAACGGTCTAAATGCTTGGAAGGGGAGTTGGCAAAAGTGTATTGAACTTGATGGTGATTATGTAGAAAAATAAAAATATAACTGATTTAGTTTGTGTTTATTTTCTTGGTTAGGCCGAGTACTTTCAATCCACCCTCGTAGGTTTTTATACAAAAAATATATAAATAAATATGAAGAATTTACTTTCTGCTTAATTAGACTTCTGTCCACAGACTAAGAAGAGTACTTGCGTACTTCTATAGTTCATACTTTATTCAAAATAGGCGCGTTATCGTTTAGTTATTACTTTGACCTTTAATAAAAGGTCAACAAACTTCTGATAATCAAGTGTAATATTCTTGTCCAGGACATATTTTTGATCCCTATAAGATTGCAAAAATGAATGCAGTTATTAAAACGGAAAAGTTAAATATTGGTGGCAGTTATCCGTGTTTTGTAATAGCTGAAATTGGACAGAATCATCAAGGCGATATCGAGATCGCAAAAAAGCTTATAAGAGCGGCTAAGGTATGTTTTATTGTAGCAATGTCTATTTACACCTTTGTCCGTTAAGAATTAAGAGGAAATTGTATCACTTCAGTGCATTAAGGAAACATTTATAGTATTTCTTGTTACTTTACTAATAGAATGAAAATATATAATACTATAAATATAATATATGTACTATACGTTATTATTATATTGGGTGAAGCACTGATTAGATGGAGCAAAGATCTTAAGTACTAGGTCATGGTACTTACTATTAATCACAGTAGGTACCTTCAAAAATATCACTTATTTTTGCAGGAGAATATCCAAGATGGAGGAATCGTAGAGGAAAACATCTTAACTGCAGAGCATTAACGCTTACATTTTGATCAGATCGGATCATATCTGTTTCAAATGCATAAAATAGTTCAAATAAAAAAAATTCTAGAAGGGTTATCGACATTTCTATATTATTTTGATAATTACAGGAATCTGGCGCTGATTGTGTAAAGTTCCAAAAAAGTTGTCTAAAAGAAAAATTCACTAAAAAATGCTTAGATCGATGTTATGATAACCGTAATTCGTGGGGCAAAACGTATGGAGAACATAAGAGACATTTAGAGTTTTCAGAAGCCCAATATGAAGCTTTATTCAAGTATGCAAAAGACATTGACGTCCTTTTCACTGCCTCTGCTATGGATATGGTAATACATACATCACTACATAATATAACGAAAAAAATATTGTCTATAATTATAATATTTCAAAGACATCGTCATTGATATTTTCCCTTGCAGCCTATAAAAGAACACCGCTGAACATAGATCTCCCCCATAGATTGCCTTATAGGGGAATTCGCAATACTTGCCATGTTTTGCAGACGGTTTGGCAACCGCAATTTTTTTTATGATGTTGAGTTGTTATCAGGAAGAGGCTGCTGTGTATCTCCTGTTTCAATTTCAGCAGAATTGGGCTCTTAGTCTTACTTCTTACGGGACGATTAGTGGATATTCTTAAACCGCCACTACAGGGTATTGTTTACATTAATTTTTATTTAATGTAGTTAAGTTAGTCAAGCTATCATTAAATAATTTGAAGCAACGTAAGTACGAAGTTTTCGATTTAGCAGTTCAGCACTGAACCCGCCTGCGCTTTTGAGTTGAGTATGAACTTCTTAAGAAGTACATCTTAGTTGACTCATTTTTAGAAAGAGCTGGCAATAAAAATAATTAACAGAGACGTGATTACCTTTGCAAAGGTATTTAGAAGATAAATTGTACGCAATATGAACTTTTATATTGAATGTCAGATAAATGTCGGATAATTTAGATAACAATTTTCTCGTGATGCATTACCGAATTAAATAAATGAGTAGCCGGTGTATTGTGAAATTTGTAGATTGTTGCTTTAAGGTTTCACTAGTTGAATCTGCAGAAGTTGTTCTGCCCTGCCCTGCCCTACCCGTAATTAATTTTCGTAGAATTCACACTGGACTTTTTATAGTGTGAATATAACATTTATTGATTACTCGACCACAACGCCACCAATCGGTCCCAGATTATGCGATTTTTTGGCTCTAAATCAACTTATATAGTGAATATTGGTTCATATAAATATTTGAAGAATATTTTTATGAACCAATATTGATAGAAAATATAAGTGGTTTGGATGAATTATGTATGAAGGAGTTAGACTTGGAGAATGTATGGCAAAATGTAAAGAAAGGTTTAGTGGATGCAGCTACCGAAGTATGTGGTGTTAGTAAGAGGAAGAATGAAGTTGAAGCAAAGAAGAGAGCATGGCTAGATTTACTAGCAACAAAGGCTGGTAATTCTAGCGGTACGAATGATGATATTGAAAGAAAAAAGGCAGTCTTTAAATGGATATGATAGAGTTTCACTCGAAATGCTAAGGGCTGGAGAGGAAGTCGTGGCAGGCCTGCTGCACACCTTGTTTAATTTATGCTGGGAACTGAAGCGGGTACCGGTAGACTGGTGCAAAGCCGTGATAGTCCCAGTATATAAAGGAAAAGGGTCGCAGCAGGACTGTAAAAACTACCGTGGCATCAACCTTCTTAGCATTGTGGGAAAACTGTATGCTAAGGTACTGATTGAAAGGGTCATGAAAGAAACTGATGAAAAAATTTGGGATGTGCAAGCGGGATGCAGAAAGGGAATGGGATGTACAGATCAAGTCTTTTCCATGCGTATGATCGCGGAGAAGTTTTTGGCCAAAAACCAAAAGGTTTTTTGTGCGTTCATGGACTTGGAAAAGGCCTATGACAGAGTGGATAGGGATGTGCTATGGCAAACACTGAACTCATTTGGGTTGACCGCTGGCTTGATACAGGCATTGGAGTCTCTTTGTAGGGACTCTAGTGCTTGTGTTAGGATCAACGGGGTCTACTCGGACTGGTTTGACATCTATAAAGGTGTCAGACAGGGCTGTGTGGCTTCCCCGTGGCTGTTCAACCTATTTATGGACAGTTGTTTGCAAAATTTGAAAGATGAAGAATGCGGATTAAGAATGGGTGAGTTAACCGTCAAATGCCTTTTGTACGCCGATGATCAAGTTATCCTTGCGTCGTCGGCGGCCGAGTTGCAAATGATGGTTACATTAATGAACAGATCATTAAAAGAAAGGGGTATGAAAGTGAACGCAAGTAAGACGAAGGTTATGGTTTTTGAAAGAGAAGAAAGTAAAACGATTTGTGAAATAAGAATAGAAGGGGAGTTGATCGAGCAAGTAGATGAGTTTGTATATTTGGGCTGCGTATTTAGCAGGGATGGGAGATATGATAAGGATATAGAACGACGAGTGAATGCGGGAAATAGAGTAAATGGGGCCCTGCACTCTATTGTGAAGAGTCAAAATGTGTCAAAAAAAGGCACGAATGGCAATTCACAAAGCTGTGTTGGTCCCTACTTTAACGTATGGTAGTGAAAGTTGGGTGTGGCAGAAGAAGCACGAGAGTAGAATCAACGCAGTAGAAATGCGATCCTTAAGGAGTATGTTAGGGCTGAATCTAAACGACAGGGTAAGAAATTGTGTAATAAGAGAAGAGTGTGTTTTGCAAGATGATGTTGTGACCAGGATTAAGAAAGGAATGCTTCGGTGGTTTGGTCATGTGGAAAGAATGAATGAGGAAAGAGTGACAAAGAAAATTTATGTTGCAGAAGTGAATGGCAAAGTCGGAAAGGGACGTCTTAGGCGAAAATTTATCGACCAAATTGGCGATTTATTGAAAACGGGCCAAATTAGGAGTACCCTTAACCGACGAGCATGTATGCGTAGGTGTATGGATGTGAAGGAGGCGAGAGAGGTGTGTCAGGATCATGCCAAATGGAAGTCTGTAGTCTCTGCCTACCCCTCTGGGTGACAGGCGTGAGTGTTTATGTATGTATGTAAAAATATTTGTCAATAACTTGACAATAGCATCACCTATCGAACCATATCATAGCTATGAGAAAAACAAGTTGTTTAGAAGTTACTCGATCATTAACAGACGCACCAATAACACACTAAATCATCATTGTCACTACAACCCTTCATAAGTTCACATGAAATTAAAAAATATCGTGAAAATGGGCTTTCCCCACTCCACCACGCTCTATAACACTACGACCTTATAGATGGGCAGATTTTTCGTTTTAAAGTAAAGTAAAAAGTAATAACACAATCCTTTGATTATGTATTCTAAGTCTTCACCGTCATCATCATTTAATGTGTATTTTCAGATTTCGTTTGAGTTTTTACTAAACTTGGGTGTTCCGTTCATTAAAATTGGCTCTGGTGATTCGAACAATCTTGTTTATATCAAGTATGCTGCATCCAAAGGGATACCACTAGTAGTTTCGACAGGAATGGTGGATAAGTCTACTGTGAACCGTATCTACGATATTATATCAGCTCAGCATAAACAATTTTGCTTGCTGCATTGCGTGTCTGCGTACCCAACACCATACGAAGACTGTAATTTAATGGTGCTGCAAGATTACGGTAACAGTTTTGATGTGTGTGTGGGCTACTCTGGTCATGAACTCGGTACAGCTGTGGCTGTAGCTGCTGTCGCTTTAGGAGCAAAGGTAAGACGATACCAATACCCTAAATAATATACTTATACAGTAGGTAATGACGTTGACGGGCTCTTGACCGAATTTTGACTACGGCATCAACTCCCGAAGAATAAGCTACCATCAACTGCTCAGGAGATTGTGTGCCACAAGCATACACGCAACCACGTACACTAATTCATCCCTCTTCTAATTTATCAACCAATAAGAGTTCCTGTAGTAGGGAGTAAGTTGGATTTGTGTTGATTGGTGATACTGCCATCGTCAATCTTCCTGAGATTTTGGATCGGATTAACATACGTCTCGCCGTCATCGGTCTATCTATCGGAAGCCATATTAAGATTTCTTTACATTTCCCATAACCGCCTTTTCCGAAAACCACGGGACAAAATGGGGTAATGAGTTCTCTTACGTCGCCATTACCACACGGCTACCTAGACATCCTATTTCATTTCATACTCAATTAATTTCAGACATCACAACTGAACCCGACATCCAACAATTTGAGTTTTGCACAAATATTTGCTCTGGCACGAACTCGACCCAGAACTGCTTCACATACCACATCGCTTTGGAGTAAACATATCTGAATACTAAGATAAAACAACTCGAATTCAAATATCAACATAAGTCGTTGTTTGTGTCGGGATTATAATGTGACCTGCCTCTGTCCCCGATTCTGACCTACAAGTCGGCCTGACGCCTTATAACAGTTTTTCTTTTGTAGTCAGTCTTCATGCAAAAATAGAGGCATACATTCATCCTCCCTTACACGTGTCTGATCGTTTAGAAAAGTAGAATAAAGACTGGCTAAGTGCGTGTCGGGCCACGCACAATATAGAGGTAGGGTTCCGTAGTTGCCCATCACAGTACGTTCTCCACCCTGCCTATCCCGCAAATGAAAAAGTAAAGCTATACCTAGTAGTATTTCATATAAGTCGTTTCCTACATAAAATGGTAGTTTATATAGAGTTTACAATAACATTCAAAGCTATAATGCAGCTACAATACAGATACATAATATGTAAAATTCCAATACAAATGTTTCATATGCAAGTGCAAAAATCGTAATGAACAATATCTCGTAAAAATATTTAAGTTCTGACAATCATTAAAGTTTCGACATATAGGTAATAAAAATTGGGTTATTCCGTTTAACCACTCTAAGGTAAAATAAGTTAAATATATTCTTTACCGTTAGTGCAATAAGTCAGTATAGTATACATCTCAGGTGGATCTCGAAACACCATAAGATTTTTTTCTTTCCTTTTCAAACTATTTTCATGCACTAATCGATACAGGCTTTTTAAGAACGTGTAAAGTGACATGCTTAACTTTCGTGCGTCTATCCCAACGGAAAGGTGTTATAATAAACACGTGCAAGACGAAAATCTTGAGTCACACCTATGCCCGTTTTTATTGGGAACACTGCGCTCAATACTATTGACGGGTATGTTCACATAGGACAATTTATCCGACTAATACTAAGAGTTGCCTAAACCAACTTCGACGTAGAGGATCAGCAATCGTGAACGCAATTCATCTGGGCAGCGTTTGGGTGATCACTACACATTTTAATTAGTATACAAACAGTGCATGTAGCCAGTGATGACACATGGAACTGAGACATGTTTATTTTTTACTGCTGGCCGTATGAGGAAACTTAAGGTTGCTTAGCGAGCTATGGGCAGCTATGCTTGGAGTTTCTCTGCATTATAAAATTCTTAAAAAAGATATCCGCAGTAGAACCGAAATAGCTGACTTTGCTCAACGGACCTGTTTTCAGTAAAATATGAAGTGACATTAGACCAGCATGAAACCTACCCTCGGTGACATTAAATGACGTTGTCATACCCTACAGTAAATCTGTAAAAAATCTGGGGATATATCTAGATTCTACCTTGTCGTGGTCGCAGCAGTTAAAACAAGTGAGCAAAAAAGGTGTTTGCTTCTATGGGTTCACTTCGTCGTTTACGTTCTTTTCTCCCCATTCCCACTAAGATTATTTTAGCACAATCCTTACTTCTCTCTATTCTCGATTATGCGGACGCAAGTTATCTCGATTTAACTGAAGACCAACTGAACAAACTTGAGCGAATTCAAAATATTGCAATTAGGTTCATATTTGGTTTGCGCAAATATGATCATGTATCCGAATATCGTTTACAGCTCAAGTGGTTACCCATTCGCTGTCGCCGGAATTTGCAAACTGTATCTCTTCTGTACTGTGTGTTGTTCAATCCTTTGACTCCAAGCTACTTGAAGGAAAACTGTTTCTTGGTCATGATCGACCTGATAGAGTTCTTCGGTCAGCCGGCGAACTAATTCTAGAACCATGTTCATTTCGAACAAAATTTATGAAATATTCTTTTACGAGCCAAGCCATAAGGTTATGGAATGAACTTCGACTCCAAATTCAACGTGCACAAACTTTGGAAAGTTTCAAAAGTGACGTCAAGAAGCATTACCTAACACTTTGTGGTTATTGATAACCAATTCTAGCAACAGATAGTTATTCTGTGTTTTTTTTTTTGTTTTATATTTAATTATTTATCATCTATTATATATATATAAACTTATTTATTAATATGTAGGTTTATTTTATTATTGTTATTTTTTATGTATTATTGTGGTATTTTAACAAAATATAGTTTAGTTTATTTAGATATTAGAATGTAAGTGTAACATAAAACGCACCACCCCCTACTGTTCTTAATTCCAGTTTCTCCTTAGCCCAAAGGTTGTCTGGAAGAGATCGCTCTTTAGCGATAAGACCGCCTTATTATACATACGTATATATTAAGTTTCCTCTATAATGTATTTATTCGTTGTATATGTGTGGTGTACAATAAAGTATATACTACTACTACTACTACTACTACCAGCCATATAATTTAACGGACCGACAACCGATGTAAAAGAATTTTCTAGAATGGCAGCCACGTACCGGCAAGCGGAGTGTTGGACGGCACAAACCTGCTAAATGGAGTGAATTTCTTGGGAGATATTTATATAGATATAATAAAATTTATATTCCCCTTATGTTGCTCCTTGCTAAAAGCTGATGTTGCACAAGAGAGACAAGCATTGATAACAAATACCTTTTAACTACAGGCTATTATTATAGCAGGATACTTGCAATAATATTCATAACGTAATTCATCAATGATTTATTTAATGTTGTTTATCAATACAGGTAATAGAAAAGCACATAACTTTAGACAAAACCATGAAAGGCACTGATCATCAGTGTTCACTGACGCCGGACGAACTCAAGCAGCTAGTGAGAGATGTGCGTATTGTGGAGGCATCACTGGGATCATCTATTCAAATGGTTCTTCCATCCCGTATGTATTTTGATAAAAATATGTTAATGTATAATATACATAATTCAGTAATCCAAATGTCCACATAGTTTATATTTATTACTAACTAACTGATAATTACGGAAATATCGTTATAAATCTGGAAGAGTTATATTGTTTTAGTAGAACCACAAGAAATAAAAATATCAAATAGTTTTTATATCTTTAAAAGCAAACTAAAATAACATATAATGAATAAATTATAAATCCGACCTTGTCCATATACCGACCGCTAATCAGCATTAATCGGTAACGATAACTTTTCTTCTTTCTTTCTTCTTCTTTACTTACTACTCACTTTATTAACTTGTATTCTAAAAGATTGGTAACTTGTTCATCAATACACAAAAAAGATTGTATATCACAAAACTCTTTCCTTCCTTTTTAAAATATATACATATATATATATATATATAAAAAAAAATATATATGAAATATATATATATATATATATATATATATATATATATATATACATATATATGATGCTGACATTTAGAGCATAAATAAATAAATAAGCAGGCTATGTAAATACATTGAGTGCTGACGCTGTGTGCACCACACTAGCAAAATCTGTCGAGCGCAAAATTGTTAGCCTTCACTGGCGAAGATATCGCATAGCGTCCTTAAAAATAAATAAAAGGAACATACAGTCAAATTGTGTACCTCGTCCTTTTTGGAAGTCTGCTAATTAGAAACCTCTATGTCCTACACTTTAACCGAGTAGTGGGGGTTTAAGAATATCCACTACCCCACATCGTCCCGTGGGTGTCGTAAGAGGTGACATAGGGAAAATGAAACAGGTGGCCAACCCGCTTGCCAAGCGTGGCAACTATGGCAAAATCCCTCCAAAGTAAATCTATGAGGGAGGCCTATCTTCAGCAGTGGTCTTTTATAGGCTATAATGGATGTCCTACAGTGTAATGTACCTAAGTCGCACGCATTAGTTACTATAGCTTTGTTAAGTATTGTGTAAATCATAAAATGTTCTTTCATAAATAAAAATTTAGATGTAATAAAGTCATTATACGTAATTACTTTGTAAGTCGGTGGCTTCAAGCGAAAGTTTGGAACGATATTGTTGGCTTATGTGCAATTACTATACTGGCAATAAAGGCTTTACACGGAAAATGTTTCACAATAAGACTAGCAATTAGAGGCGGATACAATGTATATTTTCCTTGAAGCAAAAAATTCTTTGTTCAATATTTGTTCTTTCATGCACTGCCTGCATGAAAGAACAAATTGTTATCATTATTTCACCAATATTATAAAACGTTATTTTTCATGTTTTTCACAACTGAAGGGTGAACTCCTATATATGTATAATGTATATGTATGTTTGTCGCATAATGTCTGCCAAAGTTTCCAAAACGCAAGCGATTTGGAAAAATTTGGCAGCGATTATACGACATTACGAATTTCTATTTATGTCCCAATGGACAAAGAATCCCTGTTTTCCACAGCTCCCTGAATTAAACGAACTTCACGAGAATAGATTCGCGCTAGCACTTACTCGGACACATTTTTAAACCTGTGCATAGGTTAAAATAATAAAGCGTTTAGTTAGCGTAAAATGTACCTGGACATTTTAAAAACCAGACTTTTTCTATACCAACCGGACTGCCTGGGACAAAATCCTCGGAACATTTGTCCGCAGAAGACTATCTAATTATTAAAAAAAGTAAAGCCAATAAAAGATACCTACGGGCTACATTAAAGGTATACCTACGAATGCACATACGTATTTACAAATTTCCCATATCTTTAAAATACTAGACAAGGTATGGTCCAGATGATATTTTCTTTAAACTTAATAATTATAAATTACCGTAACAGTTATAATCCTTCAAATTTTAAGAGTCCACTACTGAACATAACCTCTCCTATAGATTTTGCTCATTGGATACTTTCCACAGTTGTTACTTTTGCCAGGCGAGTTGGCTACCGCAGTTATTTAATTATTACTTGTTATTAGGAAGAGGTTGCTGCTCACCTCCTGGTTTGTTTTCCCTTGTAAACAATCCCCTGATGGTGTGTGGTGACCACATGCAGCACATTTTTCTACTCTATATTATCTATACTTTGCGACATAGAACCGATAGGTACCCGACAATGGATGCACTGCTCCTTGGCGCCAGAAATAGGGAACTCCTCAGTCGGGGTACTCGTGCATACCAAACTCAGGCGGGATTTGTGGTAGAACTACTCCTTGTACTGCCATATAAACGTTTAAAAATCAAAATAAATCTAATATATAAAAATTAATGTTTGTTCGTATTTTTTTGCGCTGATATCGTTCATCAGATTGAACTTATGCCTTGCACTTGTGCAAAGGTTATAGGAGTAGTACAATTAACTTACAGTAATTGGCGCATGTATCGTACCGACAAATTTATTTGAAAGTTATATATCATTCAATTTAAATTAATGTATTTCTACTAAAATGGTTAAAGATATTTTATTCTCAAAATACATTTCACTTAATGAGAAGTTACAATATTCAAGATATACGAGTATATGGGTTATGAACATACAGATTACAATATTTTCTACACTGCCACTACTCGGTTAAAGTGTAGGAAATAGAGGTTTCTAATTAGCAGACTTCCAAAAAGGAGGAGGTTCACAATTTGACTGTGTGTTCCTTTTATTTATTTTTAAGGACGTTATGCGATATCTTCGCCAGTGAAGACTAACAATTTTGCGCTCGCCAGGTTTTGCTAGTGTGGTGCACACAGCGTCAGCACTCAATGTATTTTTACATAGCCTGCTTATTTTCACTCCAAGTGTCAGCATCATAGAAATGTTGCGATTATAAATTTTTCGGTTTCTTGTGTATTTATATACACAAAACAATGCCTCAGTGCTGTATTCTTTATTTTTTTTACAAATTTTTAACTTTTTTTTATTTTTCTATAATATTTAAGAATATCCGGAGTTTGTTTCATTCATTTCTAATCGATTTAATATAAAATATGTATATCTTATATTTCAGAAAAAATAACAATTAACTTCCCCCGCTATGAAATCTTTTAAATATTTCACCTCATTTCTATGTTGCGCAGCCCTGCTGGCAGAAAAGGTCGTGGAATTATTGACTCAATTTTAAAGATTCTTTTTTTAAAATAGTTGATTTTTTTTCTGTAATCGCTACGCTACGCTAAGGTACTGATCGACACACAAGCTTCGAGCTCGCGGTAAAGATCACGGCGGTTTTACTCGCGGCTCGTCGTTCCTAATACTCTGGCGAGCCAAACAGTTAATTTTTAGTTTGTTTGTTGAAGCAACATACCAATTTTCTTGTAACGTTGGCGCCTTCCAAACCAGCGCCCGCAAGACCGCGGTAAAGCTTGCCCGTCGATTAGGGTCTTCACACATTTTATAGGGCTTTATTCCGTCGTCTAACTATTACACATCCAACACCAATAGCTATGTCACTACAATTTATATCTTTTGTAAAAGAGCCCATGAATTTTTGCATTTTGGTCTGGAAATATTATGAGTGAGCACAAGTTTACTATACCTAGACGATGATACCCGTAAATCCGCAAGACCAGTTGTTTTGTTTTATTCTGAATATTTTGAAATTGAGAATTTTTATTACAATACTTTCAAACAAGAATTAGTATATTTGTTTTAGTCACAGTAGATTTTAATGTAACCTAAATTAACCGATAATCAATGTAAATTTAATATATTATATTATAATATAATATATTATAATATAATATAATATAATATATTATATTATATTATAGCTCAGCCAAGAGCAAAGCCGCTGATCGTAGGACAGAAGTAGACATAAGGAGACAAGTCTCATCCAAGTTCTGCGAACTCCTTGGTCCGTTATCGTGCTTTTGACCACCTCGTTGGTCTTGTGGTCGTAAGCGCGACTGCTGTTCAATGTGGTCTCGGGTTCTAAGTTCGGACGGACTAAAAAATCAATTACCTAGTTGGTTTTTCTCAAATTCTCAATAGCAGCCCGGAGTCAAAAAAGGTGATGTTTCAGTCTGAACCTCGAAAAACACGAAAACACGAGGCGGATACCGTCTCATTGGACTATGAAAATCTCAGATCATATAACTGTTGTTTATGAAAATCATAGGGCACTCTGAAAGTTCTGCGCCCCTGGCCGCTCAGTAAATGTTCGAATTTCGTATTTCGTATTTTTTAAACATAATAAACTATTTTTAACCGACTTTAAAAATAAGGAGGTACTTAATTTGACTGAATTTTTTTATTTGTAATGGGTAAACCGATTTTTGATGATTCTTTTTTTATTTGAAAGCTGATGGTTCTCATGTGGTCCCATATAAATTTAATCAAGATATAGTCACTAGTTTTTTAGTTATCCTTAATAATGCGTATTTAATTGACTTCGGCTACATTGATGATGTTCTCATTTTATTTATATTGAAGTCGGTTGTACAATTTTTCTTAATTTTACCGCTTGTATTTTATATAAAAGGGGCAAACGAGCACACAGTCCACATCTTATGGTAAGTGGATGCTGTGGCTCAAATACATCTGCATCTGTCTTCGATTGTAAATCACAATGCAGATTCCTTGTCACCCCCTGAAGACTAAGATGGAATGCCTCGGTTCCAGTAAAAGGATCTCCGGTTAGTTTTTAATAACAAGTGTTAACAAAGAAAACTGTAAATTTCCAGCAGTTATGTTTGTGATATTATGTTATTTTAGTTGAATTACTTAATATGTGTAAACAGGAAAGTTAATAGTTGATAAAGAAAAATTCTTTGTGGTCTCACAGATGTTGAGTGACTAAAGAGTCCTATACTCACCATAGGCAACACATCAGCATTAGGCTCTTTTATACGCTGGTGAGAGCGGTCTTACCCAGTCGATTCGACCCATTCGTGCTGAATTTCATTTTTCATTTCCATTCGTGCAAAAATGTTAAATTTCGAATTCAGTTTTAAAAAATGTACATCAACATTTAAAAGTGGAAACCTGAAGAAAAAGTTTAGACTTTGTTACGGATGACTCATGAACTCACCCCAGAACAAAAACGGACTCGAATTGATTGGTGTAAAACATTTTTGTTAAAGTATGATCACGGACGTTCAAATGAAAGGCGACAGCAAACCAACAAACTGAAGCGGGCAAAAAGCTTGGGAAAAAAATGATTACGTTTTTTATCTTCAAGACGGACCTTCGGACGGTCTGGACAATCCCAATAGGGATTGTGCAGACAAGGTTCATTATCTTTTACTGATCTAGTGATCAGCAAAAGATAATAAATACTCATTGTACACTGCAATTATTTTGCCCAGTACAGTCTACAAAAAAGTCAGGGAAAAACGACCAAAAAGTCGCATTCTACAGCACCATGACAATGCTTCGGCGCACACCGCAAACCGGACAAAGTACAAAGTCCAGACGTCGCACTATACGATTTCCTTAAAGTTAAAAAATGTTAAAGTTACAACCTATATACGTCCCAATGATGGGCACGGGCCTTCCCTCATTTATGAGAGAGTTTTAGGACAAGGAAGTGTCTGCAGCGCTACCCCAATGCGTGTTAGCGAACTTCACATGTCTTCAAGATATCTTTTTCTTATTTTTCAGACATGCAGGTTTTCTCATGATGTTTTCCTTCACCGCAGAGCACGTGGTAAATCAGCTTAAAATTGCAATTAACAATTTCATTGGTGCCGGCTGGGATAGAACCCGGTTTGTTCGTGTACTGTGATATTGACAGCGAGCGCTAACCATCTGAGCTACCATGGTTCTGCGATTTCCTTATTCACAAAAATCAAAGATTTGATGCGACGTTTGACATTGACTGAAGCAAAATGGGTCGTGGTATGATAACATTTAACCAGCGCGAAAAAAAACTCTGCGCGAAAAAGCCCTCAGACCAAAGGTCCTTATGTTTTAAACGAATGAAAAAGTGTTTAAAATGTAATAGAGAATACTGTGACTGTAAATGATTGTGAAAAACAATAAATATATATTAGTTTACCTTATGAGTTACGCAGAATTCTCAGTGTACACTAACTAGAGAGGGCACTTGTGTTTGCGCACACATTCGTGCACTATAATCCTGTCCTGCGGAGATGGCACGTTCCTTAGCTGACACGCTGCGAATTCAGCGTCACAATCAGCTGCAAGATTTCGACTATTATAATAAAAATATAAGAGGAAAAATTCTGATTTATCTCTTATCAATTCACCGACGAAACAACAAAAGTAGTTTTTGGGAGATGTAGATGCAAGCGATAAAACTTGGATTTTGTCCCAAAACAATACGCGATAAACTTTTTGAATGACTGTCCCGAAGAAATAGTTGTCAACGCAGTCAAAACACAGATCCACTCTTGTTGTTTTTGCTTCTTCTTTAGGTTACATTAAAATCTTCTGGTTTTTTGTTTGGCTTTTGGTAACGGTTCATCTTATACATACATTATAATGCCTGACCCTGACATATTGGAGGTAAGGTATTGGGGGTCGAAAGAATGGTAACGTTTTAAAAAATAATGTAATTTTTTATATTATTTAGTGCAGGACTTTTTACTCGACTAACACAATTTTTCATCGAGAAACATGTTGTCCAACATACTGTGATTGCTACAGTACACTTATTGTTTTTTTTTTAAATTTATTTCAACAAAGTAACAGTTTTAATTACAAAAACAATGTCTTTGTGCCATTAAACATCTTGTGTTTGTTTTGGCACTGCACAGTTTGCTCTTATACATTATTTTACTTAAGCTTATTATTTACATATCATTGAAATTAACTTTTAAGCTGAAACTAAATATAAAGTAATATGTAACAATTATAGAACAAAATATCGAACATTTTTAGCATTTAAATTTTATATAATATGTATAGTAGTTATATGTACTTAGACTATACTTTTTTGTGGGGAAGATAGCTTTTGGTATTGTTTACCTGGAATAGTGGAGCAAAAATGTGATTGTTGTCTTCGATTGTGCGTCTACTATACGATATACTGTATCATCTTAATTACGCGCCTACACACGAAGTGTATTTTTAAGGAATGATTTTTTAGTGTATTTTATTTGGCTACACGTTTTGTTTATTTGTCCATTTTAAGCATTATTGACATAGATAAATATAACTCGTTTTACTATCATTGAAATAATATATAGCTTTTTCTTAAATTCTTATTATACGAAAAAAATGTTTAAGTTTTGTGCTGTTAGCTGGCTTCTTATCTCCGTAGTTAATGAATTTAATATGTTGTAACTATTTATTGTTCGTAAAAATATTCAGTCTACAGTTTAATATGCTAAAACTTGTTCTAGTACTTACCTATATACCTATCTACTAGCTATCCGCCCCGGCATCGCACAGGTGTCGCTGTTGTTGCGATCCAGAAATCACCCGACACACACAAAATTTCATCAAAATCGGTCACACACGCACGCACACGCACACGCACACACACACACACACACACACACACACACACACAAAATATATATATACAGTTGTGGTCACATAATTAGAACGATTTGGAGTTCTAGAAGTTTTTTATTAAAATCATGTCGTACACAGAGATGTGCACCTTCTGAGAAGCAACTAGTTAAAAAATAGCCACAGAATAGAGCACTTAGGAATAAAGAATAAAATCGCTAACTTTTTTCACATTTTATTTATTTTACCAAAGTAAATCATTCAAATAATACTGAAACTGGACAAATAATTAAGAACGATTTATTAAACTGCTCGGAAATTGTTTTGTATGACACTTACATTTAAAAAATCACAATAATTTGTAGCGCGAAAAATTTAAAAAGCAATTTATATACATTTTTAACTAAATTTAATAGTCAATAGCATATCCACGGTTTTTAATTACAGCGTTACAGCAGCGAGGTATTGACTCTATTAATTTTTGACATATCGCAAGAGAAATAGAGTTCCATTCTTATAAAAAACGTCATACAGCTCTCTTAAATTTCCACACTGTGTATTTGAAACCTTTTTCTTTACTTCGAACCACAGATTCTCTATTGGGCTTAGATCTGGGCTGTTAGCTGGCCAGTCTAAGACAGAAACTGATTGCGCTGTAAGAAATTCCTTTACGGTGCGTGCAGTGTGCTTTGGATCATTGTCATGCTGAAACGTCTAAATAACCGGTAGAACGTCTTCAGCATAAGGTAACATTGTTTCTTTCAGTATATTTTTGTATTGGAACTGATCCATGTGACCTATCAACTTTACAGGTCCAACAAAAAATTGTCCAGAAAAGCACCCCCAGATTTTCACATTTCCACCACCGTGCGTTAATGTAACTGTCGTGTACTTAGGGTTAAATGCTGTATTCGGAGGACGTCGTACATATCGTTTTCTATCAGAACATACTCAGTTTATTTTCGTCTCGTCAGAAAAAGTACATTTTTCCACTGTCGCACAGTCCAGTTTCCATACTTTCTCGCAAGCCGGGCTTGCCTGTGGCAAAGTTTCAACGTGGGTAACTTCCTTGCTATCCTACCGTGCAATTTTTCTTCTACCAAAAGTCTTCGAATAGTACGTGCTGAGATTGCTGAAGGGTTGTTTTCACCAAAATATTCTTTTCTCAGCTCAGTGGACCCTTTAAAAGGATTTTGTTTTTCCGTACGAACGATGTTTCGGTCATCTCGAGAAGTTGTTTTTCTCTGTTTAGGTACACGTGGAACATTCGAAGTAGTTTGATACGTAACAAAATGCTTTACAGCGTGGAAAACCATCGTTTTTGAACATTGCAGGTGGTCGGCTATCTTTTTATAAGACCAATTCTTACGGCGAAATTTTATTATTACTTCCCTTGTAGATTTATCACAACGTTTATTTTTCCCATTGTTTTTTCCTAAAAAGCAATCACTTTCAAGCCTCTATTTAAATTTGAATAAAGGTATAAATTATTTAGCGTTCTTATTTACGTGACCAGCCAGTAAATAGAAACACTATGTTTAGAAGTAGTGAAGTTTGTCTTTATTTTTAGCTAATCATGTGTATCAATAAATACAGTGGTATTATGGAAAAGTTTTACGATACCGAGAGAAATAAAAAAAGAATTGCATGTAATTAGTTTTGCGTTTTAGTTTGAAAAAAATCTTTCCTTTATATAAGCGTTCTTAATTATATGACCACCACTGTATATATATATATATATATATATATATATATATATATATATATATATATAGCACTCGCCCGTTTGTATTTTGACTTCTGACGCAATCAAGATATTTTTATCATAACTAGTTCTCCAGTATCATTATTTTTCTGTGTGAACTAATAACTGTCCTGTTAACACATATGAAGTAATTCAACTGAAATAATATTACAAACATAACTGCTGGAAATTTACAGTTTTCTTTGTTCCTTCCTTTGTTGATAATTTGGAATAGATAGTTATTTTTAAAAATGAGCTAATAAATGATAATTGTTATTAAAAACAAGCGTATGTATTGTTTGTTTTTAATTACAATTCAAACACAATAACAAAAACAGCATTTAGGAGTAATCCAACAGGAATGACGAATGTTTGTGGCCAATACAATGTTTTGAGTGCTTTATCACGTTTTACCTATCGCCGGGCCTTGTGACAGCGTGGTAACGATCGCCGTCGCCGAACATACTGGTTTTTATCAATTATCATGCGAAGCGGGTACCGAGGCGAGGCGCGCGCGCACTAGTGTGGCGACCGTGCAACGTGCAGCTCGCTTTTATATTGAATTGACCTTATTTACACAATCCGATCCAAACCTGAACAAGAGGTCGATAAACCTTACGTCCATATCCATTTACTGAGTTTCTACGATTAGTGCGCGTCAAAAACCGGTACCGTCTTATTTATTTTTATGGAACGCATTCAACAGCTGTGAAGATGGTTGAAGTGAAGATAACCGAAGATATTAAAGTTGGTGGCAGCAATCCCTGTTTTATCATAGCTGAAGTCGGGCAGAACCATCAAGGTGACATTGAAATTGCGAAAAAGTTGATAAAAGCAGCCAAGGTTAGTGACATTTATACATTTCGAACATACAGATTTACTGTAGAAACTATGCCATTTAGACTGAACAACGCTTTGTGTTATTGTTTTAAACAACAGGCAACAAAGGGCTATCAAGCTAGTATTTTGCCGTACCTCACAGCATGACAACCAGTTTTCAATGTTATGATATGTACCCGCTAATACATTTACTTACATGGATTTAACTACATAGTATGTTTACAGATTTTTTGTTAAATAAATGAAAATAATAATTAAAAAAAAACATTGAATATGCTACGATACAGTCAGTTGTTAATCGACTCCTGATACTTAAAAAAAATTTATTTCAATAAGTTTATTATCCTTCTCTTTGAAATATGACCATTGTAACACCTTTATTATCTCTATACGTACGTGAAAACATAAAATGTACTGTCATTCAATACAATTTCAAAACAAGGAAAATATTTTACAATAAATTAGATAACATGATTATTGATTATTAATGCATATTGTTTATCAGATAAATTGTTAAAATAAAATCTCATTAGAGTTTTTAATACAAATATTTAATATCATTATTCAATGCGTTACAGGATTCGGGTGCTAGCTGCGTGAAATTTCAAAAAACTTGTTTGAAAGAGAAATTTACAAAAAAGTATTTAGAGAGACCTTATGACAATCCCAATTCGTGGGGCAAAACATACGGTGATCACAAAAAACATTTAGAATTTACAGAAGCCCAATATAGAGAACTGTTCAAATATGCACAAGAGGTCGGTATTCTGTTTACCGCCTCCGCCATGGATATGGTAAGCATTCCACATTCATTAATTTATATTATTTACAATTAAACATGAATTTAAATTTATTTCATTTTATAGAATAATATATGACCAATGAGCACACAGTTCACCTGATGCCTGGATTCTGTGGCCCTAAGATAGATACCTACTCGTACATCCATCCTCTATTAATAATCAAAATGTATATGCTCTGTCACCCCTGAGAACTAAGATAGAATGTCCTGTTACCAGTAAAAAAGTTCTTTGTTTCTCTATACTCACCATATGAAACACACCAGTATTAAGCTGTTATTTCACGCTGCTAACTTGTGAGAACGTGGTGCTGCCCCTGTCGAGCAGACTCATTCGTGATGCAACGACAATAAAACCGCAGCATCGCTGTACCACGTACAATACATATGAATCAGAACCAATGCTAATTTTCAGGTGTCTTTTGACTTTCTTGTCAACATCAAAGTGCCGTTTATAAAAATTGGTTCCGGCGACTCGAACAACCTGCTGTTTTTGAAATATGCCGCGTCGAAAAAAGTTCCGTTGATCATATCGACTGGAATGGTGGACAAGAATGCTGTAAAAACTATATACGACATAATATCTGCTCAACACAAACAGTTCTGTCTATTGCATTGCATCTCAGCGTACCCTGTGCCGTTTGAAGATTGCAATTTGGCAGTTCTACAAGACTACATGAAATCTTTCGACGTTCCTGTGGGATATTCCGGACAAGAAGTCGGTACGGCTGTTGCCTTAGGCGCCGTTGCATTGGGAGCGAAGGTTATACTTTTTTTAATTTAACTTACTTTTAGTATTATAAAATGTTAAAATATGTTTGTTTGGGTGATATTGTGCAGTTGCATAATCACGCTTGAACAACTAGACGATTTCTGTTCAAGTAGTAAGTGGCTATCGTGGAATAGGATATAGGACACTTATAACAAATATTAACTATAATTGTTTTATTTACGCCCAGTCAGGCGACCGGTTAATAACTAGTCCTGAATTCAAACAAAACATTTTAATTTTACATAGGTATACTACATATTTAAATATCGTAAATTACGTAAGCTGTACATGAACGTTTCAAAGGAAAGATTCGAATTTATTATTTAAATTTTCAGACACGAAAGATTTTTTTTTAAATTTTGTTCTAATGTTAAGAATGTTAAAGTATTCATGTATGTAATTTGAAGTTATATTTCCTATTTTAATTAAATGAATGGTTCTATGGAACACCATTTATTACCGCGTCGTGTTTTTTTAGCAATGTTACGCTGTTATTTCGAAATTGTCGCGGTTTTTTTTAGCGAATATTGCGCTGTTACTTTGCAATTGATTAATTAATTTTAGCTTTCATGTCATTATTATAAATTTATTGCAAGAATATATATTTAAACAAACAATCTTCGCTGTATTTATGTTATCGTTTGCAATGTAATTAAAGAACGTCGTGCCAACTACACTTGAGAATAATTAACAGGATGTCCAAAGTTATAAAAGTAAACTTTTATAACTTCTTACTATGTTAGGTTTTCATAGTAATTTCGTCGACCTCATACCATGAATAACCCACTGTTGTACTCAGACTGTGGTACACAACACTTTTAGTGCCTGTGATTTAAAAAAAATTATGAAAGACTAATTTGGGATCTTTTAAATTATGAATTAATCATAATTATAACCTATTATGTATGTTTTATGACATAATATGTAATGTATTTAGACCGGCGATTGCTTAATAGCGTCAATGGTTCGAAACGTCTACTGCGGTTGCCAATCTGTCTACTAAGCATAGCGACTATGCATACCCTCTATACAGTGTGTCCGGTCACAGACTAGCGATATTTTAGGTACTTATAATACAGCTATTTTAATATAAAAATACACCACACACTGAGGTCTAATCCCCTCCCCCTCTATTTGGCAGCCATTTTGTTTTTCTCTTGAGATATTCTCTACGCGTTTACGAAAAAATAGTCCTAACGGAAAATTGTTTATCGCTTACAATCATGCTACATTAACTTCAAATAAATATCAAAAAAATATGCTAATCGGCAAATTATTGTAAATTACTGCAAAAACAACCCCGTTCACCCTTTTTATTTTTATACTAGATCGACAGATTTTGAGTTAAGCTACAATGCAACATAAAGTTTACAGCTGTATGTTTATTACTTTAAGAATTATTGTTGTTTGAACATGGCGTATGCCCAAACACAAAAATGATTCTGATTCTCTGATCTCTCATTCATCATCTCTAATTCATCGAAGATCATAAGTAATCTCAGATTACTATTACTCCTAGGCAGGCAGTGCCAGTTGTCATTTAACAAAGGCCTTTTGTGTTTGCGCATATGCTATGTTCAAACAACAATAATTCTTAAAGTAATAAAGATACAGCTGTAAACTTTATGTTGTATTGTAGCTTAACTCAAAATCTGTCGATCTAGTATAAAAATAAAAAGGGTGACCGGCTTTGTTTTTGCAGTAATTTACAATAATTTGCCGATTAGCATATTTTTTGGTATTTATTTGAAGTTAAATTTTTTTTCTTCAAAGTTACAAGTATGTCAACAAAAATTTTGATAATGTAAACAATAAACAATATTATTGGCCTCCGAATGAGTTAATTTTTATCTCAGTAGGACTAAAACTTTGAGAGATATGACTTTTTTCGTAAACGCGTAGAGAATATCTCAAGAGAAAAACAAAATGGCTGCCAAATAGAGGGGGAGGGGATTAGACCTCAGTGTGTAGTGTATTTTTATATTAAAATAGCTGTATTATAAGTACCTAAAATATCGCTAGTCTGTGACCGGACACACTGTATAACGGATGAGTCCCATGTCCCCGGGATGAACTATAACGATCTTTCAAATAATAAAAGAAAATATTAAAAACTATTTGAAATGGGGAATAAATCAACCTCACCTATACACGGTGTGTGCTCTGATGGTTGACGTGGCTTTGGCGGCGAAAAATCCATCCGAAACCATCCTTTATCATCCTATGTTCCAGGGTGACAAACGACCAAACGAGCACACAGTCCACCTGATGGTCAGTGGATGCTGTGGCCCCTAGACATCTACATTTAACCTCGATTAAGAGTCAAAATGCAGATGCGTTGTTATTAGCCGTAAAGATAAGGATGGAATGCCTCGTTTCCAGTAAAAAGGGTCTCCGGTTCTCTACACTCACCATACAAAACACAGCAGCATCAAGCTGCTATTTTACGCTGGTATTCTGTGAGAGCGTGGTCCTTCCCCGGTCAACTAGACCCTTTCGTGCTACAACCGCAATATAGTCGCAGCGTAGCTCTACCACGTATAAACACGTGTGTTCAAGTTATCGCATTTAAAAGATATTGACGTTAAGCGTCATCTCCGGAAATCTTGATCCAAGCCCGTAAATATACAATATCACAAATCAAATTTACTGCTCTACCTGTCATTGTACCTTTAAGACCAAGTTTTAGTGCTCAGCACGTTGGGTAAATTATATGAGCGCATTATTCTGAAGCGTCTCCGTCACTACACTGTAATTAACAGACTCCTGACGAGCAGTTTGGCTTTAGAGCCGGACACTCATGCACCCACCAAATTCATCGCCTAAAAGAATATATCCTGCCTGGCTTCAATCATCACCCGACAAAGAAGAAAGTCTCGAAACACGGGAGCCCTCTTCTTCCATGTCGCAAAGGCATTTCATAAAGTCTGGCATGACGGCTTGATTTACAAGCTGTATAAACTAAACGTGCCTTTTAGTTTCATCAGCCATATAAGAACTTACTGCAACCTGGAACATATCCAGCGTTCAAAGAAGACGCAGTAGCCAAAACTGGCAAGGAAAACAACCTTGCCCAACATGTTAAGCATGAACAAATTTGGGTTTTATACAATATGTAACGTAATAACAAAATAACGTAATCATAATACATACACTGAATTTTTAGTTAAACATTTTTATGCACTGATTATTTATCAAATTAGTTATACTAATTCCGGAAGAATGTTGTGGTCACAGTACAAATCCACGAACGCAAAGACTTTAACGTGCTTGAAATAAAGTTTATTTTCCTTTATTTTTATTGAATGACAAAATTAGTAATAATACAAATAAAACTGCACTCTTAAAAGTCTTATTGCCTTAAGTTACGATCCATTTCAGTTTGTTTTGACTGTACAGATTTAGTGTGACTGTAATTTACGTAGTTTTAATTATTTTTGGGATAAAAAATTACCTATATTAAAAATGATAGGAATCGATTCAGTAAACGATTCTGAACAAACTACTTTCTCAAAGTGCGTTAATTATGTTACATGTTGTATACAAACTGCCATATTTCTGGAAAAGCAACGCTGTGTTAAGACCAGCTGTGCACTTAAAAAGTCTGTTAATTATATGATCAAATGCTTATATTACGTTTTAATAATATAAAATTTTAATTATTATTCAGGAAGCTCTATAGCTTCTTAATATTTTCAGATATTGGAGAAGCATATAACATTGGACAAGAGCATGAAAGGTACCGATCACGTGTGTTCGTTGACGCCATCCGAGTTCCAACAGCTCGTACGAGATGTAAGGGTGATAGAAGCAGCGCTTGGAACGCCTATAAAAAAAGTTGTCACATCAGGTTGGTATTTACTTGATTAATAATTTTATCATATCATTGCAAAAGTTGGCGGCATAAAAATATCACGCCGATGTCATGTTAAGTGTCCCTTAGAAATACCCAGGAAGATTTTGTCCTGTTACACAGATCGTCAAATAACATTGAATAATTCTTCATCAACCCGTAAGTCTACTTGCCTGACACGGACCTCTCCCGTTATAAAGTTGCTTTGTCGTAATGAACATGTTCGACTGGCGAATTGGCTATCGCTGGAATAAATCCGAACAATTCCTATGAGCACTCTAATCTTTTTATATCGTATATATAACATACAGGTTAAATACGCCAAATCTAAAATATTGTGACTAAGTTTTTCCATAATTATCAAAATTTTGATTTAATAATCAAATATTGCTGTGTGAGATTTTTTCTTTATTCTTTTGGTCACCTATATGATGAAACGTATGTTTTGTATATAGGTGAAGAGTTAATTTTTACGACTGACATATACCTAACAATATTTAAAAACAGAACAATTATTGTTCGAAGTTAATATCCGTTGTATCATTCGAATCCCTAAAAAATTGTTTTCTTCTCAGTAATATTATTCTTGTCTTGTAACCAATTGTTAAATACTTAATTGTATTTACAGACAACACTGTAATTTTAATTAAAACAGTTGACTTTGTCAATATGTATTCTTAATTTATTATTTGGTTTTCAATGTTCGCAAACATTACGAATAAAGTTATGTCACTGAGAATCAATTGTTAGAAATAGTCTGTTCGCAAATTTGCTTATAGAAGTGTGAAAAGTAACGATTTAATGTGAAAATAATATCACGTTTAAGAACAGTACATCTAGGAAAAGAGTATCGCATGAGTATGATCTGGAAAACTTAAAAAAATATATAGTATAGAGCATTAATAATATTCTGTTTCAGAAATACCATGCATTGATAAACTTCAGAAGTCGCTAGTGATGGGAAGTACAAAGAACAAAGGCGAAATATTGTATCCGGGAGATGTAAAAATTAAAGTTGCCGAACCAAAAGGCCTGAATGCGCTGCATTTTGACGAGGTCATTTACAAGACTCTTGTGTATGATAAGAAAGAAGACGAGCCTCTTTACGAAGGAGATTTCTGTTAAGTCTATTGACAAGAAAGTACAAATCATTACAAAAGGGTCACGCTCTTCGTTTCGGTGCAAATAGGACAGTAGTTCGCATATTATACTAACCATACGTAACAAGCATATTCATAATCTTTGATCTAAGCCTTTGATACATGAAATGTGATAATTAAATATGTCAGTTCTATCGATCTAAATCACAATCAATCCATCACAATTTAAAATCAAACATAGTGCTAACCGATTGTTACTTTATCATTTAACGTTCTTCAACATAACAACAATTTTATATTTTTTTATATTAATATCTTTAAGTAATGTTAAAATAACCATATAATCATCCGAATTTTTATTTTAAGTTTGAGGTATTTTGTAGAGTAAGAATAATTGTTAATTATTGAAATAAACTTTAAATACTCTTGTGTTACAAATTATTTTTCAATAAACTTTTTCTTAGTCCTTTTCATATTGCTCTTGTGGCAGCAGCATAAGTCCATTTATTATTATTACTCCTGTGAAACAGCCTATATAATATTATGTTCATATAGAAAGGAAACTTCCTAAACATATGTTTATCATTGGGTCCTATATTGAGTTCGAACTTAAATAAAATAACAGGACATCTAAACTTATATATATATATATATATATATATAGATAGATAGATAGATAGAATAGTAATATGTAGAACTTTTATTTGAGTAACCTAAATTGTGTCCTTTGTATTTTGATATTCGTATGATTTTACATTTTAATATCAATAAATACGATCCTTTCCATTTTACATTAAGAGTAAAATCCTAGAATGATGAAAGAAAAATGATACCGTCTATTATTAAATACAAGCAACGAACTCTGTATAATCTCGTGTAGGAAATTTCAGTGTTAAAAATTGGACTAAGGTGTGCCACTAGCACATTCATCGTTAAAATTTGTATAGGGAACTGCGTGCAAGGTCCAAGAGGAACAGGTAACTTGACGGTAGAAATAGGTAATGGAAATGAAATAAATACGTACACAGGCAGGAAACTGCAACACCTAGGAAGGTACAAAATAAAGATACCTATCATTTTGGTTCATACCTCTACGATTATTTTGTGTTTGACCTACTGATGGATAATTTTATAACTTTTTCTACTGCGCTGGCATCCATTCATAAAGTATGCACAACGTTTAAAATTATAAAAGAATTCATCGCCGACGTGATTCGGATGTTTGTGCACATAACTCACCCTAGAGTCTATTTTGGATTAAAGCGTGGAAAGCGCGAGATCACCCTGACGATTGCGTCACGATACATCACACCATAATGTACTCCGTGCGTCTCAGAGCGTTCAGACGTGCAAGATGTGGCCCTGAATTCACGCTATACTTCGATCCAATTTATTACAAATTGTTTTATTTTTATTGTCCGCGAGAATGCGTGCGATTCAGATGCGTATGGTGTAATACGCGGCGCAGCAGACATAGCGAGCGCTGGCGATGTTGGCGAGGTTGGCAAAGTGCCCGCGCAGCCGCCAGTTACCGGAGAGCCGGCCCGTATGCCGCCTGCGCCGCGTTCGCTCTACTGCACTTGTCGTCAGAACTCTTACATTCAATCTCTTTATTTCCCGCTCACGCAATCGAGTGCAACTGCTTTACTACGAATCGACGTTTTCGCGTATAAACGCTTATATTGTATCATTAACACGTCAAGTTACTCTTATATAGGTAGTTCTTAATAGAGATTTCAGACTTCAGAGCAGTCGATTTAGGTCGCCCGGTTCAGTGCTAGCAGCGGGATATTTTTATTGCTAGTACGGTGCAGACACACGAGCGCCTGGACCACGTACTTAAATAAATAAATTATTATTTATAGCTTAAAACCATAAACTCATTCCATAAACATTATTGAGTGATGTATAGTAAACGCGAGCACATGACTTTTGTGTGGATAAATTATGTAAACACGTCCAATGTACATGAAAGAACGTGATCAAAGTTCGGGAATTGTAACACTAATTCGCATTTAGTTAAAGTTGATGACATTTGTAATTTGTGCATTTGATAGAAGTGTGGTGTAAATAAAATGCATCATTTGTATCCGCTGGCCAAGGGCGACCCTATGTGCCCGCTGGGGTTCCACCCGCAGGTACGGTGGCCGACACGCTGTAAGCGCTGTTTCCGCGACTACAAGGAGCATGGTGGCGGGCGTAAACGGGAAGAAGACTTTGCCGCTTCGACACCCAGCCTCTCTACTTGGAGTTCGCCAGCCTCACGGTTAGCAATGACAATAAAAATATTAACTTTCCTTTAAAAAGTAGGAGGCGTTTATCAAACAAGAGAACACATTCCGTGTTCTTTTTAATGTGATCTGTTTTTACCAGCGATAAAATGTATAGGATCGAATATGTTTTACTAGTTCAATTTATTCGTTATATCAAAATTAATTTCCACAAAAATAAATTAAAATATATAATAAAAGAAAAAAACTGTAACAATTTGGAGTCCCTAGTTCTTAACAGTTGTAAATAAAAATATCATAAATAAGTAGGTTTAATTATCACTTGCAGAGAAAGTCACACTTCCGTCGCTGTTTTCCAAGAAACAAGAAATGTTAAGAAAGTCAAGTGTATTGATGCTCTATGTGTTCCATAATGAAACGAGGTTTCATATATTATATGTTTATATGGTAATAGGCGGCCTAGCCAAAGGAAAGGTGTTTATTATTTAATTGTTACACTTCCAAATACTAAATGTTATACTAATATGTCTTTCATGTGAAAACAAATTGATTTATTAGGATAAAATTAATTGTAACAAATCAGTAAATATGCATGCAATGTACAAGATATACTATGTGCTTGAAACATAAGTATCCAAAATATAACAATATCAGTTCTTATAGTTGGTATATAAGTCACCTACTATTTACTGTTTGTGGCTTACATCGAAAAATTATTATGATTAAATTTCAGAGCTCATTTATTGTCGTACTTATGTACATTTTTCGACCCAGTGGTAAAAAACTAACTATACTGAGGTTTCTTCACTTTAAAATAACGACAAAAAAAGTGGTATTCGCACATGAACAACTAAATAAAATGTCTCTACATCTATCTCAACATATATTTCGTTGGAAAAATAATAAAATGAAACAAATATGCTTATCAAATTCACAAGTCTACACTGGTTCCTGAAACTCTACTAGTAGATATCTGTCGATAATCAAAAACGCTTTCTATATTTGACGATATGACATCTCCTCAGATCCCAGTGGCCTGGCAATTAGAGTGGTCTTGTTTGCAAAGTTACGGATAGCAGATTTAAAATCAATCCTAATACAACAATTTATGCATTTGTTGAATGTGTTTTGATTATTCTTGGCTTCTATTTTATAACATATAAGCATGGGATACGGGTCGCTTAGGAATGAGTGACGGTGTCGGCACATATAATATATTATGTCAAATATTATTTGAGACTGTACCTTGTAAGTTATAACTTATAACACTTCGCGTGCATTCGATTTTTCGATTTCTTTACGTGGTAGAGCCACGCTGCAGCTATATTATAGTTGTAGCACGAATGGGTCGGCACGACCGGGCTCATGCGAATAGTACTATAAGTGCTATGGAAGAGTGGAGTCTCCTAACACAAGTTTTTATACTTAAAAGGAGACCCCATTCCCGGTTATAATTTATGTATGATCATTTACTGAATAAACTATTTTTATTTAATATTATTAATATGACCACGCTCTCACACAATACCAGCGTAAAATAGCAGCGTAATGCTGCTGTGTTTCGTATGGTGAGTGTAGAGAACCGGAGACCCTTATTACTGGATACATGACAATACATCTTAGTTCTCAGGGGTGACAACGCACCTGCATTTTGATTCTTAATCGAGGATAAATATAGATGTCTATATTTATCCTCGATTAATTTAAAAGCGACAGTAGCCTAATGGCAGGGCGCGGACCGCGAACTCAAAAAGGTCGTGGGTTCAAATCCGCCATTCGTCTACTGGCGTGAACCACTCGTAACACAAGCAATTTAAGCTTACCACGAGTGGTTAAGGGGAATATTAGTAATGTTTATAGCATTGTTAATATTCTTTTTAAAAAAAATGTCTATGGACCACAGCATCCACTTACCATCGGCTGGACTGTATGTTCGTTTGTCACCATATTCTATATTATAAAAAATTAGTTTTCCATAATATTAAAAAGTTACTGCCGAAGTGGATGGGCTATACGATTTGCAGTGGTGTAATACCGCTCGGAGCAATACCCTTCACACACTAGCGAATGCACTATGTAACACTAGGTATGCAGGAATGCTTATTAATGAAACCATAATAAAAGTATTGAAATATCGCTGTATAATAATATTCATATAATAGTATAAATATTATAAACATGCAGACGGAAAGAGTAAGCTATCGATAAGGTTAAAAGCACAATACGCGAAGCATCTACCTTACAAGTACCATCAATGCAAGCCTCTCTGGCCTTTCGTTATTGAAACGTTTTGTGGACTAGCTGACGTTTATTTAGACATGCTGATTCAAACATGCATATAATCCTACTTAATAAAATATAACCATAAAATAAATAAAGGTACTATAATACTAATAGACGACACGGTCAGTTCAAACTTTAGTTGATATTTTTTAAAATATCAGCAGTCCTAGTTTGAACTGATCAATTGGATTGATCAGTTGAACTGACCGTGTGAGGCGACCATAAGGAAGAAAAATCTTAAATACCATTTTTGCTAATAAATATTAAAAAGTTACCTCTGCACTAGCATTTTCTCCTGTATCGTCGAAGCAGTTTACGTACATAAATTTCACAAGAACAAACATCCAGACCCAGAACAATCATTTGTAGGCCACACAATCACTTGCTCCGTGCGGGACTCGAACCCGCGGCCCTTAGCACAGCAACTCATTGCTAAGCCACTGCGCCACGGTGCCGACCAGAAATCAAAAAGTATACCTACATAGTAAATATTCAGCAAATGTTGTTAATTAAAAATTATCATATCTATAATATGTAATGTATATACATACATACATACATACATAAACACTCACGCCTGTCACCCAGAGAGGTAGGCAGAGACTACAGACTTCCATTTGGCACGATCCTGACACACCTCTCTCGCCTCCTTCACATCCATACACCTACGCATGCATGCTCGTCGGTTAAGGGTACTCCTAATTTGGCCCGTTTTCAATAAATCGCCAATTTGGTCGATAAATTTTCGCCTAGGACGTCCCTTTCCGACTCTGCCATTCACTTCTGCAACATAAATTTTCTTTGTCACCCTTTCCTCATCCATTCTTTCCACATGACCAAACCACCGAAGCATTCCTTTCTTAATCCTGGTCACAACATCATCTTGCAAACCACACTCTTCTCTTATCACACAATTTCTCACCCTGTCATTCAGATTCAGCCCTAACATACTCCTTAACGACCGCATTTCTACTGCATTTATTCTACTCTCGTGCTTCTTCTGCCATACCCAACTTTCACTACCATACGTTAAAGTAGGGACCAACACAGCATTGTGAATTGCCATTTGTGCCTTTTTTGACACATTTTGACTCTTCACAATAGAGTGCAGGGCCCCATTTACTCTGTTTCCTGCGTTCACTCGTCGTTCTATATCCTTATCATATCTCCCATCCCTGCTAAATACGCAACCCAAATATACAAACTCATCTACTTGCTCGATCAACTCCCCTTCTATTCTTATTTCACATATCGTTTTACTTTCATCTCTTTCAAAAACCATAATTTTCGTCTTACTTGCGTTCACTTTCATACCCCTTTCTTTTAATGATCTGTTCATTAATGTAACCATCATTTGCAACTCAGCCGCCGACGACGCAAGAATAACTTGATCATCGGCGTACAAAAGGCATTTGATGGTTAACTCACCCATTCTTAATCCGCATTCTTCAACTTTCAAATTTTGCAAACAACTGTCCATAAATAGGTTGAACAACCACGGGGAAGCCACACAGCCCTGTCTGACACCTTTATGAATGCCAAACCAGTCCGAGTAGACCCCGTTGATCCTAACACAAGCACTAGAGTCCCTATAAAGAGATTCCAATGCCTGTATCAAGCCAGCGCTCAACCCAAATGAGTTCAGTGTTTGCCATAGCCCATTCATATCCACTCTGTCATAGGCCTTCTCCAAGTCCATGACCGCACAAAAAACCTTTTGGGTTGTGGCCAAACACTTCTCCGCGATCATGCGCATGGAGAAGACTTGATCTGTACATCCCATTCCCTTTCTAAATCCCGCTTGCACATCCCAAATTTTTCCATCGGTTTCTTTCATGACCCTTTCAATTAGTACCTTGGCATATACATAGTTTTCCCACGATGCTAAGAAGGCTGATACCGCGGTAGTTTTTACAGTCCTGCTGCGACCCTTTTCCCTTATATACTGGGACTATCACGGCTTTGCACCAGTCTCCCGGTACCCGCTTCAGTTCCCAGCATAAATTAAACAAGGTGTGCAGCAGGCCTGCCACCACTTCCTCTCCAGCCCTTAGCATTTCGAGTGAAACTCTATCATATCCGGCAGCCTTACCTGCTTTCATGCTTTTCATTGCTTTCATTATTTCATCTATACTTATCTCGCTACCTCCTTCCTCTTCTTTCGGAGTTCCTATTTCATTCAGTTCATGCGTTGTCTCCTCACTCATAAACATGCTTTCAAAATATTCCTTCCATCTCTTTAAACTCAAAACTTCATCATTCAGAATATAGCCATTCTCATCTCTTATAGCATTCATTATAGGCTGTTTTGAACATCCCCTGGCAGTTCTTACGAGTTTCCAGAACATTTTAATATTTGCCTGAAAATCATCCGATGTTCTCCTATCATTCTTATCCGTTCTTTCTTGCTTTTTCCTTTCAACTACTTCTTTTACTCTTTTATTTAGATGTCTAAAGACTGCCTTTTTTCTTTCAAAATCATCATTCGTACCGCTAGAATTACCAGCCTTAGTTGCTAGTAAATCTAGCCATGCTCTCTTCTTTGCTTCAACTTCCGTACGTATCTCATCATCCCACCATAACGTATTATTTTTCCTTTCATTCTTTCTTTTACTAACACCACATACTTCGGTAGCTACATCTACTAAACCTTTCCTAACGTTTTGCCATACATTCTCCAAGTCTAACTCATTCGTACATAATTCATCCAAACCACTTACGTTTTCTTTCAGTCTACATTTAAACTTGTTTTTCTCACCTTCATCTTGTAATCTTTCTGTTCTAATACGCTGTAACGCAGTGGTAGACACAGATGACCGATGGCGCCACCGCCTGAATAGACCATTAATTCGGCATAAAACCAAAAAATGATCCGTTCCTACGTTTGACCCCCGGTAAACCCTTGTATCCACCACTGCGCCCCTCAATCTTTAATGTATATAATGCCAACAATTGTCCTTGGCACCCAGGGTTGACTGGCAGAGAATGCCACATGGCATTAAGTCCGCCCTATGTACCCTTTAGCTTAAGGTGTTACATTTAAGTTTTAAATAAATAAATAAATAAAATGAAAATCGCCGTGGAGAGCAAAGACAATCCACTATATTGCCCCGTGGGTGTCGTAACAGGCTACAGAGGGAACTGAAACAGGAAATACGTAGCCAAGACGCCTGCCAAGCGTGGTAACCATGACAAATTAATATATATAAGCAACCTATGGGGGTGGCCTACGTTCAGCAGTGGACTTTAATTGGTTGTAACGATATGCTTACAAATTAAGAGATGTCAAGCAATAGACTATTATAGACTACTGAGAGAGACAGAAAAGAAAACATTCTTCTCTTTGATCACTCTGCAAAGGTCCATGCTGGACATATACCTCTCATGCTCTGCAAGCTTGAGTTGGGAAGCGTATTCATAGATTTTTTTTAAATGGGAATTTATAGCTAAGTAGTTGCGAAAACCGATTTTGTAAATCAAACCGGTTCTTAAAAACAAGTAACTGTTATCTTTACATCAAGCTAGCAGTAAATTAATGAAACCAATGATTAATTTAGTTAAATAACAGATCAACATTTGTTGCTGGAAAACATAGTAAGAAAGAATTTGTCGGACTTGGCGACCGGGAGTTAACTATCAGGTGTCAGCTTTTATAGGCAAGATGCTGTTATGATGGTAATAAGTGACATAAGGAACGCTCATCAAGCCGGCATCACAACAGAAACAAAACATCGGCTGTACCTAACAACTGGAAGCTATCTATTACTCATAACTGAACTCATTTCTGACCAGCTACAAAATCTATGATTATAATCTATCTATGACTGTATCTCGCCTATAAAAAACCGCGTGCTACGGTAACATAAACACTGGTAAGATTAGTTAATTCTTGAATTTTCTTATACTGTTTCTGATTTAGCCTCAAAAGAGACAATCGTTTTTGGGCCCACTAGAAATTTTAACGTAACTTAATGGTATTTCACATAAAAAGCTGCCAATTTATTATAGTAAATGACCTAAAGATTTTATGAAAATCCAACCGGGTTCATGAAATCTGAAGTGTTGTTTTGATATTCGTGTTCTGACTAAAAAATGCGTGTAAACCCAATTATCATTGATTTAGTAATTTTTTGCTCGCTTGATATAAAAGATTAGTTGTTATATAAAACCGGCATGCTACAAAATCGTTTTTAGCAACTATTTAATAGCTACACATTTGCTTAAGTATTTCATTCGTTTCTTCCGACATTTCATTGCTACCTTTCTAGAGGTAGGGCTGTTTCTAACGATATTTGTGCGCGACTACACTTCTTAATAATATTAATGCATAATATTTTTATAAGGAAAACAATTTTAAGTGTATAAGAACTGAGAATTGTAGAATACCTTTAATTAAATTTAAAAAAATAATTTGTTCAAAAAACTTTACATTTCAATAAATTTTCACTTTTCTAAATTTAGTAATACCACATTATAGATAATAAGCGCAGGCGTGTGATTTTCCCTGACATTACATCGATGGAGTGATTGTAAATGATACCTGTGCCCTGTTTATCAAAACTCACAAGTCTTCTTGTTCACAAGTTACACTTTACAAGAAAGTTTTTACAAGTTCGAGTAAATTACGTTTATCAAAAAAATCTACAGGTCTTGTAAAATTTAACACTTGTAGGTTCTACTTGTAAGTTCTAAAATCAAAAATGTGTGCCGCATTCTTTTCCCGCCATTATGTTTTTGCTTTTTATTGAATATCCTCATTTAAACGCATGGCTGTATGGTATATGGTCTGTGCCTAATTTTGATGGGACGTTAAAAAAATACTACTTTTTTTAATGTCCCATCAAAATCTTCATCAAGCACAGGTAGTAGCGACAAAGTATTTCGTATATAATAAAATTTATATAGTAAAATTTAGCACAGGTAGTAAGTAGCCTTTTATATATAATTTGAAGTGTATTCGCGGCGATATTTTGCGATTTCAACACATGACAATCAAATTAAAAAAATATTACAGTACTATTTAAAACACTTGTAAGACAGAATGGAGAGTCGCTGGACACTCTTTGGATTTGCTATGATTTTCTACAAATTATAACTTACAAGGGATTTTTGATAAACAAAATCACGAATACAAGTGTAAAAATATACTTGTGAAATAAAATAATGACCCTTGTAACTTGTAATTTACACGTGCAGTTTTGATACACATATATTTGTAATAATTAATTTTTTTACAGGAAAATTGCTTGTAATACAAGGGTTGTAAATTTTGATAAACAGGGCACTGATGGTACTCTAATGCGATGACAATAGTAATTTCTTTGTACTGTAACCATTTTTCCTTATACGTGGTAGACCCACGCTGCAACCATATTCTGGTTGTAGCACGAATAGTTCTGCTCGACCGGCGAAGAACCACTCTCTCACAGATAGGCAGCGTAAAATAGCAGCATAATACTGCTGTGTTTCGTATGGTAATTGTAGAGATCAGGAGATCTTTTTACTGGAAACGAGGAATTCTATCTTAGTCCTCAGGGACGGCAACCCATCTTCATTTCAATTCTTTTTCGGGGATAAATGTAGATGTCTATAGGCCACAGTATACACTTACCATCAGGTGGACTGCATGTTCTTTTGTCAATCTTATTCTATAAAAAAATTAGTCGAGTTTCACAAATAAAACAAAAGTTAATAACTAAATTAGAAACTACTTAAAATGAAATTAAAATAAATGTTTCGTTTAATATGGTTTCAAATATTAACATCCCTACTTATTATGTAGTAGTTAGACGATAATGTAAAAGCTCTTGAATGTTTTACGGTTATTAAAATTTAGTGGTGTATAGAACTATAATAAAATATAAGATAGTCTAATAATATGAAGTCATAAAAAGGGATTAGTGGCACAATTCCAAGTTCGTATATGTGTTAAATATTGTTTGTATGGCGCTTTATGGTACTGATGGATTGACGCAATGCCGCCTCCGTGTACAACACGTATTTAATCTTAGCACATACAAATTCACGAACGAATTTTGTTGTTGCTACATTATGCAGAAGTTATGCCCGATATTTCCGTTGAAAAACTATTCTCAAAAGTTTACCTTTATGATTCCTTTACTCAATCGTCTTAAAGTCTTACCAGTAAATTTTAAAATGATAGAGAACGACTCCTTTCGTCTGGTCTTTTGTATGGCATATACAAATTGTACCGTGTATTAGAGGAGTAAGAATATCCTCCCGTATCATCCCGTAGGTATCGTAAGAGACGACAGATGGATACAAATCAGGAGATGGGCAGCAGCGTCTCATTAATAAAGATTAAAAATTAAAAAAAAAACTGCGTTTGCCAACCCGCTTGCCGAGCGTGGCAAGTATGGCAAATTTTTACACCTTATGAGGCAACCTATGGTTGACGCCTATGTTCAGCAGTAGACTTTAATACGCTTACAAATTAAGAGAAGCAGTAGACTATTACGGACTGATGAGAGAGATAGGAAAGAAACAATTCTTCTCTTTCATCACTGCAAAGTTCCACGGCTGGACATGTGCCTGTTATGAGATTTAGTCTAAATCACGCTTGATGATGACGCACGAATTGATGATCGCATACAAAACGTCTCGCATCTTTGACGCTTCCCGTTGCCGGTATGGCTACTTTATGTCTAGCGTAAACGAGAAGTTAATACAATCATCATCCCTTACGGCACCCATAGGAGGAAATAGTGTTTTTTTATGGTATAAGATGGCAAACGAGCACACACTCCACCTGTTAAGTCGTTGCTGTGGCCCATAGACATCTACATCTATCCTCAATAACGATTCAAAATGCAGATGCGTTGTCACCCCTGAGGACTAAGATGGAATGCCTCGTGTCCACTAAAACGAGTCTCGGGTTCTCTACACTCACTATACAAAATACAGCACCATTAAGCTACTATTTTACGCTGGTATTGTGTGAGAGCGTAGCCCTTCCTCGGTCGAGTCGACCCATTCGTGGTACAATCATAATATAGTTGCAGCGTAGCTCTACCACGTAAAATACCTCGTTATTCTTAAGTTAATGCTTAAAAATGTTCCAATCACCTTTTGTGTACATGTTAGTTAGACCTCTTTAAATGTAATGTTCATTATCAATTGACTTTTTAAGCTTTGAAGTTGTGTATGCAAGAGAAGAATTCAGTAAAAAATATTTGAACAGCGAAGCGTCTATTTAAATACAATTTTCTGTATTTTTTAAAAACTAGTAAGAAAAACAATGAAACCCTTTTTATATTTCAAACACGGCGTTGTTAGGCCTTCTATTTAAAAAGGCAAAAATAGACTAATTCAATTTCTCTTAACAGGAGCCGCGAGGAAGATGGTGCGGGTGGTGATGATAAGGCGAATCGCGGCTGGGCTTCCATTACAAACCTTAGTTCAATTGAAACGCCTAAGAAAGACACATCCTCTTCAGGTACAAAGAATAATTTTGTATAACAGAGAATTTTGTTTATCTAGAAGGGTCAAAACAACATCTTAAAATAACTTTTGAATTAGGTATAATATTTAGTAAAAAGTAAAGTCTTGTCAGTGTTTCTTTCAGTTTCCCCTTCCTTTTACTATTTGCTGAACTAAAACAGATTATCAATTAATCTGAATGGGATTCATAATTGTATATAATGATAAAAAATGTCAAATATTATGATCCTAATCAATGGGACCATTAAAAACTGTACTTCCTTTTAGCATCCTTGATAAAACTAAGCAGAACAATGAGGAATAAAACCTATTGTTATTGCTGATTAGTCTTAATGGTCACCTTCAGTAGTTTTGAGAATTAAAAGTGTACAAAAGTGCGTTCTTTAATTCTCTAAACAGTTGTGTTTGACGTTATTCTATACCAAGATAAAAATGTTTGCATTTACAAATGATATCCTCAATATTCTTATTTATACATTGCAAAGCCACACTGCAGATGTATTATTGTTGCAGCAATAATGAGTCGGTTTGACCGGGGAAGGAGCGTGACTCTCACTCAGCGTAAGGTAGTCAAATGCAGTGTTGCCAACATTAAAATGTAGCTCCCGTTGTAGAGAACACTATAATCCCGTAAAATCCCGTCAAGTACGGTAGACAAGTGTCAATCATTCATCGTATTGCACATTTTTCGTATTTTTAAACTAAGAAAATGAATAAAATTATAATTTAATTGTTGCCATTTCCAAATTATTTTTTTTTTTCGAAAACAAATCTAAAAAACATACATTTTTGTTGTCCCGTTAAAAAAATCCGTTAGCCGTTAAACACACTCTCTCGCTGTCCCGTCAAATCTAACGGAAAACCCGTCAAGTTGGCAACACTAGTCAAATGCGGTTTCGTTTGATATGTGTAGCAAAAGCAGAGACCTCTTTTACGGGTACCGAAGCATTCCATCTTAGTTATCAGGGGCGACATCGCATCTATTTTTGATTCTTAATCAAGGATAGATATAGGTGTCTATTAATTTATTTACCAACAGGTGAACTGCAAGCTTGTTTATCGCTCTTCCTTCTATATGCAAAACAGTATTCTTTTATGGGCTGCTTCTTTTAAAAATTTGCTTTTATGTGCTGCTTCTTTTGAACATTTGCTTTTTTGTGCATTTGTTTCGATGAATTTGTAAAAACATGTAGAAGCTATAAACGTTTGTTATAATTACAGACTGTAGCAAATTTGTACTAAAATAAGTATTAAATAAATAAATGAATGTCAGTAATCATTAACAATAGAATTGTATGGTTCTAATTGCAAATGAATGTGTGTATTTGTCTCCTTAAATTAATACTTATTCTTGTTTTTTATACTAACAAATTTTTAAAACTTTAAAACAGACACTTTTGGATCTCCCTTCTCATACCTCGTGTTAAAAATTCCTCATTTACAGAATTGAAAGTCATCCTTTAATACCGTGTGCCTATTAGTTCCAGTAGCATAAGATTGTCAATTGTAATTAACAATAATGATGAGTGATGTTTCATAAACGTATGCAAACCCAGAGTTAGAAAGTTTAAGATAAATTTTGTTCATAGGGTTGAACAAAACCAATTCATCATGGACGTCGACGCCGGACCTGGCAAACGATGACTGCACAACTGCGGTCACCGTGAGCCTTAAATTACCCAAACGACGGTCCACGGGTCCACTACCCTCCTTGGATACTGGTCAGAATATTACAGGTCAAATGTCAAAACATGATATATCCATTTGTATTTTGTGGATGCGATTAAATATATACCTAATCCACATTTTCTCATTAAGTATAGAAGACTAATTTAGTACTTAGTTATTCTGTCGTCAAAACTCATCAATTTTTAGCTACAATGTACACACACGTATTAAATTATTATGCCCCAATAAAAATACTACCTATTTTAAGAAACATATATGCATATATGTAATTCGTTTCATTACAACATCGACCTTAATTTTTGAAATTCAATTTCATTTTAATTTATTTCACTTTAATGTTCCGCTTTAATTGTAACTAATAAACCCACTCTCAATTAGAAGTTCTTGATTTTGGTATTTTTCTTGAAATATTATCTATCTGGCAAAATATACGCAAGAAATGGGTATCTATTCGCGCTAAGTTTCTGACAATGCCTTCCATCGAGTTGACATTGTCCCAGAATATTGAGCTTGTATATCTGACATCCAAGTTCAAGATACTCGTACTTATGTCATGTCTATTATTTAATAGGCTTACATCGAAAGTTTTGCTCGATAGCTTTACTTAACATGGTATATATGTATACTTATAAAAAATATAAAGTGTCTGTCTGTAATATAGAAGTAACTGCATTTTATAGATAGAGGTAATTTGCATGCCATTAAGACATGAATAAGCATTTTTAAATATTTTGTCTGTCTCTCAGTCCGGGTAATCGCGGGAATGGCTGAACCGATTGCAATAAAACTTGAACAGATAGAGAGCAACCAGGAGTGATATAAGCTATATTTTATCCGAAAAATTTAAAGTTTTTTTTTAAATCGATAAATTGATAAATGAATGGCTTTTGATGATTATCGTAAATCTAAATAACGCCACATTAATAGACCCTATCAAGGCGAAGCCAGAGCGCGTCGCTAGTTATATTATAATATCTCTACGATAACAATGGTTCTATAATCTTGCAATCGCTTTTTATATCTTATGACTAATGCTGCAAAAAGTTTCAAATGTAGGACTTTTGGAAACGGAATATACAGTTGAACCAACTGAAACGAAAAAAGTGGAGTTAATAAAATATACTAGTGATGAAGCAACTATGTAGATAAGTAGGTAAGTACAAGCAGTACAGTTGAGCAGCATCCGCTTAACATCAGGTGGAATGTGTGTTCATCAATCGCCCTTAATTTTGAAAATAAAACCTTCATGGCACAAAGTTAATATACATAATGCATAGAGGTGAACTTTATGAGGAATCTTGAGTTTCTTAAATGCCGTCCGATATTGCGCAACACGTCATGAAGCAGAACGAAAACAACATGAAAAGAGCCGTGATGAGAATAGTGGGTGGGAAAGAGGCTGCGGCCGAATCCTCCCTCATTACTTATATCCCCTCGACCTGGTAGAGAAACTCACGAAAGTAAACTGAAAGTAGCAGCATTTAATACCGAGAGCAGAGAGACAGGGACTAAACTAAAGACTTAAGCCTACCTTCGTCGCAATGTTAAAGCTATTATTAGATAAAATTCCTTTTAAAGTGCCTTTTCATCATCATCATTTCAACCTATAGTCCTCTATGAACTTAGGCCTCCCCCATAGAATGCCTCATAGCTTCCCTATTTACCATAGTTGCCACGCTTAACAGGCCGGTTGCCAACCGCAGTTTTTATTTTCTTTATGTTACTAGGAAGGCGAAGCTGTCCATCTCCTGGTCGTAATTTTTTTATTAACTGGCTTTACGGCTCTGGGTTCTAGCCCTTATGAGCCTATCATTTCTTTCGGAAACTTCATTTTTATATTCTTTTTCTCCACAATATACTGATGCGTCACATTGCGAAGCCCTTGGGTGTTTTTCACTCAAGTTCATGAGGCGCTCAAGCGATCAAAATAACTTGAGGTTTATATCGATATCAAAGCCCTTGTTTCGTCGTTTTCTCTAATAGTTCACACGCGCGAACACTTAATTCACAAAATAGCATCACTTTAACGAATCAAAATCCACTTCAAACCATTATTCAAACGACAAAACAGGAGCCACAATCCGTCTACGGCCAAGTTCCCGCCAAAACCTCCTGGTTGTAAACTTCTATCGCCACTACGAGTACAAATAATAGAAATAATTTTAAGGTTTATGCTTCCTCATTCCCCACTTGCAATACTCGTATATTTAATAATGCATCTTCTATTACATTGCTCTTTGGTACATAAACATCTGTTTAGTGCCAATTAATCGTTAACTTTGTTATTATAATATGCAAAGATTTAAATCTTTGATAATATGTATGTATGTGAAATATTTTCATTTATTATGTATCTACCTGTAGCTCTTTTGAGGATTTGTAAAATCTATGTTAATTGTTGCCAGACACTGTGTCAATACGTCGACCATCGCCGTCCCCGCCGCCGCCAGCCATCGCCACGATTACAATCAACAAGAATGACTCACTAGCAGAACGTTTTCGAAAGGTGATCAGGGAAAATCATTTCAGTTATTTTAGGAATGGAGGCTTGTTTACATTGCTCGTCTTATAAAATTAGATAGTTATATAAGTCAATAATTGAAACATTATACTTTTAAACAATAAAATATTTAACCACTATATAAAATAATGAATTACCGATCTTAAGAATCAAATGTTTAAAATGAAAAATTAAATTAACATAATTTAGGAAAACATATTATTTCATTCGTTAATGTATTTGTAGTTAGAGGCCGTTCATTAATTACGTGAGGTGTTTAGGGAGTGGAGGGAGGAGGGGGGAGCCGAACCTCACACAATCTCACGTGGTGGAGAGGTAGGGTCTGAGATTATTTTTTGAAATAAACTGTTAAATTGCGAGAAAATTGGATATATGGCTAAATCCTGTACAATAATATTTATCGCGATTATTCGAACTCCACAAATTATATTGAAAGAACTAAGCAAATTATGTTTTTTTTTTTTAATAAACCCAACACAATCAAGCACAGATTAACGTATTTACACTAATAATACGCATTTTGAAAAATCTCATTTGAGATTGGTGAGGGAGTCGAGCCATATCTCACATTTCACCAGGGGAAGGTAGAAAAATCGCCAAATTCGCCTCACGTAGTATGGAATGGACGCCCCCTTATTTAGTTCCTCTGAACAGCATAACGACTAGCCGACAAGACATGTAAACATTGGCTATGGTCTTCTTATAGCAGCGGTACAATTTTGCCACCTTTTATATTTTATTGTGTATTTTAAATACAGAATAACGATATTGAATTTAAAAGTCAATTAGATCAATTTCGTCATGCATTGTTGTATTGTCATACTTGGTTACCACGCTTGGCAAGCGGGTAGACAACCGTGGGTATTTTTATTGTAAATTTGCTGTTTTCAGAAAGATGCTGCTGCCTCTTTGTTTACAAACGGCATCACTTCTTTTTGTTTCAATTTAAGTTATTTATACCTCACTATATAGCCGTGGTAGCTCAGATGGTCAACGCTCGCTGTAAATATAACAGAACGCGAGTAACCCGGGCTCGATCCCCGCTGGCACCAATGAAATCGTTAATGGCAATTTTAAGTGCTGATTTACCACGAGCTCGGCGGTGAAGGGAAACATTCGAAGACATGTGAAGTTCGCCAACACGCATTGGGGCAGCGCGGCGGACACTTCTTTGCCCTAAAACCCTCTCAAAAATGAGGGGAGGCCCGTGCCCAGCCGTGGGACGTATATAGGCTGTAACAACTTTTTTTATACCCCACTATAACATGGCAGTAATAGTAAGAGAAAACAACACTAACAAATACGAGTAAGTCAAATATTCATAATGTAGTGTTTAATATTTCTAATGAATAAAGATTAGAGAGATATTCGTACGCCGCTACTATACGATTACTTAAGTCAATGATACATGTCCAAAATTTAATTGATATTAACGAGCAACTAATACAATGGCGTAATAATTAAAAATAAAATTAATTTCCGCTGACGCTAGTAGTATTTTCCTAAGACATAAATTGTTTCTATTAGTTACCTGTTATTCTTTTATGATGTATGAAAAAAATCAAAACCTCCTGTTTTTTTTTTTTTGCTAAACACCTACTTAAATTTTGCTACTAATAATAAAACAAATACTAATGTAGAATATCTTCTAAGTTTCGTGTTAATTTTGTGATGATGATTTTATTAAAATGACTTTCCAATCGCGACTACTGGATTTGAAATTCCGCCTACTATTTAGATATTATTCGAGCAGAATATCAATGCTGCCACTTCGTACCTACAGGCCTGTATTCACTTTTATTAGTGCGAGTACAGGTGATTAGTAATTGCGGGTGATTAGTGCAGGTGTGTAGTGTAAGTAATTAGTGTCCAATTCATTTTAGTGGCTGTGTTTAGTAAATTCAGTTGTTATCCGTTGACCAGCAAGTACTCTGTTTAACTTCCTTAACCTCTTGCGAATATGTTGATCTCAAATTTCTTATTTTAGTATAAACTTTTGTACTTCCGAACCCCGGTATATTCATAGCTTCACTTATACGTTGAAATGCCACATCTCGGGTTCCTTAAATTTTGCAGTTAGGGTATTTACTATTGCAAAGACATTCATTTTTTAGATACTCCTGCACAAATTTATAGGGTATGTCTTCGGTCCCCTTTGCCATTTTTGCAACTCAAGCGAGCGTCCGACGCTAAACGCTAAACACTGTTGTCCAGACTCCAGACGTGTTTAGTGAAGGACATACTCTGAGTGAGGGTGAAAGGAGGACGCACGGGACGTGGTTACTCGCAGTCCACTTGCAAAAAAATAGAACACGCTTCTAAAAATTTTACTACGCAGATTACTAATCACTTGCACTAATCAATTGCTGTCCACACGTATTTACTCCTAATCACTAAGCACCTACACCAATCACCTGCACTAATCACTAATCAAAGTGAATACAGGCCTTATGAATTAATTAAAATTGGTACTGCGTACAGCAAGGAGTGCAATGATTGCCGGCGTCTGATTACAACCTGGCCTTCATCGCTTTTGATACCTTAAGACAGTGCGATTTAATCTATGGCTTTACTAACCACCACAAGCACCACTAACCAGCAGGTGGTATTGTAGTCAAGTACTGGATTATAATAAGTAAAGAAAACACCAAAGATTTTGTACTCTTTTGTGGCAGTAAAAATATGGCTTGCCAGAAGGATACCAATATTATTAAGTTAAATACACCTAGTAAGTTATTTTATGTAGGGAATGTTTTCATTATCATCAACATCAACATCTTACAGCCCTTTACAAGTCTACTGCTAATCATAAGTCTTACCAAGAAATAGTATAAAACATGGTCTTGTGCCATCTGCATCCATCGATGTGATCACGCATTTCTGCATGTCTTACCAGTTCGTGATACTCCATCCAGCGAAGGGCCGCCTTAATCTTCGCTTACTGGTATGAGCTACAAGTTCTTACTAGCAGGGAAAATTTGTATTAATCACCCCATATAACAGCCTTTGATGCTTAATGCCGTCGAAACGGCGTGGCGTGTTCTATTTCAAAAATGGTTTAGGCAAAAGTTGTGTTACTGAAACCGTTTTGATTTTTTATACTCTGAGAAGATATAGCTATCTGACATAATAGTAAATAAAATTAATGATAAGTTTTAGGTAGGTATATAAAATTACGTCCAAACTTTGCACTTCGATAATTTCATATTAATTAAATACGAATTACGATACTCATTATGGAAGTTCAACTTAAGATATTTTCTCTAGTTTACAAGTATTTTATGTTTTACAGGAAATATTCTTTTAAATTTAATTTTAAATGTCATAAGGTAACTTTCCGTCTTTTTTGTTTTCAAATTGGGGTTTCTTTGTTGCCGACATCTACCTATATCGAGTTATGTTATTTTTGAATTTGTCAATTATTAACAACGAAAAAAATATTAACCTTGGTCAGTATCAGTAGAAGTAAAAATCTCGACTGAGGGAAAAAAATTTGCGGTTCTCGTTATTTCCACTTTATTATGATATTTGTGGATACTACAAAACACTTGGTATTGTTTGTTTACAATAAAATACTTTTTGAAATAATACTAGTTTTTACGGAATTTATCGCGTGTATTTAACTTTTTAATTACCCGACGTTTCGAACGCTTTACAGCACTCATGGTCACGGGCAGGACTGAGATGTTCAACGTCCATATGTCATAGTTAACCGCGGTTACCATAGATTAAAATTTAACTTTTGTTCCGATCTATGCAGTATGAACTTACGGTATCTTGAAGTCTTGCAGTTGTATGCTTGGCTTGAGATTTAATTTTATTTATTATAGGATCCCAAGCAGATGGTAGCACCCAGCCATCTTCTCTATTGAAATTAGGATGTTTTTTGATTTCAATAGCCTCGCGAATCATCCTTGGAAGGAATCGGTGTTCTTTAGCGAGGATCTGCGGTCTATCAAATCTGATGTAGTGACGGGGGCGATCCTGTACGTGTTCACAGACTGCAGACTTCCCGGAGCGTCGATTCTTCACATCAGCTATATGTTCTTTAACGCGGGTTTTTATTGATCTTTTAGTTTGTCCTATGTAGGAGAGACCACATTCACAATCAAGCTTGTACACTCCTGCATCTTGCAGAGGGACATTACACTTGACCGATGGTAAAAACTGACCAATCTTCTTCAGCGGCTTGAAGTATGTTTTGATGGAAGCGCGCTTCGTGCTGTAAAGCGTTCGAAACGTCGGATAATTAAAAAGTTAAATACACGCGATAAATTCCGTAAAAACTAGTATTATTTCAATGTGTAGTGTTCGCGTAAATATAAGAAATCAAAATACTTTTTGTTTAACAAGTAAGCACAAAATATTGTAGGTATTTAGTATTTGGAAAAATATATTTACATGATTTTTTTGCAGTGATTATTTTAACCAGACGTATGATAAAAACGATGTTGCATACTTCTTATCTGTTGTAATAGTTATAACCGGTATTGGTTATAGCATTCCTGTGAGAATTCTTATAGTCATTTTTATTTAATTTAATTTACATATGAAAATTTTCAAAATTTTAGTGTCGTCATTGTTTTACTAAATAAATAAAGTTTTTAAGTGACGATGTTTTAATTACATAATTGCATAAGTATTCAGAAATATGTGTACAAAATTTTAATTTAAAATGTCAAGACACATAAACGTTATAGATTTTTGAGATTTAACGCATCGCTTGGTTGCCGGTATGGATATTTTACATCTATAGGTATTTCAATACGCAATAAATAGTAAATGGTTATGGTCGCCAGACACGGTCAGTTCAACTGATCATTCCAATTGATCAGTTCAAACTAAAACTGTTGATATTTTTTTGAATATTGGATTTTTGATTTATCGATAAATAAACTTATATATAAAAAAACAACTTTAAAAAAATATCAATATATAAATATAAAAACATAAAAGTTTTAGTTTGAACTGATCAGTTGGAATGATCAGTTGAACTGACCGTGTGTGGTGTCCATTAAATCATACGTTCGTCAATTGTGGTAAGTCGCTTTTTACGATACTCATGAAAGGAATAAGAGGGCGTGATGGTAATAGCTTCTCTTATGCCGCCAACGTATAACAAAAACATTATAAGTAAATATTAATTTTTGTCTTCGGACGCTTTATTCATACTTCAATAAAAATGGAAACGAAACAACTTTTTAATAGAACTGTTAGCTATACAAACTGTATGCTATAACAAAAGTTGCAACGCCACATTTAAAATAATCGAAAGGTCTCCATGAGCATTCCGATTTGGCAAAGCGTGAGGCGTTATAATTAACCGAGGAAATGGTACAGATACTATTTTTAAAGAGTTATAATTATTATAATGTTATTATTTTGATTGAAGTAACTTTTTTAAAATACATTTTGTTGATTTGCCTGTAGATGCAACTAATAAAAAGTCAGAATAGTTTTGAAAAGGAGTCTAGTATAGAAAAGGAAAGAGAAAAGAGAAGTACTTCTAGAAGTAAAGAAGAAGGAGAAAAACCAGTTAAACTAAAAGATGAACGATCGTCTACCAAAGACGATGTAAATTTTTTAATCCAGGTAATGTATTTAGAGCTATATTAATCATACAAAACTGAAACATCTTTCTTTATCAATTGTTATACGAGGATCTTAATTACAGGTAAAAAATTCTCGTAATCTATCCGCTACCGCAAAGCCTCCTATAAAAGGGGGACCGTCACGAGATAAAGATGAAACATCTGACGATGATGCAAGCACTGCAGGCACAGTAACAACGGATACCACGCTCGTTGATGCTAATATTAAAGAATATCAGGTATCTTATATATTTTCGCCTACTGATTAGACCTCTCGCAATGCATATTCACCATAACTCGATGGTAATGTTAATCGCTGTAATTGGACTACACATTCACGAAACGATGCTAAAATAATATTTTACTCACCTATACTCGATGCCATTATTTCCTGCTTTGAAATTTAATAATATTTTTGTATGTGCGTGCGTGCGTGCGCTGCGTGGGCGGCGGGGGGGGGGGCGTGCGCGGCGTGCGTGTGTGTGTGTGGGGGTGTGTGTGTGTGTGTGTGTCCTCTCATAACTTTTGAACAGCTTGACTGATTTCAACGAACTTGAAGGCGTTCGAAAGGGTATAACCAAACTTTAGATTTCCAATACTGTTTCAATTGATTTGGACCGCTAGATTTGGAAAAAACTTACAAATAAAATTTTCAAAAAAAAAATTTTTGGAATAAATTTTAAACAGATGTAACGATCAATTCCAAAATCTAATCAGATCAGATTGATGCGTACCTCTTAAAAATCAGCTAATGCGTTAAAGAGAAATCGATGACGAAAAATTTTGAAGAAAGTGTTTTTTTACATAACTTTTTACTAATTTTTATAATAGATTTTATAATTATTCTTAAAATACCTCATCCATTGCCACCAAATACACCAAAATCAGTTGATCCTTTCGAAAGTTATCGTCGTCAAAAATATTTTTTTTAATTACGTTAAAATTTCTGCTTGGATCGTTTTTGATGTAATAACTAATAAGTTAACTATTAGTTCGTAAAAACATTTTTCGAGCGGTTTGAGATTTTGATCCTTTGATAGCTTGCAAGGTGTATATATTTTTTATACCTGTAACAAAATGTAGTCAGGGGTGATAACGTATCGTAAAAGTTATCACCCCTGACTACTAAGTTATAATGCCTCCTTACCAGTTAAAGGGGTCGCTAGGTTTTCACGATAAGCATCACAGCAACCGCAGTAGTTTAATAAACCCAAACGAGTCTTAAGCTGCTGCTATTTTACGCCTGTATTCTGTGAGAACGTGATTCTTCCCTGGTCGAGCTGATCCATTGGTGCTGCAACCATGACATAGCTGCAGCGTGACTCTTTCACATTTTAACTTTTACTAAAATTATTCCAAGAGATTATAATATAATAGGTATAACCTCCTTACCAGTTAAAGGGATTTTTTTCTGGTTGATAGAATACATATATTTGTAGTACAAAAATTTGCGGGTATGTTTATTTTGTTTTTTTCTTGTTCCGAAATATAACTATTATAATGTAGTTAACACGTATTTACTATTATAGTGTCTCTATGATAAATGGAAGCGAATGCCACAAAACAATTCGTTCCACCGTTAGTAAATCTTTTAAAGGATTCCTTGTGATTGAAATTAAATGTTAAGTTACATAGCGTTCCATAAAATGAATACAGTTAATACTAATAGATAGTTTCAGTATATAAATATTCCAATGCTGGAGATAAGAATCCTCTTACAAGAAGTGATCTACAGAAAATGCCAACCTAATGGCGGACTTAGTTGATAAATTAATGCGTTAAGCAAGTTTTCTCAATAAAGTTTCGCCATTTTGGAAGACTTTTTTGAAATTATAAACAAAATCATCAGCATGTGTGAAACATAATGTAGCATTTGATCATAGACATTATAACCTAATGTGCCTTAATGTATAGAACGTGTACATTGTTCTATACATTAAAGCATACGGATACGGAAGCTACGGATACACGTAACTTCTTTTGCATAATTCGTTCAAATTAAATATTAAATGTTTCTTCGTTAAAAATTTATACATTTTTCAGACAAAATGAAATTTTCTATTGAAAAAAATACGATTATGTTAAATATGATTTTAATAAATATAATTTACGATGTAATTAACGAACGCAAGTATTTGGAATCCACATGAAAGCGAGTATAGTGTCATGGTCGAAAAAAATCAAAATAAATTCACACGATTTTTATACTTTAAGCAATACGGAATCTATCCTTGTTTTCCGCTGATGTATCCGATTCTGTTTGTACTGAGGAAAGTTGATTACAGCCGCCTGAGTGTGAGGAGAGACATCATGCTTATTAAATACGAGTATGTGTGGGAAGTATTACGTGGATGGATATATCACCCATATGTGCTCGCTGCGTTAAAGCTGCGGGTGCCTAATAATGACGTGTGTCTCGTCGTCGTCGTCGTTACTCCTCGTGCCCGCTGCTACGACGAAGTTGCTTCAGAATGCACCATTGTCACGTGCTATACACTATGTTAATATCATCTCACAGGATATTGACATATTTGCATGTAGTGAGACGAAATTCATAATTGCAGCATACAAATGCGTTGAAAATTGTAATGTTTTTAATTAGTATTTTATTTTACCATCATTTTGATAGATTTCATACTAGATATCGTTATTTATTAGTCAATAGTTTTCTTATAGTTAGGTTAGTTATAGCATCGCATTGGTTTAATAACTGTAATGATGTTATAATTGTGTAATAAATAAATAAATAATACGATTTTAATAAAATATAATTCCTAAATACATCTTAGGACCAAATAGAGAGTCTAAAACAAGAAGTGGATACGCTTAAAAAGAGATGCGAACGAGTGGAAAAAGAAAAAAGTGATATTCTGCTTCGAAGGCTGGCAAATATTGACACGGCAAATAAATACACTACGGGACGATCTTCTGAAGTTTTGAAGTTACAACAAAAAGTTAACGAGCTTACAACACAAAATGAAGACTTAAGAGACGAGAAGAAACATCTAACACTTAGAGTAAAAGAGATGGAAGCAGAACTTGAGGTTAGTAGTATTATTATTGATACGGATTTCAATAGCGCTCGCTGTAAATTTCGCATTACGCGAGCAATCCAGGTTCGATTCCCGTCGACACCAATGACATTGTTAATTGCAATTTTAAGTGCTAATTTACTAGGTGCTCGGCGGTGAAAGAAAACATTGTGAGAAAATCTGAGAAATAACAAAAAATATTTCGATGACATGTGAAGTCCACCAACACGCATTGAAGCAGCGTGACGGATACTTAACTATCTTAAAAAACCATCTCTGAGAGGAGGCCTGACCAGTGGGACGGGGGAAAATTAAATGTTTTAAAATATTGTTTGAAGAACTATTTTAAATTTAAATATCACGGAACGTAGCAGTTGCAGCTTCCGTGATAGTTGTTGTAGCAGTTGTCTTCACAGCAGGACCTTTTCATTCTGCAATATTGAAGTTTAACCCTAATTATCTATTTTGCGAGTTTACTTTATGAGCTTAAGTAAACCTGAAAAGATTTTGTTTGTGCAAACACTTACTGACATCTGGTGCCATTGATTGAAATGTTTAATCATTCCAAAATGATATAATTTTATTCATGTATCTGTTTTATAATATTTTATATGTAATTATTAGTCACGGCCATCAGTGGAAGCTCAAGCAAAACAAATCGAGCAGTTAAGAGCAAAGCTCTTGGCGGCGGAAACATTATGCGAAGAGCTCATGGATGAAAATGAGGATATGAAAAAGGAGTTGAGAGATCTTGAAGAGGAAATAGAAGAAATGCAAGATAATTTTAGGTATGTTGTATATGTGTGTTTATTATGCCCTGTTAGCTCATGGGGACGTATTTTTCATAGTACGACAGAGATCGAACCAGATTGTTTGCGCAAACTGGTTCGATATCCGTCGGCACTGTTATTTTAACTACTGATTTACCACGTGCTGAAAAGTAAACATCGTTAGGGAACGATCTGAGAAACCAATAAAAATATTTCGACGGCAGGGGAAATTCGCAATGCGCGATCGCGATGGATATTCCGTACCCTAAAATCATCTCAGAAATAAAAATGAATTTGATTCTTGATTTTGCTTTTAAACAAATACACAATTTGCAGAGAGGATCAAGCAGATGAATATTCTTCCTTGAGAAGAGAATTAGAACAAACAATAAAGAATTGTAGAGTTTTATCTTTTAAATTAAAGAAGACTGAAAGAAAAGCTGAACAGCTTGAAATTGAAAAGGCTGAACAAGAAAAGAAACTGCTGGAGGTATGTATTTTTTTTTTGAAGTAAAATCTGCACTCTTTTGAGTCAAAAACTTTCAAGAACAAGGTTTTCTTTAAAGATTGACACTGAGTTGTATTAGTCATAATAAAATACAAATATTAAGCGTATATTTTAATTTTTAACTACCCGCTAAGAAAATTAAAAAAATTCAAAAAGTTAAGTTATTTAGTTAAGTAAAGTTTAAGTTAGTTAGTAGGGAAGTTATTGGTTTCACCCCGATTTTCAAAAATCGTTTTTCATCAGATCTCGACGTTTCCTGGAAGCTATTCTAATTTCACGTGGACGTGTGTGTGTGTGCATGCGTGCGTGCGTGCGTGTGCGTCGCGTACGTCGCGTCGCGTGCGTGCGGCGCATGCGTGTGCGTTCTCTTGTTACCCTTGGTCGAATAATATTGATAAATAGTTTCAATCCAATGAGGGCTAATAATCTTCCATTCACCAGATGTCTGTGAAGTTTTTTGTTACACAATGTAATTTTATTGAGAATTTAGGTTTCAATAAAAGTTTATCAATTTCTATAGTATTATATTAATACACAAAACAATTCCTCAGGAGTTTATTCTTTAATTTTTTGCACATTTGTAACTCTTTTTTCAATTTTCAACTTTTATTAATATCTGTGGTTTGGTTTTAATCAAATTGATATAAAATATAACTAATAGTACATAAAGAAACATTAACCTTTACATTTTTCGAACAAATTGAGTTCCCGCTATGTAATCTGTCAAATATTAAACCTCATTTGTTAGTAGCGCCGCTCTGGTGACAGAGAAAGTCGTGGATGCCCTGCCCTTATTAGGTATCTAGCTCTAAAGTGGAACTTGTACCATGGCTAAACACATTATTTTGAATTCTCTGCAGTGAATTCCTTAATAAGCGAGTAAATTCCTTAATAGGGAGTTTAATCTGCTCCACAAGTTGATTACTCAAAAATAACTTTGAAACAGTAATATACCTAATGGTGAATAATTATTAATTGAACATTAATATAAGATTAAATTATTGAAATCCTTTAGGTAAAATCTTATAAATTGGTAATAAATCTTAAACCATTTAAGTGATATAATTTCACATAACCTACAAATCTTCAAAGCCTCGTAACAATTATTCCCGGCCTCGTCGATAAAAAATCTTAGACAAACAATCTCAGGGAAAGATGGTGAATCGCTTTTGATATTTTTGATGTAAAGACGCTTCCAGATTACGTGACATAAAAATTTGTATGGGCGTTCGCCATTGTTATTTGGAGCGCTTAGGCATTTGAAATTAGCGGGAAGTTCCAGGGATGGCCTGCAGGGTCAACCAATTCTTTTTGTTTATTTTAACATTTCTTACCAAGTAGTAAAATCTTTCAGAAATATAATTTAAAAGATAGGTACATAAAAGGTGTATGTGCTCCAGGGCCTGCTGTGATTTGAATGATTATTAGATTATGCTGATGAACAATATGCGGAATAATATTAATACATTTAATACCAATTTTTTGTGATAGTGTCGTTATTGATAATTTTTTTGAAAAAATTACAAAGTATGCCAAAAAATATGTAGGTATTAAATATTAATCATTATTATTTATTGCAAGTAACATCTTATAGAGTTAGGTTAAAAATATGTATAATATTATATTAGTGTACCCACCCATATGTGATTGGTTACTCGGAATCTACGATTTGGATGAAATTTTGTATTTAGGTAATATTTTACTTTCCATGTTTATCTACTCGTAGATATATGTCTCATGTCCGAGAAGTTTATTTTCTAACCCCGAGAGAAAATCGGTCACCCAGGTACTGTTTATTAAACTATCGGTATAAAATTAAATATCCCGGGGCTGATTTAAGATCGAAGTTAATGTTATAGGAATTGAAAAAAAAACGGCCTTAAATAAGCTCACCCTTTTTTAGTTAGTTGGTGGTCAAGAAGGTATGCAGCGCGAAAACCGAATTAAGGAATTGGAACAGGAAGTGGCTCGCTCAACAGAGGTGTCGCTGCGATTACAACGTGACCTGGCGGAAGCCAATGCAAAACTTGCGGCCGTATCTGGTGCTCCTCCAGCTAATTTAAAGAAACACACACCACCCGTTGACGGTGTAAGTGCTTTTCCACTATAATAGAATTAAGGTCTGTCTAGCGTAGTGGTCTGCGTACCTGGTAGGCACCAGCTTTGATTTTCTTCTAGAGCTGATACTTGTACTTGTTATATTACAATTATAGATTAAGGAATACGGACATTTGCAATTGTGATTTTGTAAGAATGCCTACTAGCACAAGTCCATTTGACAGGAACTCAATTATGAACTAAAATATTGATATGTTGTGACCCTGAGGACTGAGATGAAATAGCTCGTTATTAGTAAAAAAGGTGTTCGATTTTCGTCACTAACTATACGAAAATTATACGCTGGTATAATTCGAGCGTGGTCCTTACACGTTAACAAAATTCGTGCGTCCTTCGTATAAATCACGATGTTTCTGCAAGTAATTTGAATATTATTAACTGTACCCATTTTGTTCTAAACATGTTTTATAGTATAATATAAGGATGACAAATAAGCACACAGTCTACCTGATGATAAGTGGATGCTATAGCCCGCAGACATCTAAATTAATCCTGAATTAAGAATTAAAATGCAAATGCGTTGCCACCCCTGAGGACTAAGATGGAATGCCTTGTTTCCAGTAAAAAGTTTCTCCGGTTCCCTACACTCTTGGACTCTTCATTGAGCTGCTGTTTTACGCTGGTATTCTGTGATAGCGTGGTACTTCCCCCATCGAGCCAACCCATTCGTGCTACAATCATAATGTAGCTGCAGTATGACTCTACCACGTACAAACATGTGTGTCTTGCAAATATTATTAGTCACGATTAATATGTCATTGCTATTGCTAGGTCTTTATGATCGAAACTAAAATTCATATTTGTTACTATACTTACAGCAAAAGGTTTCACGGTCGTCATTAACTCGAGGTGGTAGCCAGGAGGACCCAGCTCAGTTACTTCGAGATCTGCAAGACTCATTGGAGCGCGAGGCTGATTTGCGAGAACAATTGCGCAACGCTGAAGAAGAGGTGATTGTCTGATACTTTATAGCAGAAAGATACTTTATTATATTATTTTTCTTATTTCATTCACGTATTTAACCCAAATATTTAACATACATTTATTTTTAGTATCTGAATTTTATGAAGCCTTATTTTCAATAAAAAGCCATTTAATAGAAAAAATTACACAAACGCACTTAACGTAGCGAAAGCTGTAAGCTTATAAACTCTTATTTTCTAACAGGCCAGCCGATATCGGCATCGCTTCGGAAGCAGAAGAATGCCAACTTCACCAAAACTTTCATCATCAATGCCTCTAAAATTAACTCCAGAAAGCTCCATTAATGTGCATGAGGATAGATCTAGACAACAAATAATTAAAACACAGATGGCTCTTGAAAAAAGCTTATCTTCTTTAGATATTAGCAAACTGACCATAGGTGTAAATGAGATTGTGCAATCTCCACAAGATCTTATTCAGTTCTACTCTCAGGGCTGCCAAACTAATCACATATTATTATTAGATGTTGCTACGGAAATGCAGAAGATCACTTTAGATTCGAATATACAATGTAATATAAGCGTTTTGGAAATGTATTCCCAAACTGAAATCCCATATACGAAAAACAAAAATTTACAAACCGATAATTTGCAAAAAAGTTGCCTTATTCAAACCGATAAGACAAAAGAAAGAAGTAATGCTACGCAGACTATCAATCAAGTAAAAAACGACATTTTCACGCAAACCTCACAAAAATTAATAAAATTTGAGCATTCTAGTACTGATACGAAAAACTTATTTGTGTGCGATAAAAGTACTCTAACTCAAGCGTCCAAATCAAATGTAGAGCTTTTAGAAAACACTGAGAGTGACAAAATCTCTATTGAAAATGTAAATCGTACCAAAGAAAAATCCGAAAGTCCTCCTCTTTCATCAGAAAAAACTGTACCTGGTCCCTCTGATCTAAATTTTTTACCTTTCGTATCATTGTTCAATCCACTAGCAGCAAGATTACCAATTTTAGGTACATACATTTTTGAGACAAATTTTAAATGTTGTTTTTCCAGTAATTTGTTTAATTATAATATTAACAATAATTTATCCTAATAGTATTTGTAGTGTTGATCAAAATTTACGATGTCATTAAATAAACTAATATTTTCAGGCAAATAACTTGCGTAAAACTGCATCAAGGGTTGAGGACGACAATGAGTCCTTACTTCTACAGCTGAAGAAAATGGCTACCAAAGCCAGAAGTACGTCAAACTAATTTTATTCTTAGAAATATTCATGCTCTATGTTACCCTAAATTTAAAACCATCATAAAGCATTTCATCATATAACCATTATCTTTCTTTAACTGTAGCGTAGGTCCTTACTCTTTGCAACATTCCTTTAAAGTATCAATACTAACCGCTTTCCCTTGTAGGCTAACTTTGTATATACATACATACAAATATACGTACTGAGTTCAAAGGTGAAATAATGGTAGCCATTTTCTCCAGTTTGTAGTCGCGATTGTCTGATGACAAGGTGGTGGTTGATTTTTGATTTAAATTTTTGTGATTAAAATGCATATCCTTTACCTAACTGATAATTTGCATCACTTTAAAAGCTATTACTAATCATCTTTTGTGACTTTTCAAATTTGATTTATTCTAATACAATTTTTGATATGTAAATAATTTAAATAAATTTGTCAACAGGTCGTAAACTTTCACCAACGCCTCCGAATAACAGACTTGCCATTGAAGCGCCTAACGAAAAAGATGAAGGAATATCAGACGAAGAAGACCCTGCGGAATTACGACTCTTGCTTGAACTTAATGAACAGGTTAAAATTATAAAATGATTAAAAAAATAACAACATACAAAAAAGGAAACAACCGCTACTTTCTGATGGTAATTTTTAGGAATCAGCAGTCTTGCGGCGTAAAGTTGAGGAGTTAGAACAGGATAGAGATTCGTTAAAGAAACAAGTTAAGGAGCTAACGGATAAAATTTCAAATACTAATACTAAGCAAAATACTACTTCAAGCACAGGTTTTCGACGAAATACTGGGAAAACTAACAATTTAGCCGAAGAAAAAGTTAAAGTAGGATTTCACATTACATCACATTATTTAAAACATAATTTTCTAAAATATCTCTGTTAGCGTTTACATAAAAAATGATTTTAGGTTTTAGAAGATGAGATAGCGGAACTCAGAAAAAAATTAATCGAAAAAGAAAGAGACTGTGAAAGGCTACACGCAGAACTAAGTCAAGCCCAAAAAAAACCAAAAGCATCACTTATAAAAAGCAAGTAAGTAAGAAATATCTATGTTTAATCTCTATTCGATTTTCATTTTATTTATTTTATTGTCTGTTTTTATAATTTTATGTACCTGCAAATTTAAGGTCACTTGATGCAGCAAGTGATTTACAAAATGTGGATTTAAGAAGACAACTACAAGTAATAGAACAGGAAGCAAATGTTTTAAGAGCTAAAACGCAAAGCCTGGAAGTAGATAATGAAAAACTACAAGCAGAAAATAAAAGATTACAGGTAAATTTCATATATGTGCCTCAATTTGTTTTGATAACAACCTATATAACATTATTAACGCATTTTTGAAACACTTTTCCCCTTAAAATATTTTTATTACAGCTCTTGAAAAACGCTAAAAATTTAAAGTCTGATAAAAACTTAGAACAATCTTCTATTAAGGCAAGCCAGTTAGAAAATGAATTAAAGGAAGCGTTGGCAAAAATCAAGGATTTAGAAAGTACAAAAGACAAAGACGACAAATTTGAAAAGAAAGTAAGATTTGGGAGCGATGTGAACAAAAAAGAGACTGAAAGCTTAAAACTAAAACAAGAAGAACTAGATAAATTAAAACTCAACTATAGTAAGGTACATCAGTAATTTTAATTCCGTATACTAATATTTTAATAATATTTACTTAAATAATGAATCTTACTTTATAGTTAGAAAAAGAAAAGACGAAACTTCAAATTACTCTAAAAGAATTAAAAGAAGATGCGAGTAAAATGTTCAAACCAAGGAATCCAAAAAAGCCAACGGAGCAAACTACTAAACTGCAAATGAAAAAAATGGTGGAAGAGTTAGAAAGCGAAATTGGTAAATTCACTGTTACATTCTTCCTAAGACGATATTTAATTTAACTAATGTTAATAAAATTGAATTTTACTAATGTCAGTATAAATGTCTTTCTTTAGGAGAAATGTATGTTATAATGAAGAATGCTGGCCTCTCAGCTGTAGATATTAATGCCAAAATACAAATTGAAAAGGATATAGAAGAACTAAAATCAAAATTATCAAGAAATGAAAATGAATTCAAAAATGAAAAAAATCGTTTACAAACAGAAATCGCAAAGTTAAAGGATATAAATTCAAAATTAGAAGCGGACAAAACTTCATATCTGGAAAAATGTAAGAAATTAGAAGTTGAAATCAATACAGGTATATCAGAATCCAAAATGCTAAAAGAAGAAAAGAAAAATTTAGAAACTAAAATATCTAAGCTAAATGCGGATCTCGGTAAGTTTTTCGTTGGAATATTATATTAAAACGAATTAAGCAATTTTATGAAGGGTTTTACTTTAGGCACGGGTAGATTGTGGCGGTCCGTGGCGGCCATTTTGTTTTGGCGACATCTATTAAATCTTTTATATATTATTCAGTTATTTATGCCAAATCACAATGGCCAGTTAAACGATTGAATAGCACGTTCAAATAATAAAACTTTATGAGTGTTCCTTAGTGCAAACGTTGTGCACATTGCGCCAACTTTACGGTAGACGTGATGGTCTTTCACAGTCAACTCTTCAACGTTTGGTGGTCGACACCCGTATGTTCAAAGAAAGCAAGATCGGCTGAGAACATCACCGCGTTTCAAGAAAGTATATGGCAGAACCCGGCTGATCTAGGAGCTCAAAGTGCATGACCATAGACAACGCCGTTTGTTCACTGATTGGTCTTTGAATCGTTTGGAGACGTCAAAGATGATTTTTGATGAAAAATCATCTTTAGCGACAAGGCGCATTTTCGTATGAACGGCTCTGTTAACAAGCAGATTGCCGTACATAGAACACCAACCCACGCGAGGTTCACCAAGTGATAATGCATGCTCAGAAAGTTACCGTTTGGTATAGATTTTGGGCCGGTGGCGTCATTATCCGTACTTTTTCAAAAACGACGCTGATGAGGCGGTCAACGTCAAAGGCGAGCGCTACAGAACGATTATAGCCAATTTCTTATGACGCAAATTGAACCATATGGATGTAGACGACATGTGGTTCCAACAGGAGGGCGCTACGTGCCACACTTCGAAAGCTACGATTGACATTCTCCATATCGATTGGAGGGTAAGCCTATCTCTCGCAGGGGTAACGTGAATTGGCCACCACGGTCATGCGATTTGATCTGTCTAGTTGTAGGGCTATGCAAATAAACCACAATTGACCGATGCCCTAAAGGTGAACATAACACAGAAGAGCCTTTGAAAATTGGACCACTCGGATCTGTGCCGATCAATGTAAGAAGCCGAGGCGGGCATTTGAAAGACGTCATATTCCATATTTAATGGCACATTTGGGCTCTTCAAATAAAAGAAAATATTGTTAATACCTCACACACAGCTTGTTTTATTCCATTTCAAAATCTACTCGCCCTTATTGAAAAACCGCTTACATTGACATTTTAATTTTTAGAAAAGAGTTCAACGCAACTAACTGCAATGTCTGACTGTAAGAAAAAAATAGAAGAACTAAAGAAAGACATGGACGATAAAGATAAGGAAATTGAAAAGTTAAAAAAGCAAGTAGAAAACGTAAATAAATTGGAAAATGATAAAAATAAATTATTGAAAGAGGTAAAAATTTATTAGATTTTATTTTAAAATGTTGATTAATCATTTTAATTGTGGAGCGGCAGTGTAATATTATCAATTCCCTCGTAAGTCCCTTGAGTATCATAGGAGGTGACAGAGGGAATGAAATCACGAGATAGGCAACAGCGTCTTTTTAATAATATTGTTAAAGTAAGGTAAGCTCGTAGCTTAGGGTTCGTGACAATAAAAACTACCGATGGAATTTCCAAAATTGACACTTTAATTACCGAACACCAGTTAAAACTTAAAACACACTAATAATTAATCACACTTTATTTTACTCCTAAATCTTCGCTTGTATTGCCAATGCAATACTGCTTCGGTCGCGGTCCTTAACGCCTTTATGTAGGACCTTTTCCACTGAAACGAGCACGAGCACTTACCAGTTCCAACCGACTAAGTGGAGAAAGTTCTCTCCTAGTTCTGCCACTCGATACTAGATGGCACTGGAGGTGGAAAGTTCTAGCATGGCATTTTCTAGAAAGCTATCCTCGCTCTGCTACCCGACACTAGATGGCGCTAGGGGCATTAATTATGGCTTGTAACAATATCTAGAAAATAAAAAAATGCGGTTGCCACCTGTCAGGCGTAGCAACTATGAAAAATACCCATATGTGGCAATCTATGGAAAAACCTGATGATGATGAACCTGAACCTGAAATGATGGTAATGATGATGAGGATTTAAACAAATATTAAATGTTAATTTAATATAATAACATAACATTATTAACTTTATATTTTCTTTTTTAATTAGGTCGGTGATAAAACAAAAAAGATTACTGATTTAGAAAAGAAACTCAAAGATACAGAAGAAAAGTGCAAACGAAATGAAAAGTTGCTGTCTGTCCAAAAAGATCGTGTTGCAAAATTACAAAAAGAGGTAGGTATGCATAAGAATCTTCCTGCTAAATAAAAGCAAAGATTTTCTATTCAAACTTGAATAAAAGTGATTTGATTTTAAGATGCTATGTTTGATTAATATTTGAATTATATAAAAAGCTAACAGAAGACAAGCAGCAAGTAGAGGCCTTTATTAATTCTTAAAAATTAATCAAATAAAAAAAGTAAAGTGATTTTACTAGAGACAGATATAAAAGATTTGAAAAATTAAAATAAAATAAAATCGTAATTCTGGAGTCAACGATTGCGGCAAAAGATACCCATATTAAGCAACTTACAGTAAATGTGACTTTCCAACGCATGGGTTAAAATATTAAAATATCCTTAAACTTAATCAATTATCCTACAATCGGTCTTTAGAAGTAGCGCCATTAATTTATTTTTATTGAGAATTAAAATCGACATTTATTGTTTTATTGGTTATTACAATAACTAACGTAACGTTACTATGTTTTAAAATTACAGGAAGAAGCTTTAAGAGAAACATCTAATAAAAAATATGACGATGCAGTTTTCTCTGCAGAATTGTCACAAATGAGGGAAAAATATGAAACAATAAATAAAGAACTTCAAGAGAAAGAAGAAGATTTAGTAAGGGCTAATCAGAAGATAAGTGATATGGAAAAGGAAATTTCTAATTTACATACAGAGACAATACGACTTAAGTCAGAGATATCTAAATTTGAAAGTGACCGTAAAGAATTTGAAAATAAACTTCAAACAGAAAAGAAGGAATCTAATTATTGGGAAAAGAAAACATCTGAACTCGAAAATGATTTACAGGCATGTTGCAAATTTCTCATATTATTTTCATTACATACTTATTACTTTTATCGCTATAAGTGTACGATATTTTGGAAGAAGAATATTAATACGATTATAACTATTTACAGGCCGAGCGGAAAAAAATTGATCGAATAAGAACTAATCATGATAAAGATATTAAAAACAAAGAAGCGGAATTGGCAACTCTTAAAGGCAAATTGAAAGTATTAGAACAAACTTCTGGAGCCGGAGCTAAAAGAATAGCTGATCTCAAGCAAGAACACGAGGAAAGCGTTAAAAGTTAGTAACTTCCTAATTAATATTTAATAATTTAAATAATAAAGCAGCACACACAGCTACTTTCGTTAAGCCTATTACAAAGTTGGTGCTGCTAAATATAGGCTTCTCCCACAGATTGCCCTATGGGTGAATATTTGTCCTAGCTGCTACGATTAGCAGGCGGCATGGCAAGAGTTTTTATTATTATTTTGAATTGTTATCAGGAAGATACTGCTGCCAAATCTCCTGTTTCATTTTCTTCTGTCGCCTCTTACGATATCAATGGGATGATAAATAGTGGTGGATTCTTTTACGCCATCACTACACTGCTACCAACATAGGTACATAAACAATTGGGTAATATGTATAACATTTTTATTTAATAGAATTGGAACATTCATTGGCTGTGGAGAAGGCGGAGTACGAAGAGTTGACTAGTAAATATGAATTACTGGAAGAAGAACACGTTGTAACTAAAGCTAGACTCACGGTGGAAAAGGAACAAGCACAAGGGTATGGTTAACTGATTTAATATTATTGTCTTGTCAATCTTTATTAATTCTATCTCATCTCATTTTAAATGAAACCGCTAAATAAGTAATAAACACAATATTGCTAATGTTTTCTTGACAGCTATTGCTAAAGTTTAATATTTCACCAATGCTTAAAATTTTATTTTTACGACAGTGAACTACTGCACGTAAGAAAAGAGTTAAATACAACACTGGCTGAACTGAAGTCATTACAAGAAAAATTGGATTCACAATCTTCGATTTGGAGTAAAGAAAAATCGGAATTACAGGTAAATACTATTTTTAAATTTAAACGTACAAGGAAATCCCACGGATGGGAAGGGAAGAAAAGGGAGGAGAGGATCCCTTACTAAACCTCGTACCAGAAACTGGCTACACCTTTTGATATAAAGATTTGAATTCTTGATACTCGTGTACGGTTACAGTATCGCAAAAAAAAAATTAAAAATGAATAAATCGTACAAGTACAAATAGGACAACAAATGGTTGTTTTTTTTTCATTCTTTACAACTGCTAATAAGGTAGATTCTTCTGTTAGTATTCCGCTATATTAAATAAAATCACTATGCTACCATACGTACTCGTATCTTTATTAATATAATACCTATACTAAATTGAACATTATACATTTGCGTTAGGGATAACATTTGAATAGCTAACAAAAGGTTAAACTTGCGGCAGAAAAACATTATTTCTGTAATTATGGATAATATTCCTTTTTTACGACAGACTAGACCCTGGAGTGTTTAAACTTCATACTTTCTAAAAAATAATGCGCAGATTTGACTTATTTCAATTCATGAAATGAAACATTTTGTCGTTGCCTTTAGTGACTTATTGTGGTGCAATTTTATTACATTTTTGGCATAAAAAATAGGTACTTTACGAACTCTTTCTAACATAAAAATATCCATGAACTGAATATTTGGGATTGCCGTTTCTAAAGCCATACGCCTTTTAGCCTCTTACGACACCAACAGAATGTTACGTGGGTATTTCTTCTGTATATAGTTGTAGGTTTGTCGCACTATTAACCAAAAATTTAGTAAAATGGGTAAATACAGTAAGTATTTACCCGTTTTACTTACCGATGAATAAAATTTTTATTGTAGTGTACCTACCAGTACCTACTGCCAAAGTTTTTACACGAGCAGTCGGGACCATTTTCACTTTAAATTCGTATAATACCAAGAGTTAAATATAATGACGCTTTTTTCATCTATTGAGGCTCCCACGCTTTTGGAACGCATCAGGCATTTTCGTGGTCGCAAAAATAGATGGTTTTTATGCAATTATGTCAAAAAGCCTGTCTCGATAATGGAGCGACTGCGTGTAGTAGGTGCTATTGGAGACCTAGGGATGAAAGAAGAAAGGATCAACTCTGTCGTCTTTGGTCAATTAACCGATTTGACGTTAAAATATGTGTTAATAAACATAATTTGTAATTACTAGCACAGACAGTACCTAAAACCAAATACCAACAAAATGAGCAAACTTAGCCTGAAAATAAACAGTTGTAATTATGATATTTGGAGGCTAATTCTACTTTTAATGTGATTTTGGTTTTAGAACAAGATCAATGACAAGAGTTCTTTGATCGAAACTCTCTAATACCTATATATAGCTCACCACCTTTCATCGCACCATTCTGTTTATTTGAACATTCTCAACTGTCGCTGTGACAGTCAGCCAGCGGAATAAAAGCATATCTAACACATTTATAGTTGAACCATCCATTACATCCCATAAATGTCCACTGTTAAACATAGACCTCCCCCATAGATTGGCTCATAGATAATGTTACGCGCCGAAGTCGACGGCACTAGCGCCATCTAGTATCGAACAGAAGAACTAAGCTTCTGGAAGCTGACTCTCGAATTTTCGACGCTTTGTCGATCGGTGCGCGTATTTACTTGAATGTTCGGTACTAATGTGTATTTATAGGCGTTGCAAGGTGCGATCGAGGCAATATTGGATTTGGCGAGACAAGCGAAGCTTCGGAGCGGAATAAAGTGAATTAGTGTGTTTAATTATTGGTGTTTTAAGTTTTAATTTGTGTAAAGTAAATTAAAGTGTTAATTTAGGTAATTTTATCGGCAATTTTTATTGTCACGAACCTCAAGCTCGTAACAATAATATTCCCCATATAGCCATAGTCGACACGCTTTCCGAGCGGGTTGTCAACCGCAGTTTATTATTATTTTATGTTGTTATCACGAAGACAATGCTGCCCATCATCTGCTTCAATGTTTCTCTGTCGACTCTTACGACAATCACGAGATGATATGGGGTAATGAATATTCTTACACAGCCACTACACCTCACGTCAGCATATTATTCTGTATAATTCTGCTACCTTCACTTAATAGAATACTTTATGTACGAAAATATTCTTCTTAGGTACCTTTTTTATTTTTGTTTGGAAATCCTTTTTTCAAGATATCAATTTGATCCTAGAATGAAATATCATCGCTGCAAGAACGATTGTGTGGTGGTGGATGGGAAGTGGAACGGGCGCGGCTGAACGCCCGTCTGGAACAGCGCGAGCGCGAGCTCCGAGATGCACATGACCAGCATGATGTGCTCTCGCATCATCACGACCTCACAAAGAAAGAGGTCAGAATTCTTTAGCAAATAGGCAAATAAAACAGTGCATTTACTAAAACACAGAAAAGCAACTAACGAGTGCGCTAATGTATGATTTCATCGTTAGAGTGAGCTTTTGCTATATTTTTGTTAGTATGTAGTAATAATTAAAATAATATCCTTTAGTTCAGGAAGGGTGTGCTGACAAAATATTTAACGATATAGATGAGCAAACAATCCCCTGGTGAAATTTGCAATCGTTACTCTCGAACACCTGCAACCAAATTCAAAAAGAAAGCAGGAAAGAGCAAAACGCATGAGGCCTAAGGTGAAATACCCCAAAGCTTGTAATTAGGTACAGTTCGCTCCCTTTACCTGCTCAGACTCTCTCGACCAGATATATTAACTACTTCTTCAAGTATTGCTGTGGCAGGTTATATGTATAATTTTTTTTAAAAAATCGGGCAAAATATTAAGCTATATTCATATTTACTAAAATTTATTATGAATTCAAGTCTGGACTTTGTAAATCAATCAATTATTAAATGAAAATTATTATAGTTGGAGGAAGCACGTAAGAAACTTGAAGATTACGAAAAAGTGAGCAAAGTACATAGGAACTTGTCGGCAGACAACGTAGAATTAGAACGTGAATTGGCGGCAATGAATACTAGACTCGAGCAGGCAGACAAAGCGAGGAAATCAGAACTCGCAGATACTAAAATGAGATACGAGGGACAATTGAATACAATGCGTGAGGAACTGAAGTCATTACACAATCAGGTAAAATAACCAAATTATTAGCTCAGGCACTCTTTCATAATTATAATGCTAACCCCAAGCTTAAAGATACGGTGTGAATAACATACCCTAACATCTATTTAAGTTTGAAAAATTAATACTCTTTTACTTTTTCAACGTTGCGTCGGATCTCAAGAAATTTTTAGAGTATTAAATACGACGACTACAAATCCATTATATAATAATCATATTTTAATAGGTATCTCGGTTCAGAAGAGAACGCGATAACTACAAACAAATGTTAGAAGCGGCTCAAAAAACAATGGAAGAATTAAAAACAAGTGATAAAAGAACGCAAAGGGCGTCTATATCAAGTACCGACGAGGTTTGTACATCTAAAAATAATATCATAATTTTAGGAATGTATCTAAAATACTTATATATCTCCAAATTAACTACATTTAACACAATTTTTTTATATATATTATAACTTTCTAGTTAAGTAGTACCTAGATTTATAGTGGCTACAAATTATTATCATCTTCAATAATTGATGTAAGCTTAAGGTATTCAGCCGCCTCCACTTTTGTAATGATTGAACAAAAATTAAAAACTTGGAAATATTTGTTACATAGATATTAACCTATTTACTGAACGTGCCCGGATGTGTGGCAATTTTTTTTAACTCTGTGTATGTTTCACAATTTGGCCATCTTTTTAGGAAGAGTACAAAAATAAAGTAGCTGTTTTAGAACAACAAATGGCTTGTCTTGAAGATGAACTATGCGAGGCCCGATTGCTATCATCAAAGCTCAACACCGAACTTGTTAGTGAGCGATCACAAGCAGAGGTTCGTCTAGCAGAAATGCAATCCAGGCTCAACGAAGTAAGTTTCTACTGACCTTGACAAAGTATTTTCAAGTGATATACCATTAACAACAAACAAAATTATATATTTTTTATTTTTTATTTGAATAAAATATAGCATTTCGTACTGAACTAGATTCTAAACTCTGAAAATTTATAAAAACAATAATTGTAGTACGTTAATTATAAAAGTCCTAAAACATGTGACCGTCCAGTTATTAATAATTTTACTTTCATTAACCAATGTTTCATACATTTTTGGCAAATTTTTGTTATTCTATGGTCATCTTCAGTTGATTTGACTTTTCATATTATATCCGTATGGACAGAATCACGTAATACTCCATTGTATGGCCAGACATGACTTTTTATAAGTTATAGTTACCATATATTTCAATCTATACTCTTAAGAACGTTGGCGGCGTTTAGTCTTTACAAACGTTTTGCTCTGTTTTCTTTCTGAATAATGACACTAAACCAAATAGTTTTCCACGATAAAATCTGTGTTATTGCTACGTTCCAATGTTTTGTTTTTTCCATAGGTAAATCAGCTTTTTTAAAAACTGGAAACATTTAACATTACTTAAACTAATACCATTATAAAAAATCCAGCAAAAAAGTACTAACGAACATAATAAAAAAAAACCTTACACATGACCAAAATACTTTTATTGTGTCTACTTCTTGGTACCTGTAATCACTCCGAGCTGTAGTTGTCTCCCGTGGTTGTTCAGCTCTGGGATTTTTGCGAATCTATTGATTGTATTAAAGGAATAATCTCTAAACGTTATTATTAAAATTATAAATGAACTATTTTTATAAACCCGTTAAAAATAATATGAACACAAGCAACATTAAATTATTGTATTTTGTACTGGAGTGTACCTGTGCAAAATCTATTGCAAATCGCCAGATTGAAAAACATATTTTTATTTCTTTAACGTAAGAAATTTTATTTTTCAAACGTATTTTTATAAATCAGAAAAATAACATAAAAGAAAGAGCCAATAAATCCGAATACGCTCTTTGAGTAGCTTCTGAAAGTATTCGAAGGTTGTCGCCGAGAATATACTCGTAATGGACCAGAAGAAAATCGGGTTATCATAATTTATGTCCTTAAATTGTCAGTTCTGTTCCTGGCGACATAATATTATACTTAATTTGTTTAAGAATATTTCATATCTGCTCTAATTTCAGTACGAGGAAGAAAGGCTAATGTCGTCAGGAAGGGCGCGCGTAGCTGGGTTGGCGACGAGGATGGAGCTGGCGTGGCACAAGGAGCGCGACGAACAGCAACGTCTGCTGCAAGAGACTTCTACGCTCGCCCGCGATTTGCGGCCAGACACTGTTCGAGGTAACACTGCACCACACGCACACAAAAACTAGGTACCTAAAATGTGTCAAAAATATAATTATTGTGACCTTTCACTATAGGTTGAACGTGAAAGAGACAAAGAGAGGTTAGATATGAAGAGAAGAATAGAACAACTGAAAAGAACGACGGAAGAAGAGATTGAAGAGGCTAAGAAAAAGGTACAATTCTTTCATTAACTTGTTATTACAACCATTATGTAATTACAACAAAGCACTAATAGGTTTTACAGTTTTTGGGAGGATTAAAGACGCCAAAATTCCAAAATGTTTCACCAGATTTTATGACTGAGGGCTATATTATATTTAAAGTGCAATATGTTCATGTATGTAACAACCATTTTCGGATCTACTCTTACTTAAAAAAAACATTCTCGTTGTTATTAAGATCAGCATCCTAGGCCATCCACCTATCAACGTAGAATAGCTCAAATAGACTCAAATTGTGTTACGTTGTGTATATATAGCAAAATTGAACGGATTTACAGTGGGTTCTTGATAATTTGGTGACACATGTGAACCAACAATGTCACGTGTTAAGTTTAGGTGTGTCCTAGCTCAGTGGGTTGTAAACACCGTAACTGCAGCACTTAACAATGTGCTGCAGAAACAAAATAAGTACTTGTGCCAGTAAAATGAAACATTAATTTCATTAAAGTGTTACTTTAAATCTTTCAAGGTTTGCTTCGTAAACGCAATTGCTCATCACGTGGGTTCGATTCCCGGATCGGACCAAAATCAGTAGATGGGTTTACCTATCTGTCAAGAAGTTCTCAGTGGCGGAACGGAGTTGGAAGTTAGCGGTGTTTCACCCCCATACCAAGAAATGCACGTAAAGCCGTTGGTCCTGCACCTGACAGAGATTTATCCGGTCGTGTCAGATTACCGCCTCGTGTGTCCCAATTAGGCGCATTCACTACTATCCTGTCTCGCGCAGACGGCTAGTCTCCGTATTAACTGGCCACCATGAGCGTAATTCAATCTGGAGGACTTATTGTACTATTTATTATTAATAGGTTTGTAAAATACACAGGTGACAGAGCTACAGTGCGATCTACTCGAGTTGCGCGATGCGCACGCAAAGCTTCGCACAGCCAACGAGAAGCTGCGCCGCGACAAGGAGCGTCACGACCGTGACCGCGACCAGAACAAACTTCTAGTGGCATCGCTTAAACGTGCGCAACAGGTGACTATCACTTGTTTCATATTTAAATAACTTTGTCCATCTTTTACAGCCAATAAAATTCCGCAGCTAAACAAAGACGTCCGCCATAGATTGCCTTGCCATTTCGCCAGAGTTGTCACTAAGAATATAATATCGCCATTGATTGCCTTGTAAAAGAATTTCGCCAGAGTTGTCACTAATAATAAGATAGCGATTTAATCAAAAGAACTTTAGATAATTTTGCAGGTCTAGATACAGTACTATGACTCACTTTTCTAAAAGTCTAAAGATTCACTCTACTTACTGCTGAACTCTTCTGAAGAATATACCACAATCGCGATTAGATCACCGGTTTAAGGTAAGTAGTATCAGATGTCTCGTACATTCGATGTACGAGTACATCTACTCTCCGTGGTCGGTCTGGATACTTTCGAGCTACCTTGCAACGAGATAGAGATGAGTAGTGGGTTCTTTTACGTCAAAAACGTGGTGTTATATACACATTATTTTTTTATTTAATACAGCCTCTTAACGTCCACGAACATAGGCCTCCACATATATTGTCTCATAAAGGGATATTTGCCATAGTTGCCACGCTTGACAGACAGGTTGTCAAAGTTAAAGTTACAGCCTATATACGTCCCACCGCTGGGCACAGGCCTCCTCTCACTTCTGAGGGTTTTAAGGCAAGGAAGTGTCCGCCCCGCTACCCCAATGCGTGTTGGCGAACTCTTCATATGTCTTCGTTTTTTTTCTCAGACATGCAGGTCTCCTCACGATGTTTTCCTTCACCGTTGAGCACGTGGTAAAATTAGCACATAAAATTGTCATTAACAATTTCATTATAGCCGGCGGGAATCGAACCTGGGTTGCTCGCGTACTGTGAAATTTACAGCGAGCGCTAAGCCCCTGAGCACATGGTGAGCTACCACAGTTTCTTTTTATTTTCTAGTTGTTATTAGGAAGACGCTACAGCCTATCTTCTGGTTTGCTTCTGTCACCTCTTACGACCACCATGGGATGATATGGGGTAGTGGACATTTTCACATTGACGATACAAGAATAAAAGTAAAATGGGGATAATATAATTGTGAACATAAGAAAAGATTTTTCTAATTCCATGAACCGATTTTGTAATAGGAGGATGATAGAGTCATAAATCAACTGCTGGAAACAATTGAGGACCTTATGAAGCAAAGTCCTGACTTATTCCGCACCGAACCATCCAAACCAGAAAAGACTCTTATGACTCCGACACCTCCCAGGCGCAACAGAGTAAGTACCTAACTATATGTATAAGTAAAGTAAAGTCACAGCCTATATACGTCCCACTGCTGGGCACAGGCCTCCGCTCATTTCTGAGAGGGTTTTAGGACAAGGAATTGTCCGCCGCGCTGCCCCAATGCGTGTTGGCGAACTTCACATGTCTTCGAAATATTTTTTTTATTTCTCTGACATGCAGGTTTCCTCACGATGGTTTTCCTTCACCGCCGAGCACGTGGTAAATCAGCACTTAAAATTGCAATTAACAATTTCATTGGTGCCGGCGGGGATCGAACCCGGTTTGCTCGCGTACTGTGAAATTTACAGCGAGCGCTAACCATCTGAGCTACCACGGCTCTAACTATATGTATACTAGAAGGTAATGAGAGTCGTAAAGTGCCGGCCGATACGCGGCGCGAGTAGGTATTTTCAAAAATGCTTTCCGTTTCATACCGCTCGCTCCGTATCGCAGTATCGTTCGATAGAGTTGCAATTCGTGGAGGCAATTGCCCACATATCCTTTTTGAAATATTGCTTCGGTCGATAACATTTTCGCCTCCCTAATCCTTTACGAAATGAGACAATTTTGGTCTCGTTAGATTCAGTACAACGTAATTTTGGTCTGTACGTTTTTCTTATTTAGTAATTCAGTTTAATTTAAAAAAACACTCCAGGAACTTTTTAAGTCAAAAATATAGTTATTTAGATGCTAATAACTTATATCGTACGCTATATTTCTTTAAAATAAAAACATACGAACCTATTTTTCTATCAAATCCACAATATGTATAATCCAGTACATAGGTATGACGAGGTAGTTCGAGGTAGGTGTATATTTGAAATAAAACGTCAATATACAGTACTGTTGCGTGAATAAGTCAACGTCATACACTAGCGCCATCTAGTGTCAGGAACGAGAGCGAGGGGAGCTTTGCAGAAAATGACATCACAAATCTTTCAACCGACAGCGCCATCCGAAGAACTAAGTTTCTAGAAAATCTACACTCGAACACTCGTCGCTTTGCGCGCATTTACTTGAATATTCCGGATGCTTCATTGCTAATTTGTATATATAGGCGCTGCAAGATGCGATCGGGGCAGTATTGGATTTGGCGAGACAAGCGAAGCTTCGGAGCGGAATAAAGTGAATTAGTGTGTTGTGTTGTGTGTTGTGTAAAGTAAATTAAAGTGTTAATTTAGGTAATTTTATCGGTAATTTTTATTGTCACGAACCTCAAGCTCGCAACAGTACTAACAAACCAATTATTTTTATGAGCGGTATGAACCCGAGCGTCATTAAATCATAAAACTTTACACTGCGTGAAGGAACATACAGCCAGCGCCATCTATGATCGCGCTTAGGAACTAAATCACAAAACACCACAAATTTTTAAAAAATTATGAAAATTAGACCTTGTTTACAGGGACGAAAACGTTATCCGTTATTGTTTAAAATCTCCATTCCATAATAATCTTTCTCTTATATTCATCATTATTATCATCATTGCAATACTTCACCATTAAGCTCAAGCCTCCTAAATAGGCTTACACGTGGTAGAGACACGTTGCGGCTATATTATGATTGTACTTAGCACGAATGGGTCGGCTTGACCGGAGTAATAGCTGCTATTTTCAGCTTAATGCTGCACTGTCCAGTATGGTGAGTTTAGACAACCGGAAACCCTTTCTACTGGAAACGATGCATTCCGTCTTAGTCCTCAGGGGTGACAACGTATCTGCATTTTGATTCTTAGTCGAAGATAAATGTAGATGTCTATGGACCACATATGTGATACTATAATATTAGTATCACCTGGATGTCAACTATCCAGGTGATACTAATATTATAGTACCAACATAAATTTATAAAAAATCGATTGCTACCAGCATTTTGAAAATTGTTGCCAGAATTACGAAATTTTTTGCACGTCGCATTATACTTCGTTTTGCACGCCTCACACCCTTCTTTCCATCAACATTGTTATGCGCGTTTCGCAGTCGATTTGATGATACGTAGCTAGTGCAGCCTACAGACATCTGCAAGCAACTTCAAGCTTTCTTTGAAGCTTACAGATGAGTTGGTGTTCTCTGAGGACTAGAGTGGAATTATTCTATTAGAGATATTCCAACAACCCCTAATAAACCGGCTTACATCAGAGGACTGTTGCATGATGCATAGGTAAGAGAGCTGTACCTATTCAAAAGAACTCCGAGGCAGAAAGAGTCGTGCCGTTAGGTTGTAAATGTTATGGCCCAGTTAAACGATGAGATCCCGGGTTCAAAACAGTTATTGTGCTCTTGCTGCGAAATTCTCAACAGCAGTCCGGAATCAGGAAGTTTGGTGGTGTTTCACCTGCCTCGTAAATCACGTAAAGCAGTTTATTCTGCACCCGATTTCTCTCCGGTCATGTTGTATTACGTCATTTACGTCACATCGGATTATGAGAGTAAGGGAATAGAGGGTGCACCTGTGCTTGTGCGCACATATTCGTGCATTATAGCCCTGTCCTGGGCAGATGTCTCTACGGAGATTAGCCGCCGTGATCGAAATTCGATCTGGTTACTACTCGTATTGTTACGAATATTACGCGCAGTCATCAAAGTCACGGTCGCGTTCGGCGACGCCGGAGAGTGCGGAAGCGAACAGCGCGGCGAGCGCGGCGGCGACCGCGGCGCGCCTGCGCCGGCTCACCGACGAACTGCGCGCCTCGCGCATCGCCGAGCGCACTCGCCGCCAGCAGGCCGCCGGCGCGCGACGGTAAGCAATTCATTAGTGCGTCGTACACACACACAACCCACGCACGCACGCACGCACGTCCGCGCGCACACGCACACACAAACATACACGAATGCGCGCACACGCATGCTTACGCACAGACATGTGTGTACGCGCGCTAAATATTGACTAAAACATAAAAAACTTGTTTCATTCATTGAACCTAGGTTGCTAGCGTATGGTGAAATTTACGGCGACCCTTTGGCTCTTCGGCCACCACGTTCTCACTGACGTGATCAACAAACTTCTTTGATATATAATTTATACCTGATCTCTTATTCCTGGGCTTGTTTTATGAGATACCGTAACTAATTCAAATCGATGCTATTTAAATAAAAATAATATCACTCATCTGTTCATTTTCTTGGGAACTTAAATCATCAAATGTTGACAGAGGTGTGACAGCGGAGCCGCGGGATGCGATGTCAGTGTCTCCAGCCACAAGAACTCCTTCACGGACATCCTCTCTCAAAAAACGCTCCATATCTCTCGAACAAACTACGAAAGATCAGGTATTTATACCACCCCACCTTATCACTTTGGTTTTGGTATAATTAATTAAAGTCCGATAACATGTAAAATTAAAATGTAAACGGGTATAATAATTTAAGAAAAAATGTAAGGAAGAGTTAAAAATAAAACCTTTTGCAAGGGACTTTTGTAACAGAAATAGATAAAATTAAAATATAACTAATTGATAATTTTGAGCATATTAGTGTTTATGGAAACTCCTGTGTTTGTTCTTGATGTTTTTGGTTTCAATTTTAGAGCACCATATGGATGTCGGTCGATGAAGGTAGCGTGTCATCTATGCAATCTTTAGATGGGGATCCAGATTCACGTCGTTTCACGTTACCTCGAGATTCCAGTCTCGACAGGTAAATAAATAAGAACATCATTTTCATAAATCTAGTTTCGTGAATGTTACCTTAACTTTAGCTCTAAAATATTTTTAGAGGTACTTACCTAACGTCCTTTCATTAACCCCCGACAAAAACAGAGGTGTGTTATAAATTTGTAGTGTGGAACTGATTTTGATTAAGTTATTTTTTTAAAGATGTCATAATCGTAGACAGAGATAGCATTCTCTGTCTAGTCATAATCGAGTGTTTTTTTTTCAAGAAAATCTGTTCAGCCGTGTGCTCAAGTCTTTTTGTTTCGGGGGTTTTAAAATTTTCAAGTTATTTACTTTTTTATTATCATTTAATTAATGTAATTACAGTCGTCTATCAGGCGGTTCTGCACAGAGCGATGTATTGCCAACGGAAAAAAAGAAAAAGAAAAGCATCTTCGGAAAATTAAAGAAACTTACAAAATCCCGTTCCGTGGACGACCACGTCGAGAACGCAGAGGTTGTGGACTTTAGATCTATTGGCACTGTTTCACAGGTAATGTTCTGTCGTAATAATAATTAATATCTTTCTTATGTATGTTTTAATAAAATATTATTTAATTTTTAGGGTTCCGACTCAGACATGAGCGCAGCAGGAAGCAAACGAGATTTACGAGGCCGAATTTCAGATATGTTTAGCAGGAAAGGACAAGTATCGCGCGCTAGCAGGTGCGTGATGCGATTCGCAACTTAAAACCTTTGCGTTGACTCAGCTTTTAATTTCATATTTACTAAAACTATGATTTCTCTTAAAGGTGTTAAAATTAATTAGCTAAGATCCCCTTTAAAATAAAATGGTGTTATTTTTCTTTTATCTTGGTTAATTAAATTTTCACTTTTGGTATGATGAAGTAACGCTGTATTTTGGTATTTCACAATTATTTTAGTGGATTTCGAAAAAAGGAGGTATACGTGGTAGAGCCATGCTGCAGTTATATTTTATAGTAGTATAGTTGCAGCACGAGTGGGTCGACTCGACCGGGGCAGGAACACGCTCTCACAGAATACCGGCGTCAAATAGTAGCTTGATGCTGCTGTGTTTCGTATGGTGAGTGTAGAGAACCGGAGACCCTTTTACTGGAAACGAGGCATTCCATCAAGTCCTCACGGGTGCCAACGCATCTGCATTTTGATTCGTAATCGAAAATAGATGAAGATGTCTATGGGCCACAGCAACTACTTACCATCAGGTGGACTGTGAGCTCGTTTGTCACCCTATCCTATATAAAAAAAATACAATTCGACTGTGATATCTTCGTCAACCGTAAGCAGATTTTGAGAAATTAGAAGAATTTTTTTTTATTAAATAAGAGGCAGTAGGTTTTCTTTAAAGTACGCAGTGTGCTCCATATACTATTAGGCGTGCTAGTCGTCGAGCATTGGCTTATTCAATTCATATCCATAAACATAAACACTCACGCCTGTCACCCAGAGGGGTAGGCAGAGACTACAGATTTCCATTTGGCACGATCCTGACACACCTCTCTCGCCTCCTTCACATCCATACACTTACGCATACATGCTCGTCGGTTAAGGGTACTCCTAATTTGGCCCGTTTCCAATAAATCGCCAATTTGGTCGATAAATTTTCGCCTAGGACGTCCCTTTCCGACTCTGCCATTCACTTCTGCAACATAAATTTTCTTTGTCACTCTTTCCTCATTCATTCTTTCCACATGACCAAACCACCGAAGCATTCCTTTCTTAATCCTGGTCACAACATCATCTTGCAAACCACACTCTTCTCTTATTACACAATTTCTTACCCTGTCATTCAGGCATTCAGCCCTAACATACTCCTTAACGACCGCATTTCTACTGCGTTTATTCTACTCTCGTGCTTCTTCTGCCACACCCAACTTTCACTACCATACGTTAAAGTAGGGACCAACACAGCATTGTGAATTGCCATACGTGCCTTTTTCGACACATTTTGACTCTTCACAATAGAGTGCAAGGCCCCATTTACTCTATTTCCCGCATTCACTCGTCGTTCTATATCCTTATCATATCTCCCATCCCTGCTAAATACGCAGCCCAAATATACAAACTCATCTACTTGCTCGATCAACTCCCCTTCTATTCTTATTTCACAAATCGTTTTACTTTCTTCTCTTTCAAAAACCATAACCTTCGTCTTACTTGCGTTCACTTTCATAACCCTTTCTTTTAATGATCCGTTCATTAATGTAACCATCATTTGCAACTCGGCCGCCGACGACGCAAGAATGACTTGATCATCGGCGTACAAAAGGCACTTGACGCTTAACTCACCCATTCTTAATCCGCATCTTCAACTTTCAAATTTTGCAAACAACTGTCCATAAATAGGTTGAACAGCCACGGGGAAGCCACACAGCCCTATCTGACACCTTTATGGATGTCAAACCAGTCCGAGTAGACCCCGTTGATCCTAACACAAGCACTAGAGTCCCTATAAAGAGACTCCAATGCCTGTATCAAGCCAGCGCTCAACCCAAATGAGTTCAATATTTGCCATAGCAAATCCCTATCCACTCTGTCATAGGCCTTTTCCAAGTCCATGAACGCACATAAAACCTTTTGGTTTTTGGCCAGAAACTTCTCCGCGATCATGCGCATGGAAAAGACTTGATCTGTACATCCCATTCCCTTTCTAAATCCCGCTTGCACATCCCAAATTTTTCCATCAGTTTCTTTCATGACCCTTTCAATCAGTACCTTAGCGTACAGTTTTCCCACAATGCTAAGAAGGCTGATGCCACGGTAGTTTTTACAGTCCTGCTGCGACCCTTTTCCTTTATATACTGGGACTATCACGGCTTTGCACCAGTCTACCGGTACCCGCTTCAGTTCCCAGCATAAATTAAACAAGGTGTGCAGCAGGCCTGCCACCACCTCCTCTCCAGCCCTTAGCATTTCGAGTGAAACTCTATCATATCCGGGCGCCTTACCCGCTTTCATGCTTTTCATTGCTTTCATTATTTGATCTATACTTATCTCTCTACCTCTTTCCTCTTCTTTCGGAGTTTCTACTTCACTTAGTACACATGTTGCCTCCTCACTAATAAACACGCTTTCAAAATATTCCTTCCATCTCTTTAAACTCAAAACTTCATCATTCAGAATATAGCCATTCTCGTCTCTTATAGTATTCATCATAGGCTGTTTTGAATGTCCCCCGGCAGTTCTTACCAGTTTCCAGAACATTTTAATATTTGCCTGGAAGTTATCCGATATTCTTCTATCATTCTTATCCGTTCTTTCTTGCTTTTTTCTTTCAACTACTTCTTTTACTCTCTTATTAAGATGTCTAAAGACCGCCTTTTTTCTTTCAATATCATCATTCGTACCGCTAGAATTACCAGCCTTTGTTGCTAGTAAATCTAGCCATGCTCTCTTCTTTGCTTCAACTTCCATACGTATCTCATCATCCCACCATAACGTATTATTTTTCCTTTCATTATTTCTCTTACTAACACCACATACTTCGGTAGCTGCATGCACTAAACCTTTCTTTACATTTTGCCATACATTCTCCAAGTCTAACTCCTTCATACATAATTCATCCAAACCACTTATATTTTCTTTCAGTCTACATTTGAACTTGTTTCTCTCACCTTCATCTTGCAACCTTTCTGTTCTAATACGCTGTAACGCGTAATTCAATTCAATTCAATTTATTTGCTATTCTTGTTGTACATTTGGTATTGTAATACTCTGTTCTATAAGTAAGCGGCTTCTTACTATATATCCGGATTATTATACTTCAGGAGTGGTTCCATGTAATTAATTGGATTGGATTCTATTATATTAAAATGATTTGGAGAAAATAATCTACCTACCTCCAAGGGTGGCAAAATGGAGTGTGAACCTTTGTCATTGAGATTTGATATTCTTTAGTCCACTCAAAAAGGTTAAATAATTAACTCATGAAAGTACAAAGCGACTTGAAAAAAACGATTCCAATTTATGTTTACTTGCTGCCTTCTTGCTTCTTGTTTACACACACAAACAGGACGCTACATTTTTTTTTTGCTAAACATAAATTTGTAAAGGGCCACTAACCTACTGGCATTTGATACGTTTTTTCTTATTTTTTACAAATTTGACAGTACACCTAAATTTAACCAACTATTGCTGAACGCACCTAATTCTAGCCGGCTAGGACTAGGTGTAACCGCACTTCGGCTTTTAGCCTTACACAATATACAATATGTAACGTAATTAACGCACACCCTCAGACACCCCAATTAGTATATTATGTTATAATCATAATACATACACTGAATTTTTAGTTAAACATTTTTATGCACTGATTATTTATCAAATTAGTTATACCAATTCCGAAAGAATGTTGTGGTCACAGTACAAATCCACGAACGCAAAGACTTTAACATGCTTGAAATAAAGTTCATTTTTCTTTATTTTTATTGAATGACAGAATTAGTAATAATACAAATAAAACTGCACTCTTAAAAGTCTTACTGCCTTAAATTACGGTCCATTTCAATTTGTTTTGACTGTGCAGATTTAGTGTGACTGTAATTTACGTAGTTTTAATTATTTTTGGGATAAAAAATTACCTATATTAAAAATGATAGGAATCGATTCAGTAAACGATTCTAAACAAACTACTTTCACAAAGTGCGTTAATTATGTTACATGTTGTATACACAAAATAATCCTTCAGTGCTGTTTTATTTACTTTTTTGATTTTTACCCTTTTTTTATTTTTCTACTTTTTGGAATATCCATAGTTTGGTTTACACATTTCAAATCTAATTCATATAAAATATAAGCAATATTTCAGAGGAAAACGTAAATCTCGACATTTTCTAACAAATTAATTTTCTCCGCTTCGAAATTGGCCAAATATTTCACCTGGTGGCAGAATAAGTCGTTGATTGAAATATTTTTTTAATGTTGAATGGTTTAACAGCAAGGAGCAGAGTCCGGAGCGCGGCGGGTCAGCCGCCAGCACGGGCAGCGTGTCCCGCGTCACGCCCGCCACACCGGTAACGTAACCTTGCCAAAATTACCTATGAGCCAACTCACGAAAATGATACTTACCATATTTATTAGCATTTTGTCATATAGTCTTGTCGTCCTTTTTACCGTAACCGTTAAGGTATAATACCGTAGCCGACTGCAGACAGCAGCAGCAAGCGACGCGTCGTCGCGACACAACGTAGTAGTACGTAGTTCTATGAAATACGTTCCGTGGCTAGCGACACATCGTTTGCATAGCGGCAGACGACACTGTAGCCCGACCGCAGATCAGTAGTGCCGCCAACGCCCAAGTGACAACACGTTGATTTTTTCTTAAAAAATAAGTTTCACGGTTTCCGAGGAAGATTCCCTCACTTCTTCTGCATTTCAACATAGGACGTGTGTCTTTTCTCTTTATACTTGTATGTATAATAAAAGCAAGTCACCATCATCTTCTTATTCTTCTTCCTCTTCTAACAAAAGATACAAAAATAAATCGCGATCGCTAATTTCAAGCACGTCAGACATGTCCCACTGAACACCCGGAACAGACTGGACACGGGCTACTGCCGTCTGCAGTCGGGTTCGGAATCATGACTACAGCGACATGACGCTAAGACATGTCGCGGCGACACGTCGTCTGCTGCTGCTGTCTGCAGTCAGCTACGGAATCACACCATTACCGTTACAGTCTTTATCCACTGCTGAACAAAGGCCCCCCATAGCAAGGCAACTTCATAGTTGCCACATCACATTTTGACCATAGTTGCCACACTTGGCAATACCAGTTTTTTATTTTTTAAGTTATTAGGAGAACGCTGCTGCCCATCTTCTGGTTTTTTCTATATGTCGCCTCTTACGACACCCACGGGATGATATGGGGCAGTAACTCTTACATTACCACTTTACGGCCAATCCTTTCTTTAAGTTTACTTAAAATCGGCCTTTCAGGAATGCGCACAAATGTTAAAAGTAGCGTTGATTCAAACTACTTTTAAGGATTTTATTGGGTTTTATTTATTTTATTTTTAATACCCGTTTATATACGTTTCGGGTGCTTTCCAGCACCCATGGTCACGGGGGACTGAGTGACTGACGTCCCGATGTCAAAGTTAACCCGGAGTACCTTCAGCTTTTTAACTATTGTCTTTGGTCCGATCTACGCAGAATGAACTAACTGTGTTTTGAAGTCTTGCAGTGGTATGCTTGGGTTTAGTTTTAATTTTATTAATTATAGGGTCCTAAGCAGGTGGTAGTACCCAGCCTCCTTCTCTATTGTAATTAGGATGTATTCTCTGTACTGTCTATTGTATTATCGTAATTAGGATTTTTTTTAATTTCAATAGCCTCACGTATCATCCTTGGTAGGAATCGATGTTCTTTCGCGAGGATTTGTGGTCTATCAAATCTGATGTAATGGTTGGGGCCATCAAGGATATGATCGCAAACTGCAGACTTCCTTTCTTTCTTTTTTTTTTTGGTGAGTTGATCGGGTATTAAAAATAACATAAATGAACGCGATAAAATCCGTAAAAGTAGTTTGAGTCAATATATAGTGTTCGCGTAAATATAAGAAATCATTACTTAAAAGTAGTGATTTCACTAAGATGTAGCTTTCTTTTCTTTGTCTTGTTGTTATTTTAATAACAACTTTAATTACAGAAAGAAACACGCAGTCCGCGGACGACAAGCACAACACCGGGCACCAAAAGGAAAGGGAAATAAGTATCTTGTTTCACTTCATATTATTGTATTTATAAAGTCCCTTATGATTTTTCCACATAGCGTGTAATATCACAATACATATCATACAAATTTCGTTACATTCACACATGTTGACTACACATTTATCCATAGTGTTTAAATTTTGGATTACTTATCTTTGTAAAACAAAAGGTTCAGCACAGAAACCTCATGCAAAATTTATTATAAATAAAAACGTCACATCATCACCAAGAGTGTCTATGCTGGATGTATCTAAAACTATTCCTCAAAGTGAATGTAACGAAAAGCTGTATATTAAGCACTAGCCCAAGAGCTACAATGTTATATTAATGAGTGTACAAGTGACCCTTGAGATATTCACTTCCCTAATTCTTAAGTCAGGAACGTTTTTATGTCGCATGTATCAGTGAATTGTTGTTTGTAGTTATTGCAATTTTATAATAAAATTTGAACAAAAACATCAAAGTTTACTTTAATTTATATCTTACTCATGAAAAACAAATCCATATACATTCATTAACGCAACTATTTACCAGTTTCATACTCCTATATTATTCAATGAAGGTCTTGTTAACGCGAAACTGAACATCAGCCGCTTAAGCAAACATGCAAAATAAAATGTTTATAAAAATTATAAATATGGCATACGCGTATGCAGCAAATTTTCGTACAAAATGAGATATCTATCTAAAATCAAAATAAAATGATATAACTATAATTGACAACGAAGTTAAAATGAGTTGTTCAAACTAGATGTCTATTTTGAAACATTTTTACAATAAAATTAAGTGAAATTTTTATTTTACCAACCAAACAGAAACAAAAATATATTTATGAAATATTATGAAGATATATATTAGATGTGACGCGGCTAACTCTGATCCATGAGGTTTGTATCGACGGAGCCGCCTGATGAGTCCTTTAAAATAGATTCGAATATTGGCTGCAGTTCTGGTAGGGACTTAATTTGCGTAACGAAGTCCATCAAATGTGGGTTCTTATCTGTAAAAAGAAATACAAATATTGTAGTGGTAAATTGAAATAATACGGGACATTGGAACCAGCGATAAGGCTTGCTACACGTCACGTCACGAAGGGGCGAGAAGTTGACGATATATTACAGATGGGCCATAATTAAGAGTAGTCTTAACCGACTAGCATGTATGCGTAGGTATATGGATGTGAAAGAAGGGATAGAAGTGTGTCAGGATCACACCAAAGGTCAGTCCTTAGTCTCTGCCTATTTCTCTGGATAACTCTGGATCTGATTCTCTGGATGAGAGTTTATAGAGTTATGTTCGTATATGTTAAATTGGATTATAATTAGTACCTTCAACCCGTTGCAACGGGAACTTCTCAATTTGCATGGCGTGTTTACTCGTTATCAATATGCATTTATTTTACACCAACTTCAAGTATCAGTGCAACATTTCAAATTAAGATTTAAAAGAAGTTTTCATCCTCGCACAACTTCCTTATTGAATCGACTTCCCACCAGAGATTTTTTCTGAAAAAAGCCTACTCCTAAAAGGCCGGCAACGCATCCGCAATTCCCTTGGTGTTGCAGTTTTTCATGGGTGGTAATCACTTAACATCAGGTGAGCCGTATGCTAGTTTGTCACTTCTCCTACTAAATTAAAAAAAAATCAACCTGAAAAATACCTCTGTCCAGTAATAAAGAGACGTAATAGGACGAGTACGCAACATATGAAGCTCTGCATTATTTGTACTTTGATTCCAAATAACTTTTTATTCAATATAAATTAGCTTAATGAAAGTCTTATACTAGATGATTATCTTTACTTCTGGAACAAAATAGAGTGTAACAGGTAAATACTACTAAATTAAAATAAACTTTCCGTACTAAAATAATAAAAACAAACATTTTGAAGCAAAGCCGCCTGCGCTCTTCAGTGACCTGTGATTAGCAGCGGTGTGACGTCGCGTCGCCGTCGTATTGTTTATGTTTCCGCGTGTGTATCGTAAACATATACCAATACTCTAATGTCGAGTTGTCTGGGTAAAAACTTAGACGGTGCGACGAATCGATATTTACCCACAATGCACAATGTTTTTTAAATTTATGCACAATGAGCACTAATGGAGTTTCCAAAACTCACACAAAATCAAAGAACATGCTAAGCAAGTTCGTATCAATGTTAACATTTTTTTTAAAGGATAGGGTGACAAACGAGCACACCAGTCCACCTGATGGTAAGTGGTTGCTGTGGTCCATAGACATCTGTGAAGACTAAGGTAGAATTCCTCGTTTCCAGTAAAAAGGGACTCCGGTTCTCTACACTAACCATACGAAACACAGCAGCGCTAAGCTGGTATTTTACGCTGGTATTCCGTGAAAGCGTGGTTCTTCCCCGGTCGAGCAGACCCATTCATGCTACAACTACACTACTAATATAACTGCAGCATGTGGCAAGGCATGCACAATTGGGCGGAATTTATTTACGACCACATCATTGGTACAATATGGATTGAAGGTCGATTGACGGGAGTAACGTATCTGCAAATGATAAGTTCCGTCATCGACACGATGTTGGAAGACGTTCCTCTGAGCCATCTGCAAGGAATGTACTTCCAGCACGACGGATATACCCAGCTCATTACGAACGATCTATGTGCGCATATCTGGACACCCATTTCAGTGATAGGTCACTGTTGACCTGAGAACTGGCCGGCGGGGTTATCTGACATAAAACCTGTAAGACTTTTATTTGTGGGTTGAACTAAAATGATTAGTGTACACAGAAGAAGCACAAAGTGTTAGTGAAAGTTTAACAAACAATTTACAAAGACGTGCTAGTTTGTGTTTGGAAAGAAACGGTAGACATTTTGAACAATTCCTGCGATATCGCTAAAAAAGGTAATTTTTTGTAAACAATAATGTAGAATAATTTTGTAAATATCAATCTGTGTAGTTTGTAAATAAGTCGACTTCGATCTCTTGAAAACTCTTAACCCTAGAAGCCTTATATAAGCCTGCGAGGCGTACACGCGTTCGGAAACTGTCTATCTCTTTCTAACGGGCGAAGTTATCGATTCGTGCGGCTTAGCCAACTCAGTGGCCGACGGGAGCCTGCTGATAGTGCGCGTATCGCTAAGGTGAGTCCCGCCATTTTCGACTTATTGACATGTAGTACGTCTGCGAGGTGTATGTTTAGGCTTTGTGTAACTTTTAACTTCTACTTTTGTTATTTTTTTTTTTGTGTTTTATGGTTATATTGGCGTTGTTTCAGATAAAATATGTCACGATCAAAACGGCTAAACAGTGTCGATATTTTAGCGATCTTAAACGAAGAAGATCATGGTTCTCTGGGAGGATCAGCGTCAGAAGAGGACGATCATCAAACTGTGGATGATGTTCAAAGTGATGACGAGAACGATTATGTTATTGAGGAGGTCTTCTCTTTAGAATCTTCTCGCACTGAAGAAACTGTCTTAGCACCTGCTGCAACAACTCATTCATCTACTCCTGCTCATTCTTCGGGTTTTGGCAGCTCAGGACGTATACATCGTGTTTCCGGAAATAAACTTCGCGGTAAGAACGGACATGTTTGGTCGGCTATCAAGGGTCAGTCATCTCAGAGAACTTCAGCTTTGAATATAGTCCGCACCGCTAGAGGACCAACTCGTATGTGTAGCCATGTTTTTGATCCTGTGTTAATCTTCGATTTTTTCATAACTGAAGAAATCATATCCGAAATTTTAAAGTGGACCAATGTTGAAATGATCTCTAAAAGAAAAAATTTGGGAAAAATTACAGCGACTCATAAAGACACCACAGATTTAGAGATTCGTGCATTTATTGAATTAATGACTCTAACCGCAGTCATGAAAGATAATCATCTCTCAACAGACGAATTGTTTGATTCCACGTTTTCCGGCACGCGTTACATTTCAGTTATGAGTAAAGAACGATTTGAATTTTTAGTGAGGTGCTTGAGGATGGATGACAAGACTTTACGACCAATACTTCGACCAAATGACGCATTTTTGCCTGCCAGAAATGTTTGAGAACTGTTCATAAAGCAATGTCGAATCAACTATGAGCCTGGATCGGAGGTAACAATTGATAAACAGCTGCTCTTGTTTAGAGGAAGATGTCCATTTCGGATTTACATTCGAATAAGCCGGACAAATATGGAATTAAGTTTCCTATGATGTGTGATGCTACCTCCAAATATATGATTGACGCTGATCCATATACAGGTCGCAGCACAGATACTAAAGGAGTGCCACTTGGTGAATATTACGTGAAAAAACTGTTGAAGATTATTCATGGCACAAACAGGAACATAACATGATAACTGGTTCACATTAGTGCCACTGGCCAAAAGTTTACTTCAACAGCCATACAAGTTGACTATAGTTGGCACTATTCGATCAAAAAAGCGGGAAATCCAGAACAATGTAAGAACTCGAGATCTCTACCTGTTGGTAGTTCTATGTTTTGCTTCGATGGCCCCCTTACGCTTGTATCTTATAAACCAAAGCCTGCAAAGATGGTGTATCTCTTATCATCTTGTGATGAAAATGCAGTGATTAATGATTCAAGTGCAAAGCCAGACATGATTCCTTTCTACAACCAAACAAAAGGAGGAGTATATTCGTATGATCAAATGTACTCTTCAATGTCGTGTAGTCGCAAAACCAATAGATGGCCAATGGCTGTATTCTACCGAATCTTGAATACGACGTTTGTCAACTCTGTTATTATTTACGGCCACAACATGATCAAGAACAATAAAAATCCCCTAAATAGAAGAGAATTCATGAAGCAACTCAGCACAGATTTGGTCAAGCCTTGGATGGAGATGAGACTTGAAGCGCCGACTTTGAAAAGATCTTTACGAGAAAACATAAGCCATATTCTCGTAAAATCTACTGATTCAAGTAACGAAGTTCAGGAGAAAGAACCTGACCTCAAAAAACGTAAATACTGCGCTTTTTGCTCTTAAAATAAGAGAATGTCGAAATTAGTGTGTTATAAGTGTAAAAAGTCAGTATGTTGCGAGCACAAAGTTGATATGTGTGTGTAGACTGCTCTAAGCTTTAAGCTACTCCGTGAAAATCTGACTTAGTTAAATAAATGTGCTAGGAAAAAGTCATTAATAGTTAAAAAAATAAGATAGTTAAAAAAAATAATGTTACCGTTGATTAATGAGAAGTTACTTTTTTGTTTGAATATAAGCAGATTGTTTTATTTTGTTGTAATAAATGGCTGTGATTGGAGTCTTCATTAGTGAATCTGTGTTTTATTACTAGAAATAATCCCTATCTTACAGCTCCTTAAAAAATCACAAATATATTACATATTTTAGCCCAGAAATGGTTATTTATATATGCACACGCCTCTGAGGTGTATGATAAGGCTTTATGTATCTCTAAGACAGACTAGGCTTCTAGGGTTCAGAAACGTATACGATAGGCATACAATTCGTAGCCTACGGCGCGCTGTTTAAAATTAGTTCTAGTTTTATGCAAATGCGGTAGGATGAATTATTGTTTTACCATAATTTTTTTGGATATATTCGGAAATTTTGCCTGTTAGTTATATTTTTCCTAATACTTTCGAAAATAGCTTCTATTCCACTTATAGTCAACCAAATCTAAGAAATACCTTTTGACGTTTCACATTAATCATTCAGCAATAACTTTGCACAAGCGTACTCACACGATTTAAAATAACCATTTACGTAAATCCGAAGAATTATGAAGTTATCTATATTTCAATACAACGTGTATAGTTTTTTATCACTAAATTAAATTTGAATCTTTCAAACAAAGCAAAATATTAAAAAAATAATCAGTATAAACTTTTTGTACTTGACGTCGTTTCAATGATATGTCGCTATGTACATTACCGTAGTGTTTGGACGATTATAATTAATCGTTATGCGAATAATCCGCAAAAATATTCTAATAATCGGTAAAAATATTCAAATAATCGAACAATAATTTTTTTAATGTAATATTTTTATTAATTT